CAGGGCCTTCAAACTTTGTCATGATGTGCAAGTGTTTGTGTCCATGCAGTTTTATGAAGGGAGGAAGAGAATGCCATGCACTGCAATCCTGTGCATCTGGGGAGAAGCAAGCTGAACTGTGCTCTCAGACTAGTGTGTGTGCATATTTAGAAACCAGAGAAACTTGTGGGCAGCACACCGCAACCATGCTCACATTGTAACCTACTGGCCACAATATAATGCTTCTTTCGAGGCTGATTTCAGTGGGGAGAAGGGACCCTGTGGGCACCAGCAAAGGCTTCTGAGTGGGCATCATGTTTGCAGCCACCAGTGTATATACATAGCAGCCTTAAGTTCCTTAGCACACAGCAGTTGTCATCTTCACATCCTCTTCAAGTCTACAGGGAATGCTGCAGGAAGCGCCTTGCTTTCAGAGCTACAGGCCTGAGTAATGAAGTTTGTAAAGCGAAGATTGTCTCCTGGGGAGGGAGTTCATCCATTAGTAAATGAGACAGGATGCTTTTAAGGGGGGGAGCATCTTAAAAGCACTTCATTACTCCTGTCAGGACATGTACAAGGAAGCGGGGGATTAGATATATTTTCTTCATGCTGGAATGTTCTGTTAGTGAAACCATGGGATTTTTATCTTATAAGTGACGGCACATAGGAGTGTGGGTAGTATGCAGAAGAGGATTTGCAGTCTAATTTTTGCTACATCATGGGTGTAAGGGAATGGACAAACCAAACATCCATAGTGTCATGAACTACTTTACATAAATGCCTGTTTTATTTTGATGGCCCATTAGAAATCTAGGGTGGAGTCCCCGATCTATTTGGCTTTGGGGCACATTCGGAAATGTGAGAAACTTTCATGAGCACAAAAACCCAGTTATTTCACAGAAGAAAACTGCTAATGCTCTGAACCACAACAGCCCCAGCCCAAACGCATGCCTAGCCCCCCCCCCCAAAAAAAAATAGGCAAAGCACCACCCCAGCCAGACAGCAACAAAAAATCCCTTAGGCAACACTAGCAAAGAGAAAAGACAAAACACCCCAAACAAAAAAAGTAGGTGACCCCCCCAGCACAACTCAACAAAAAAGCAGGCAAATCCACCCCCATGCCAATAAACCTAAAAAATGCAGATAAGACAAACACCCCCCCAAAAAACAAAAACTACATATATATTGAAAAACACCACCCATCTCCGAAACTGATCACTCCCCTATCTCCAGAATTATCAGGCAGTAGCAGGACCTTTTCCTTTTCTCTTCTGAAGAGTATCAGAAGTCTGGAAACCCAAGGTATACCCTCCAGCTGTGGAGAAAGGTAAGAGGGTGGAATGGTTGGATGCTGACACTTTGCTGTTTTTAACAACACTCCCACGCTGATGCCAATCTGCTTCACACATGTACATAGCAAATTACCAGAGGCTACCAAAGGAATTAATGGAATAGAATGTAGACCGCTTGAGAACTATAAGCCAAAAGCTTCACTGTTGTTCCACTCAGTAGAAGTTTCTCTTCCATATTTTGCTGCAGTACATTTGCTGAGTTGTTTTCCGTGATCAATTGTTCTCACTATGTTAAATTTGGAGGAACGGGAGCTTCTCCTCTGCCTGCATAAAGGAGGTAGTTTACTTGACTGCCCTACTTTACCCAGAGGCAACACAAAGAGTTCTCCTGGATTCAGTGGGGTTTGCCTGGAAGTTTGGTTAGAATTGCAGCCTAAAATGGCAATGATTTCAGTAGTGGTTATGACATTGAGAAAGGGAATGATGGCCAAGACTTCAAAAGGCTTAGACTGGCATTGCTTCCATTCCAGAATCAACAGGAGAAGACAGTTGTAGATTTACCAAATGATTGATCAGACTCATTACCAACTCAGAGCCAAATGAATATGTGAATGGGGCAGCTAACTTGGTATATTCATGTGTAATTTCTGCACTAAAAGGTATGCCAGAGTGAAAGATGTCTCCCATTGCTTCAGACTTTTCTTCCAAGCCTGGCTCACTGCTGTTCTGTACCAGGAGAAAACTCCCTACGAAGAAAAGGGACAGGGGCAAAAGAGAGAGAGAAAGTGAAGCTTCTCTCACCCATGCATACCTTCTGTTACAAAGATTAGGTAACCCACCCTCCTCACATTTGTACAGTGGCACCTCAGGTTAAGTACTTAATTTGTTCCGGAGGTCCGTTCTTAACCTGAAACTGTTCTTAACCTGAAGCACCACTTTAGCTATTGGGGCCTCCTGCTGCCGCCGTGCCGCCGGAGCACAATTTCTGTTCTCATCCTGAGGCAAAGTTCTTAACCCGAGGTACTATTTCTGGGTTAGCGGAGTCTGTAACCTGAAGCGTATGTAACCTGAAGCATATGTAACCCGAGGTACCACTGTATATGAACAGAACAGACACATGAACGTGCAATGTTTTATTTACACTTCCACCCTGCAACAGGTTCCTAGGGTGGCTTCCAAAATGCTTTAAAAAATGCCTCTCAGTTCTAGGTTGCCCTCAACTTCCCTGCTGCTTTTGGCCCTCAGGTATTCCCTATTGTACTTGGAGGTACAGTGGGCAAAATGCTCAGTTTGGACAGGTTAAGCTTCTATAGCAGGGCTTCCCTGGTGTGTGGGTGGGTGGGTATTTCCTTCAATGGATTTCCTGTAATGAATTAGCTTGGCATGAAAAGTTTGGCTTTGCTAACTTGCTGCAGTTTTGTAGCTGGGAGGTTTGGCTGCTTGCAACAAGAAAAGCCTCTTGGGCTACAGCGGAAGATGCTGGCCTGGCATAGCAACATCAATAAAAAATGGATTTCAGCTTCCTTCAACCAAAATAAGCAATCAAGGCGGCTGCTTTCACAAGCAGAATTAGAGCGAGTTCAAGTGTCACCCACGAAATCATTACTGCCAGCTAACTGCCATGTTTAGCCAGTTCTTAAAATAAATAGCTTGAGACATCAGCATTTCTTGCACTTTTATTCCAAAGCTGAACTTACATTCCGCTGCGATCTAGCCACCACTAGCCTGCAGGGGTTCTGGCATAAATTAAGTTATCCTCTTACTGTTGCACTCTGTATATGTTAACATGCCATCATAAATGGCCCAGCAGCAGGCTTGGGTCCTCCCCCCTAACTTCAATATCAGTCTTAAGGGTTACAAAGCATTAGTTAGATCATGCTATTAAAAGCAGTTCTAATCATCAGTGTTTCATTTCACTGTTGTTTTTTGTGACCAACTCAAGTTAAGCCATTTTTAATCTACATGAAAACAGAACCTCTCTAATGCTAAAAAGAACCCTCCTCTTAATTTCAAGGAACAAATTGGTTGGTGAGGAAGAAACACGTTTGTTTCCTCCACTGGGTCTGTGTGCTGTGAAGCATCAGTTAAGTGTTAAGAGGAACATCTAAACGGCACACAAATTTTGAGCAAGTTGATTATGATTTTTATGTGTGCCCATGGAATTTATACCATCTGGAATAGATAATGGTAATGACATGACACCAGTGTTTGCTGTTGTTGTTGAAGCAAATTAAAATCTATTTAGAAAATAATTTTATAATATAGGGCACATGGGTATGTGAAAAGCTAAGTCCTGAACCCAGTAGAAAATGAGAAGCATTCAGCTCAAAATAGTAAATATTTCCCTGGTACTTGGGTGTCTTGCTGAAAGGCAACTCGGAGCAGGAGTAAAATATCCAAAAAGTGCCAATGAAGTCTTGATTTTAAATTTAGAAGTCTATCCAACATGTTTCAGGATTATTACACTCTTCTCCCCTTCTTTCCAGTTAAGTTTCTTTTCTGATGCTTTTCATTGAAAAGAGGTTCTCCTTCTCTCTTTCTTTTCTGCTGCAAACAGAACACACTGAGTAACTTGCTACAAGTCTCCTACAAGCACATTGAGAAGTTTTCGTACTCCTGCACCCTGTATACTGGTGAATCTCGTTTTCATTTTTCAAAAGAAAGTTATTCAGATGACGAATAACAAATCTTAATGTACATTGTACCTCTGTGAATACTTAAAATGCAGTTTTACACAGAACCATGACAAAGACTACCACATGGGTTGTATTGTGGATTATTTTATGTGGAATGCCTGGCAAAACATACCCCACATTCTAGAGGCCTTTCCGGCAATAGCACTCCCTTTATTAATGCCTATCTTGAGTATCATTGTAAGATCACCATAGTTTGCTGGTCAGGCTTTCTCCCTGGTCTGAGTAACAAAAGGGGGTTCAGCAACAGGAGGATGCCTGTGATAGATCTGTCATTACTCTCTGCCCTCCCCAGGCTTGACAGGAAATTGGTCACTCCAAGCCAGTGGACCTAAAAACCGCTTCAGATTTTGTCTGAACTGGGAACCTGGCTAACCACTTCTGAACAAACTGGGTATTAAGCCATCTTCAAACCATGCGTTTCTTGGCTTCTTCTAAAGCTATTAACTATAGTGTCCTGATTTTTGAAGAAACGAAAATTTCCCAATTTGTTAACTAGCTCATGTAGAAACATTACACACATGGACAAAACGCTTGTTTCATATTATAGCTTATTAGGCTGAGATGATATTCTGAAGGTGGCTTTCTAAGACACAGGAGTGCATAACCAGTGAACATGCAAAAAGGCAGAAATCTGTGTGATGTAAAAAGTTTGTGTCTTCTGTGGTAAAATGGCATGCAAAATGACAGGTTACCCAGTGATGTTTCCAACTTAACATTTTCTTACTCAATTTGATTGCTTTTTCACAATTGTACAAAACTCTTGAATCCTTTTTTTTTTTTTTTTTGCCTAGCCCAGATAGATTTTAAGTTTTCCTTAAGTTCATCCAATTTCAATTTTGCCTAAAGAAAACTTGGCTCATTGTTCTTGAAGCCCTGCAGGAGTTCTTAAACTTGGATCTCCAGCTGTTATTAGACAACAACTCCTATCATCCCTGACCATGGGTCCTACTAGCTAGGGATGACAGCCCTAGAGTAGCTATGAAATGATTTCAGACTCACTTTGGTAGGTGAATAACTAGGCAAAGGCAAAGAGTTCATAACAAAGCAAACTTTAATGGATCCTGAGATCACTTGAGTATTCTCCTCCTATCTGACCATTTGAAGCCATCTCTCAGTTCACATACAGTTTTGCACAGAACAGTCCATTCCAGTAGTCAAAGCACATGTTTTGTTTCCAAGGAGAAACATTGCAGTAACATTAAAGAAAAACAACACTTGACACATGGATAATGTCCATAAAATTCTGTAGTTCTGGGTTATATGTACATAGAATTTGAAGCATGGTACTCTAGTGTGTATAAATGTGTGAATGCTCAAGACTGTAAATTGAATGCCCCACTTATTTTCCAGAATTTACATATAACAGAAGAAAGGAGGAGTGGGGGCTGGGTGGGGAGGGCAACAAAGCTCAACAGGTTTATTAGAAAAGTCTTCCTTCACAACATGTTCCTGAGTGTTTATCTGCCCACAAACTATTCCATGGGGCTCCCCAAATAGTGCTTTTGAGAGCAACAACTGACGGGACTATTTGAAGTGACTACATTTTGATCTTCGGTGTTAGAGGAATGACAGTGCATGTGGCATGTTCTGCAGTCTCTGAATTCTGACGTGTCCTTAAATGTGTGGGGTGAGGGGGCGCAGTTTATGACTATTACCTTGCAAAAAGCAAAATGGTTACAGGAGACTTAGAAAGGTGATCCCTAAGGCACTGTTTGCAACACTTAAGAGGGAGATGAGTGTGAGAAAACGGCTCACATTAAATAAAGTTTAGAAGGATCTGTGGAGGGGAATTTACATGTGAAGTTAACCCCCCCCCTTCTGCACAGGGCTTTTGTTGTCAATCCATCTAGCTGCCTGTCCCATTATGTTAAAACAGGATCCCCGATACCATGGTCCGGATTGCAGGTGAAGGAAATGGTGATGGCGTAACGGGTGCCCCAGTGAACCTTTTCCACATGATGGAGGTTCTCGGAGCCAGAAGTGAAGAAGGAAACCCGGCCTGCAAAGAGAAGAACGTACAGTCAGGAGAGCGAAAGGATGCATGCTGTTTGCCCAGTGGCCAGTACTTAGGATACTGTTATCCCATGCCTACCCTGGGACATCTACAGATTCAAGATTTGAATGCTATCCGAAAGCATGGTACCTGGTCCTCAAAGAACAAGATCATGCTACTTAAGATGCACATAGACAGACTGCAATACGAAAGACTGCTTTATTTAATGGATTTATTTATTTCCATGTAACCATACTTTGTTCTGGAGGGCAGAGACATGCAGTAACACAGCTGCCATGGAGCACAAGGTCTAGTGAATGCTGCTGCTATGCAGATTACTAGTAACATTCAAATCCCGGCTGTCAGAAAAAAAGATTTTTGGCTTGGTTCTTGAGTTCTACAGACCAAAGCTGTTTGACAGCCATTTCAGTAGGGAATATCACCCCTCTCTACCAAATGAGGGACCAAGCTTGCAGTAAGAAAACCCAGAAGTGTGCACTATACGGGATGTCTAAAGAGCTTGTTTATTTAATCGAAGGGCCCAGTAAAATAAAGAATCTGCCCTAGCCTACTGCATAGCTCACAGTCATGGCGATGCAGACAAATGGTCCCACCACTATGGGATGCCTCCACCCCTCTCGGGTGTCATCTCATGAGAGCACAAACATCATCCTAAAAGGGAAGCGCAGAAAGATAAAGGCTGCTGCTGGGACTGGTGCACCAGCCACAACTCAAGCCAGCTACTGAACTGACAACACATTGTGAGAAAACCCAGAGGAGCTTGCTCTGCACGAGTTCCCCCATTAGCTCCTCCGCTGAGCACACCAGCACTTTTAAAGACTGAAATATAAATAAACAGGAAAGCTGTCGTGAGTGCTGAGGCCATAATTAGGTTTAAACACCAAATTCCCCCTGAGCTGAAAACATTTCTGCACGTAGGCAAGCGAGCACAGAGCACATGCACTTTCATAGCAGAACCTTCTCAGGTGCCCAATTTTGCCAATTAAAATGCACAGTGTTTGCGTTTCTTTTAAAAATTGCGGAAGTGCACAGCCAACATCTGAAAGTGGATTTCACACCTGGCTGTTTAAGCAAAGTTAACTGTTCAGAGTCAGTAGGGCCAAATCTTTCTGTACAACATGATGTTGCTAGTACAGTGAATTTTTGAATGCACATTCAAGGATTTTATTTCCATCTACTATTTGGAGAAACCCAGCAACCACAAAAAATAAAGAGCTGGCATGTTTGAACTCAGGATGTTGTTGCCGTTTTTGGTTTCAGACAATCAACCCACAAGAAACAAATGCCTGAACGGTGACAGAATTTGTAATTTCAGAAGAATTGCAGGTTTCTAAATTATCTGTTAGTTTACTTTCTTCACCAAAGGATACAAACATTGCCAACTGGGAGGGAGGACTATATGGGTGAGGTAGGTGGCACAAGGCATATTGGACTTTCCAGGTACTTAAGAGTGGCATAAGCATTTGCCCAAATGAATGTTGTGCTGAGTAGTGGCCAGCTTTTTACTGACTCTTAGAACAAGGGCAGGTGTCTGGAGCTGCTTAAGCAAGGAAAATTTCTTTCCGAGGCAACAAAAGGCTGGGGGAACTCTCATATGGCTGAAGTTGCATGACTGTAGCAGGAGTATCTGCTTTTAAGAAGTGCTCTCTGCCATGCTACTTGTAAAATGTCCAGCTATTCTTTCATTGCTTCAAAACAGTTTATGCCAGGGCTTTATTAACTACACTCTTGAGGACTTATTCACCTTCCAAAATAACAATTCCCTAACTATAAAATGCTTACTAACACACAAAGTATAATGCCTATATTATACTAAACAAGATTTCAGTGCTATACTTCAATTTTTTTTTTTTAAAAAAAGAAAATATGGAGCTACAGTGTTTATTCAAGGACAGCAGCTTTTATATGGAAAATGAGTTATTATTATTACTATTATTATTTAAATTTATATACTGCCCTATACCCACAGGTCTCAGGGCAGTTCACACAATAAAATCAGAATACAGTGGTACCTCAGGTTAAGTACTTAATTTGTTCCGGAGGTCCGTACTTAACCTGAAACTGTTCTTAACCTGAAGCACCACTTTAGCTAATGGGGCCTCCTGCTGCCGCGGCACCGCCGGAGCACGATTTCTGTTCTCATCCTGAAGCAAAGTTCTTAACCTGAAGCACTATTTCTGGGTTAGCGGAGTCTGTAACCTGAAGCGTATGTAACCTGAAGTGTATGTAACCCGAGGTACCACCGTATAAACCCACAAATGGTTTATGAATGTTCCTTGTCTTTGGGGAAGGTGCGACAAGCAAGCAGCTTTACTTTCTGCTAATTCATACTTTAAGATACATTAAAGTTTGGAAGATTTTCAGCAAATGGCTCAGATCCCATTTTTGCAGGGTCAGAAACGAAAGGATCCCCCAACACCTCAAGCAGGCCAAAATGAATATTTACAATCACTATAGAAACTGAATGATTGCTTGAGGACAGGAGTGTGTTGCTAATGTGTAAGAAAAGTCAATTTGGCTTCAAACTTGGTAGCTGATACAGAAACCCCACAGGACTCCTGTAGCTCCTTAAAACATAATTGCAAACACAATTAGCAGTGAGGTGCCTTATCCCCTTTCTCTCTATCACTCCCCCACACCATTTATTATAGCAGAGATCCTCAACCTTTTTTGGGGGACATTAGGAGAACTGTCATAGACAACACAAATAACCTATTTTAACAACAAAAAACGCTGGTGATGCTCAGAACCACTATCACCCTGCCTCTGGACAGGTAAGAATGCACATACACCAAAACAAACAAGAACCAGCCAACCTCAAAAGAACCCCCCAAAGTCTGTCCTGCCTCTAGCCCAATAAAATCCTCAATTATTATTTTTTTAAAGTGTTTTAAATATTGGGAAAAGCAGGGGTCCCTGATGGGCACTATGGGTAGGCATCTGATGGCACACTGGGGACTCCAGATCTATACTCTCTAGATATTTTGAAATTACCAGGACAACACAAATGGGTGCAATTTGTTGTCGCAAATGGAATTAGTAAGCTCCCCACCCCACATACCACCTCTAAGCATGCAGCTTATTTTGAATCTTGGACATTGTGATGTTTCAGCTTGTAAGCCTTGGTTATTCTTTGATTAATGAGGCAGATAATCAAATTGTGCATTCCAATATTCAGATAACCCATGTTCTTGGGCTCCAGCTTCCATCAGCCGCAGTCAGCTGATGGGACGGAAGATGAAGGCTCCCTACCCCTGGCTTTCTCCTTACCCATTTTTCATTACAAAAGCAAGCTTTCCTATCGCTCCACAGTAATGGCAGGAGGAAGCACACCCACTAACAGTGCCCCTACTACATCCCTATTAAAAGGCCCAAGGGCCTCCCTTATACATGGAGTTGAATTTCAGATACTTTGATAGCAAACCTGTGCAGCATACTTAGCAGTAAAAAAAGATCTTCCGTAATGAAGCAATCAAAGGTTTGGGGTTTTTTAAGACCAAAATTCCAAAGCTAATCAAATTTAATAAAATATGCAATGAAATCATGCATCTGGTCATAATTGGGTGGTCGCAAACAGAAATGACAGAGTGCAAAACTAGATACTGCAGCCACCAGTTTCGTTTTTGCCTGTAGCTGTGAAGGATAATACAGGCAGTACTAAAAAAAATAATATCAAAACAAGCTGAAGGTCTTCTTGTCACTTCTGGCTGATAAATATTTATCAAGAAAGCTACTAGATCATTATCACTCTGGAGAATTCATCATAATATGTGGTTGCTTCAAAGCACAACAAAGCTACAAACTTGAAAAGGGTAAGATATACTGTTGTTTCTTATTATGAGTTTACCTATAATATAACTTAATGGATTTTGCATGAAGCAGTGCTAAGATGTGGCTTTCCTAAGATGTGAGCTTGAAAGGCAAAAATGCTGCTTTATTATCAAACATCCTAAGGAGAATTATCAGTTGGTGCTTTGAAACCACAAGCATTAAAGAAGGGAAACTGAACAGCTGGAGGAAGGCCACTTCGTCAGATCTATACACAGTTCTTCCTCCCAGGATAACAACATCTAATTCAACTATAATGATAACTTTAGCACATACACACACACACCGTAACAGCCATAGCTTTTCCATAACCGTGGGAAATGTCTTATTTGATCAAGTGCTGATAATAAGTAATGTCTATCGTCTTACAAAACTACAATGCCCTGCTGAGAAGGATGACTGTAAAACTAGTTTAGGACTACTGTGTGTAGGCACTTCACAGCATGCTACGGTATCTGTGGTAAAATACACATTGGACTTCTCTAAACATGCTGGTATGGTTTGTAATCTTCTACTCCCTTCTAGTGACTAAAGTTTTGTAAAAGATGCTGGATTCAATATGGCTGGCACTGTTATGGGGGGGGAAAACCGGTTTCCTAGGCATCTGTGGCACCGCAGCTGGTTAGTAAAACAAGCAGCTACCTTTCTGGCAAACTGAATTTCAAAGTGGTAAAAGTGTTTCTTGCATTGGTACCAGCAACAGGCCAGTGTGAAGTATTGTACAAGTCTGGAATAGCTTTTAGCAGATTGATACAAAGGCTTCCGAGTTCCTCACTTGACTGCGCTTGCAAGCTGTAGGCTGTCAATGGTGCCAACGAACCGACAAAAAGCAACACTAATGCTTATCCATGGTAATTAACGAAAGTTAATTGCACATAAATCCCACTGAAATCAATGGGTCAAATTAGTAGCAACAAACTTTAGTTCTATAAAGCATGACTACCTTTATTAGACTGAGCCCAGTGTCTGCTACAAAACCCTTCCAAACACCCTTCTGAGAGAGAGGCCATTATTGTGTTCTTTCCCATATTGCCAAATCTTTACAAATAATTCCTGGCCATTCCACTTTGACACAAGAGTACCTGCTTTTCATTTTAGAAAGCGTATTTTTGCTTTTGAGAAAGAGAATATTTTGTGTGTAACAAAATATAGACACATTCAGGGTTCATATTAGTTCACGTATATCCATTTTGGAGTATTCACCAGAAGCTTTTGAGCTGACAAACCCCAAACATCACATTCAGGTTAACAAGCAGCCCCCAGTTCTTTCAATTTTAAATCCACAGGGTATTCCGGAGAACATGAATACAAACCACTACTCAAAGATCTTTCTTTTTTTTAATAACAGCAGAAGCGTCTGGAGAAGAAAATGTTGCAACTGCAGATTGCTTGAGAAAACAGTGAAGTAAGAATACATTGTGTATTATTCTGAACTAGACACTTGTCTTTGTAGCAAAACATTCAAATCCTACACCCAAGGAAAGTATCAGAAATTAAGGATAAGTGAAAGCTTATGAAGCAATTCACAAACAAAAACATATACAATCTGTATACAATCGCTACAATATACAAATATCCAGGTTTTTGCAATACTCCTAATTGCCCACATCACATGCAAGTGGAATTGGTGCTGATGTCAGATATCTAAAATCACTGATTAATCCAAGTCTCTTCAATTCATCACTTCCCAAATTTTGCATGTGCTTGCTTACTCCTGCCCTTCACCAGTCAATTATGAAGTAGTTAAAAGTACAAATACTATAAAACCTATTAACACAAAACACAAAATAGCATAGTATAAGTATCTAATTAACTCACAGCAACTTAAAATAATTAAAAACAACAAAGTGGGTACCAGGAGAGCTTCCTTTAATAGGAATATGTGAATACTCAATATGCGAAGTACATCTTCATTCCACCAGGTTCTCTTATAATATTCCTATGTAACTATTACATTGTCCTAATTTCAATGTATTTTAATTAGAGATCTCTTAAAAGTTTAAGAAATGTGTCATCCACATGAATACTGCTAAAGCCCATAAAAGAACTAAATCAGTCGTATTATTCAAAATAATTAGTTTTTAATTTGCATGGTTCCTTTATTGTCTATAATTATTCTAAAACATGTTTTTAACCTTCTAATGAATCAATCACAACTGAACTGAAAAAAATTATCAAGACAATGAACCACAATTTCACAAATTTGCACCTAGCTCCAAGCCCTGTATATTAGGGTCAAGCAGGTTTCAAAAAAATATTACCAACTTCCCAAGAACTACTTTCCACAATGGTTGGTTTGGTTTATTTAAAGCCACAAATACATATCATGGTAGTTATTTTGCAACCACTCAAATGTACCTACTAAGGAAATCCTTTGCCATTTTGTCTGTAAAGTCATCCACCAAAGTAATCCCACCTGCACAAGGAATTCCATCTGTGCAAAAAACCTTTCTTTCCCATCTCTCCCTCCATCCCACCCACCAGCTTCAGATAGTTGGGGGAACCCCAAAACTGTTTGGTGAGGCACAGGGAGAGGAAGTCTCATTGCGCAGATGCAAGTTCTTCTGGTAACAGGATGGATTTATTGGATACAGCCTATTATTACAACAAGCAGGTAAAGTTCTATATTTGATAAAATGTATATAGTTCACTCTCAAAAACATGTCAGTCAGAAGTAACACTGATGTCTATCAGAAGGAAGCCTACTGATTTCATCAGCAGTAATACAGCAGATGTAAACAATGGATATGTACATATCCCAGAAATTCAAAGCCGATAAACATATGTAAGATATGTGTATTTATAGATACTTCTTCATAAGCCACAAGCTAACTCAAAACTATTATTCACACTACTGGGAGAAAGAGTATTGAAACATATCCAATATGTACTATGCAGGACGAGTTTAATTAATCCAATTATATTTGCATAAGTACTTTCTGTTCCTGAAAAAATAATTCAATAAATCTAGCACCACATAAGACAATGAATCAAACTCTACTTCTGTGTTCTTAAACTAATTTTAAATGTCTATAGAGAACCCAACAACAACAAGAGGTCACAGTCACTGAACTTTAGAATGTTGAAGCTGGATTCAGACCCAGAAATTAGCTCCACGGGTTCAGAAGTGCTCAGCTGAAAGGAGCACTGGAAGCTGCTGAAGTCTGCTCCAGCTTGGATTAAAATTCAAACCGGAGAAAATTTCTCAGTTTATGCCCTAGTTTAAATGGCTGCACCTGACAAAACTGCTCCTGGGCAGCAAAAGCCCATTATTTCAGTAGACCACCTTGCCACATGATTCTCTTTTGACTAATTGGCATTTCAGTAATCCTATTTTAGTATTCCTCCCGAAGAAACGGAACAAATCCTGAAGATCGTTAGGGAAGCACCATTGTGATTTTACTCAACTCCCACACTGGCATGTTATCCTGGTGGAAAAGCAGTGAAGGAACTATTTACATCGTTTAAAAAACTTTTCTGAATCCAAAGACCTAATTAATCAGAAACAAGTTTCTATTTCTATAGGAACCATAATCACTGACAGAAGTAGCTGTATCCAGCAAAGGTCAGGGTGTCAAAAGATCAGACTAATTACCCAAAGTCTCTTCACTCCCATGCTGCAGGAAAAAAAATTAAGAGTCCTCCACCTCGCCTTCTTCCTTGCAGCCTCCCCTTCCCATTTCATTTTCCCCACTTCAGATAACAACCTCATCCTAGTTGCAGGCTCATTCTACTGTCCCTGATGGGCAGCCTCTGAAGTGCTATTAACCTAAGTATGCATGGCTGAGCTCTTCGATACATTAAGGTATCTCTCCCTTGAAATGCCCTGAAGAAAATTAATTTGAGAGTACAGCCATCTGTAATGGTTTTGCAAGACTGCCCTTTTGCTGCATATCTAGGTGTGCAAGAACCACCTGCAAGAAAAAGGATTCAAATTTGCAGCCCATAAGGTCATTGCCCTACTTGGAACATCTTGGCCAGGCAAGACATGGAAGGTTTAGAAAATCCTGTGGTGTTTGGAAAAAGAGGCAGAGTTTCCTTTCATTTGTATAGTAGCTTGGAGAACCAAAGGGTAGGCTGCTGGATTCATCTAATTCAGCATTGTGCTCTCACAGTAGCCAACCATACGAATGTGGGAAACCCAGCAAGCAAAATATAAGCACAAGAGCATTATTCCCTCCTGTGGTTTCAAGCAACTGGTATTCAGAAGCATTGCTGCTTCCAACTGTGAAGGTAAAGCATAGCCATCATGGTTAGACTCCTCCTGTTTCTTGCCTTCTCCTTAAAGGTAAAGGTAAAGGACCCCTGACAGTTAAGTCCAGTCGTGAACGACTCTGGGGTTGCGGCGCTCATCTTGCTTTACTGGCCGAGGTAGCTGACTCTCCGCAGACAGTTTTTCTGGGTCATGTGGCCAGCATGACTAAGCCGCTTCTGGTGAAACCACAGCAGCACACGGAAACGCCGTTTACCTTCCCGCTGGAGCGGTACCTATTTATCTACTTGCACTTTGATGTGCTTTCGAACTGCTAGGTTGGCAGGAGCAGGGACCGAGCAACGGGAGCTCACCCCGTCGCGGGGATTCGAACTGCCAACCTTCTGTTCAGCAAGCCCTAGGCTCAGTGGTTTAGACCACAGTGCCACCCGCGTCCCTGCCTTCTCCTTAACAGAGTGCAAATAAAGAAAAATATCTGCCCTGGTGCTCCCTCAAGCCCTCCACACAAGCCAGAGGACTTAGAAAAGCCCAGTGGTTGGCAGTGAGGATAAAAAGGCTTAGCTAGTAAGCCAGGTTGAGATTTGGGGGCCTCTGTTAAAGCCCACTGACTTCAGCGTTAAATATTCCCTGTAGATCATGAGGAACAGCACTACAGGATCCAGTTTCCTTTGAACAAGTGAGCACTAGAGACTTATGGGGCTGGTTGAGATGTTATTTTGTAAACCATACAAAAGAATTTGTTTTAAAATGATAGAAAGTGCTTTAAAAACAAATCTCATTTTGTTCAACTGCTATTTTAATCAAGACAGAAGATGGTTCAATTTACTTTTCTATTTTCCATTTCTATAGTACCTTTCAAAAGACTACACAAAATATGTGATGTTGGGATTGTCTTACCTATACAGAATCACAGAACTGTAGAGATGGAAGGAACCCTGAGGATCATCTAGTCCACCCCCTGCAATGCAGGAATAGGCAGCTGTCCCTTACAAGGATCAAACCTGCAACCTTGGCAGTATCGGCACCAAGCTTTAACCAACAGTCAATGCACCAGTTTTAGCATGTTGACATAGCCTTTCCCAGGTTTTCCTTCCAACAGCAGAGAATAACTTGCTATTACTGTAAGTTTAAATAAGTATTTAAACATTCCAGACTAAAAAGTCAAAATGAAGTGAATGAGCAGAACCATTCAGCTTACAAAAGCGATTAAACTCACCAAGGACAGCAGCTTTGCTGTTGGAATGAATAGCGAAATGTGCAGATAAAAGATTAGTGTTAATGTCTGTCTATACAAGAACACTTACAGATAACCTCCAAAACAGAAAAATGTGCTACATAAACATGAGTCATCAATGGGATGAACAGGACACAAAAGCTGGTGCTCTTGAAGGCTGTGAGTATTCTTTCCAGGGGACTAGAAGGAACAGCAGTATTCTTTGGAAAGACCTTGCATGTACTTAGGCAACAGCTTTCACAAAATAGTTTGGCCAGCTCATGGGATCGCCAACACAACCCTGGAAGCTGGCATGTGCCTGCAGAGTTCCAAACATTCCCACCTCACCACACACACACACCCTGCCTGTACACAACACCCTTCACTGGCATTAGACAAAGTTTTGAGGGGTTTAACAGCTGGGAAGGAGTCACCATTCTCCTCCACAGCTGCACATTCAGCCATCACACTTGTTGTGCAATATTTCTTGGAATACCAACTTCATAAATTTTCTGTAGCATCTTAGACTGCTTCTCTTCCACTACCACTCTCAATGGCATTTTACAAAAAGTAGCAATTGATGAGATAACCACATCACATTTACCCTTGCAAATATGAAAAATAAAGACTTGAGCCTCCTATCACCAAATTAGCACCATATTTCTAAAGAGTGAAAAATAATCAAAGGCACCAGTGAATGCAAAACAGATGCTCAGCAGATATTGCTGGTGACATCCTTGGATAATCAGCTCAGAGCGGAAACAACCAGATATATAGGTTATGTGAGTGTAACATACGTAAGATTCAAGTATGAACTACTGGTAGTTATACAGTGAAGATAACTCTAACCTGCTCGGGGTTCTACAGTCCTATTTGCCCCTTCATCCATAAAGACAAACCGTCCACCTCCAAAGTCTTCTGTGTAGTCTGAGAGGTAAAGCAATGACGTGTAGTCAAAAGAGCCGTAGGTCACCTAGGAAATAAAACCATCAAATAAAAATATCCAGTCCCACAGGGCTTTCTCTGTGCAAGTTTGAGGATCTTGGGAGTTATCATCATCACCACTGATTTATTAACTGCCTTTTAACAAGGAGGCAATTTACTCTTATTAAAAAGTGTTTAAATTGCGGGGGGGACCACACAAATAAATTTAAAACAAGACTAAAACACTTGCAAAACAGACAAAAGTTCTTCTAGGGATATTATACTTAAACAACAACTTAAGGCGAAGAACATCTCAAACTGGTTTGTAATTGTATTTGTAAATAAATAAATATTTGTAAATATCTATTTATTGAGAACCAATCTTGTCCAACTCTTTTGGATCGAATCTCTCAGAAGAAATGGATACGACTTTGAGCTCTCACACCCCTGTGGAGACATATCTAGAATCCTAGAACTGTGCAGCTATATAGCAGGGTCTCAGACTGTTATCTAGCCAAATCACTTACGCTATGTGGAATTTTCTGCATCATGCTGGCCCCATGTCAATACCTCAGCCAAACAGAACCAAAATAAATGCAGCTAGGAAATGTACCTTCGTATAGCAGATATAAATCCAAAAGGTACCTAATTTTCACTTCCTTTTTCCAGTATTTAAAATCAGAAAGTTTCATTTTGTGACATTTCTTTTACAAGTATTGGGATATCAGCACACTCGATTCCCCACAAAGAATTTGTGCATTCCTATCCTTTTACTACTTCATCTTTGCAACATTGCTGATTATTCTTTTGATCTGATAAACACTTTCCCCATTTGACAAGCATTTACTAACTGCAACAGAGTGGGCGAACTGTATTTACAACTACTGTTAAAGCAAGCTTGAAATCGTCCTAAGGAAGAAAATCCATTCATTGTGCCATCTGAAACGACGCCTTTCAAATCCACTGCAACATTTTCCCTATAGGTCATGGTTGGCAACCTCTTATAAAATGCTGTATTATTCAATGTTATTGGAGCACTTTAAATGGATTTCTGAGCAAACAACAGAATGTTTCCCTTAGAAATTGATTTTTACTTCAGCATAGGTCACAGTTTCATATTTCAGATATGAGAGGACCTTTTGAACGTGACTGATGCAATGTAAAATAATGTTTTGTTAATTTGCTAGAGCAGGCATAGGCAAACTCGGCCCCCCAGATGTTTTGGGACTACAACTCCCATCATCCCTAGCTAGTAGGACCAGTGGTCAGGGATGATGGGAACTGTAGTCTCAAAACATCTGGAGGGCTGAGTTTGCCTATGCCTGTGCTAGAGCCTCGCCCACGAAATAAACAAGAACTTTCATTCATGTCAGGATTTAGAATTCTATACCAAAACCCCAAATTCCCTGAGTCCCAACCCTAACCTTTAAAAACAAATACCAGGAAATATATTTAGCATGCCAAGATACCACCACACAATTCTGGGAGGGAAACACAGAAGAAATAAGTTCCTCAGGTGAAAATCAAGGGAGATTTGAAAGGCTAACTTGAAAATTCATGGGAGGGGGCATTCCATGAACCAGCATATGCTTTTTGGGATTACTCTACTATGTTATTTATTTGGTGGAGCAAAGGGACAGACAGTGTGGGGAGGAAAAACAGGAAAAGTGGGAGACACATTTTCTGTCTGTCTAGGGCTCCAACAGATGGAAAAGTGACTCAACAACATGCAGTGACTACATCATTCAAAAGAAAAAACAACAGAGATACACCAGTCACTAAATTTCTGCTGCTAGACTGTCCAACACAACTATTGTGCTAAATATAGCAGGAATGGGGAACTCTTGGCTCCCCAAAGGTTGTTTGGCTCCAACACACATCAGTCCCAGCTTTGTCCAAAAAGCATCTGGAAAGCCACAGGTTCACCATCACTGTGTTAAAGTGATGCACCCTGATTAATTTTTCACAACATGAATCAGTGGGAAAAAAATTCAGGAGAGAAAACCCAGTACCTGTAGAAACAGTTAACTTTTCTAAGGATTTAACACTGCTTAGAAGCTACTTTCACACAGTTGTAAAATATAAACCCAATATAATCAGTTTAAAGACAAGGAAGTTTATAAACACTGGTGTTATTCAAAGAAGGAGTGACATTTTGCAAATACTAAATCGGGGTGCATGTTCTGTACACAAACATACATGCCTAAGTTTCAAGATTTCTTGTAGCTGTAATTTATTTTCCTGGAAGTTCTTACATAAGTACAAAACAGTTCGACTGTTGGCCTGTTATCTTTCAGTTTCTGTTTTGGCCCTTTTCCTTGCTTGTTTTTACAACTACAGCCACAGACGACCAAGTATGGTAAGCCTTAACTGCTTGTGTATTACACAAATTTACAGTCCCCACCATACAGAAACGTAAAAAGCTAAAAAGTGGGGGGTTTTTTCAATCTTACTGCTAATGGAGGACAAAGAGTTGCAAATGTTGAAATTGATGAGATACAGCAATTTGAGTCTATCTAGTAGATTCTCATCTGGAAGGATTATGGAAATCCTGCAGAATGTATGAAACAAACCAGACAAGCAAGACCAATGTGGGCAGGAAGAATATCTGATTTGGACAAGGAACACTTGGGTTCAAATCTCTGCTAAAGAATTAATTTGCTAAGTTTATCAACTGGAAAATGGAATTAACAATGTGATCCTATACTCATTTACTCAGGAGTTAAACTCAGTGAGAGTTATTTCTATGTAAACATACTTGGAACTGAAGTATTAATCACAATAACTTGCTGTAGTAATGCAGTAATTACTGTTCTAGTGTCTACATTTACTAAGACAATAGCATACTATACTTAAAGAACAGATATGAAGGGTTGTTGGAGTAGAAGGGGAAAAACCCACTTACCTTATCAATATGTGGGTGCCAGTATTCATCATGAGTTGTCTTGGCTTCTGAGTTGTTTATTCTAGAGAAGAAGGTTGGCTTCGTCAAATACATGGAAGAGGAGCTGATACCAAAAGTGAGAGCTATTTTTTGTTGGATCCGCTGCCTCACATCACTGCAAAGGAGAAAACAGCATCTTAAGTGACTGGGACGCTGTACAATGGCACAGGACTCAACACTATTTTCTCTCTATAATAATGCTTAAGCATTTATACAGCGTTTTCAAAGTGCTTCACGTACATATTCTCAGGAATCCTTAAAAAAAAAACTGTCTGATGCAGTTCACCAATATTATGTATTGCAAATGGTGAGCTGAGAGTGTGTGGCCTGCATAAAATCACCTAGTGAGTCCTCAGCAGAGGCAAGATCAGAATCGGACTTCCTGATAAGTACTCAGCCATCAAACGACATCATTGTCTATACTGACTTATGAGGACTCCTGAGAAAAGTGAAGCTGAGTCTTGCAACAAGATATTGCAGTGTATCTCTACTACTATCTGACTAGGTTGCCTCAGCCACTCTGGCCAGCTTCCAGCACATACAAAAACATAATAAAACATTAAACATTAAAAACTTCCCTATACACGGCTGCCTTCAGATGTCTTCTAAAGGTTGTATATTTACTGATCTCCCTGACTTCTGATGGGAGGGCGCTCCACAGGGATTGCTGACCTGCTCTCAGCTATGCTACAGAACCACCACTCTATGACCAAACAGTGATACTACAAATTCCAGCCCACCCAGCATCAGGTGACGCAAGGAACCAAGAGGCTCCCATCTGGCCCTAACAAAGCAGCAGACTCTGGCTGAGATCCTCTGACTGAGCAACTCATCACTCAGAAATAGACTAAACTGCTTTTCTAGCTGCACTGTCACTTGCTCAGCCACCTTTGGAAATATTCTCTGGCCTTCCTGACCTGATTGCACGTGTGGCAGTTCATCTGCGTGCCTACATTAAATCACTCTGCACTGGATAAGCTAGTAGAAGAGTTTCATTCAAAATAGGTAGAGAAGTTGCTCTACATTAAAGAGCTCAGGATGCAGAAAGGATACCTCTTCCTAATGCCTATTACTGGGATAACATTAGATTCAGCAGATCAAAGGAAAGAAGAATATACTGCCTTTTAATAGACTTAAGCCCAGCAAGGCTCTGTACCTGGTTATCTGGCAAGCTGTCTCTTTACTGGAAAAAAGATAAGCAAAAATGCTGCTTCTGACTGTCCTAAATTTCCATCAGTGAGAAATTTAGAAGCAAATAGCCAGTGCAGTAGACCCACATATTTGCACATGCGCAGCTTGCTATACCTGCTGTACAGGTACCCTGACGTGATGACCTTCAGAAAAGTGCAAGGCTCATCTTATTGAGCTGGTTTATGCTGGTACTACTTGGCTTGCATATTTTTTCGGAGCAAGACAGAAAGACTTCCTGAAGATATTTTCGGTCAGCATACCTGGTGGGAATAACAGGACCCAGCAGGAAATATGGCCAGCTTCTAAGCTGCACATGAGTTATTATAGTAATACGGTTTCCATCTGTCACCAAAATGCCACTTTCCTATTTCTTAGGTCTACCAGCCAAGGGAAATGGAAGTTCATTCAGAAGGTAAGCTATTTTTACCCAAGCAAATCAGTTTTTTAAAGTCTCAGGCATTTTATTTCAATAAGTGTTGCAGCTCATTTTGAAATCTTGCTCGATGACGACAGCTTCTGTGCGCACTGTCTATCTCTGAAAAATCAATCCAGCCATTCAGGTAGACAATAAGCCTCTTTTGCTGCTGTTCCCTTGAGCTATCATTCTGCAGACCAATCCACCGGCTGTATTGTATTGAGAACTCCTTTTTAGAATTTATCCTGCGCTCTATGCAATACTTCTCATTATATCTATAATGAAATGGCACTCCTTAATGCAAACCATTTTCATTTGATATGATGAAAATGTATTTAATATCAACCCATGATTCTGATGTTATGATTTTTCCAGCTATTCAAAGTATAAACCTTTTATTGCATCAGATATACTAAAATGTAGCTTCTGATAATGTAAAAAACAAACAAACCATGCGCTGCAAGCAAAGGGTGGTATTTAACAACATTTTGAGTAGTCTCATTGAAATTAAGGTATCTAATAGCATTGTGTTCATTTATTTCAATGGATCTACTCTGAATAAAACTTAGCTGAGTAACACCCTAAATAATTACACTAAATTCATTAAAGTGGTTGGTTTTAAACCAAAAGCATCCCTCCTCCTTACTACGTGAAGCAGCACAGTACTATAACCAGTCCAAGCATTACCCACCTTGAGCATAACACAAGAGAGAAGTCAAACTATATTTCATCACCACAAGCAGCTGCTGTTTTAACAGAGTTTAAAATACACATTCACGAGTTCGGAATGTCAGCACTACTTTGCTGCCAGAAAATGCCTGGAATGCTCAGCAGTGCTGCTTCTTAATGAGCCCTCAACAAGGTGTTATTTTTGTGAGTTTGTTTTTTTAAGTCCTTCATAGCTTAACACAAGTAAGTCATGATGAAGAGTGTGTTTAGCATAAACCTTAAGGTATGCAAGACACTGGGAGAAAAGTGTTGCCATTGGGAAAAGAAGATTCAGCAGAGAAAGCCTGCAGGTTTTCTCTGGCAGACAAACATTTTCTCTGCTACAGAGTCTAGATCAGGCATAGGCAAACTCAGCCCTCCAGATGTTTTGGGACTACAACTCCCATCATCCCTAGCTAACAGGGCCAGTGGTCAGGAATGGTGGGAGTTGTAGTCCCAAAACATCTGGAGGGCTGAGTTTGCCTATGCCTGGTCTAGATTCAATAATGGTAGTTTTGTTTCTGTTAAATATCACACCACCACCACAAAATACACAAGTCCCATGAAACACAAAGGCAGAGGTCCAAGCTGGATAACTAGAATGAGCAGAGACAGTGGCTGTCTACAGTAAACAGGGAGGGCTGGTGAAGATAGGTTTCTGGCTTTCTGCTAACCACAGCAATTTAACTGGGAACTAGTCTAGGAAACCTCTGCTCTGTCATCCGCCCTCAACCCCCCCCCCGGAGTAAAACTGCCACTCTCCCACCTCAGTATGAAAGACCATGAATAGTGCTGACCCTCACTCCTGATTTTTTATTCTAAATTCTTAAATCCATTGGACAAATCCACAATAAATTTAACATTGCTAGCTTCTTCTTTTTTTAATGGCACCCTGTAGATGTCAAGAGTGGTTGAATTTTTGGACAAAATGGACTGTTTCAAGAAGTGGCAGAGAGATATCTCCAGATTTGTCTGGCAGGGCAAGAAGCCTCGTATAAAATTTAAGATATTAACTGATGCTAAAGAAAGAGGTGGATTTGCCCTGCCAGACTTAAAACTTTATTATGAATCAGCCGCTTTTGTTGGCTGAGAGAATGGATGCTTCTTGAAAACACGGATGTTTTGGATTTGGAAGGTTTCAATAATGTATTTGGTTGGCATGCATATTTGTGGTATGATAAGGTCAAAGCACACAAAGCGTTTAAAAACCATATTGTAAGAAAAGCACTGTTTAATGTCTGGATAAGATATAAGGATCTGTTAGAAAATAAAACCCCAAGATGGCTGTCACCAATGGAAGCAAAGGCTTTGAAAAAACTCAATATGGAGGCCAAATGGCCGAAGTATTGGGAAATTTTAGAACAAGAGGGTGACAGATTAAAGCTACAGAGCTTTGAAAAATTAAAAAACAGAGTACGAGATTGGCTCCATTATTATCAAATAATGGAGGCATATAATCTGGATAAAAAACTAGGTTTTCAGGTGGAAAAATCAAAGCTGGAAACAGAATTGCTAGACCCTAAAGTTAAGAATTTGTCAAGAATGTATAACTTGCTGTTGAAATGGAATACCCAAGATGAAACGGTGAAATCTGCTATGATTAAATGGGCACAAGATGTTGGACATAATATTATGATGACTGACTGGGAACAGTTATGGAATACTGGTATGAAGTTTACGGCATGTAATATCTTAAAAGAGAATTTAATGAAAATGATTTACAGGTGGTACATAACACCAGTCAAGCTTGCAAAAATTTATCATTTGCCCAATAATAAATGTTGGAAATGTAATGAAACTGAAGGTACATTCTTTCACCTTTGGTGGACGTGCCCAAAGATTAAGGCATTCTGGGAGATGATCTATAATGAAATGAAAAAGGTATTTAAATATACCTTTCTAAAGAAACCAGAGGCCTTTCTCCTGGGCATGGTAGGCCAATTGGTGCCAAAGAAGGATAGAGTTTTTTTCATGTATGCCACAACAGCAGCAAGAATACTTATCGCAAAGCACTGGAAGACACAAGATCTACCTACCAGGGAAGAATGGCAGATGAAGCTGATGGACTACATGGAGTTGGCGGAAATGACTGGCAGAATCCGAGACCAGGGAGAAGAGTCGGTGGAAGAAGATTGGAAAAAATTTAAAGTATATTTACAGAAATATTGTAAAATTAATGAATGTTAGAAGGATGCTGGAATGAAGTTATATGGCCTTAGCAGAAATGTTATAAAGAATTAAGTAAAAATAGATTGTTAATGGGTTAAAGTGGAAATTTAAGGTTAGATTGTGTTAAGATAAATTATAGAACAAAAATTAAGAAAGATGGAAAGGATTTGCTGAAATAGCTAATTGAACAAGAATACAAAAAAGGGAGGTGTGAGGAGGTCGATGACACAAGTAAATGAAAGGTAGAGATATAGAGATATTGGATGTGTTTTTTAAATGTTTTTGCTTTTTTTGTTGTTCTGTTGTATTGTTTTTTTTGTTTTTTCTCTTTATTTTTGATGTATTGTGAACATTTTATTGTTTCTTTTTTCTTTTTTCTGTAACTATTAAACTTTTAATAAATATCTTTTTTTAAAAAATGAATTGTCTCCGTCCTTTGTCAATGAAAAGAGCTAATATGATAGGGTAGAGAAGTACAGATACCGTTGTACAATGCAGAAGGCATTCCAGTGAGCTCACATTTAGAATAAAAAATCCTATTTTGGTCACATATGCCTGAGAAGGGTTAATTCAAGGTCATGCATGTAGAACTAAGAACTAGACTGTTGAAAGGAGTAGAACAATTTTTCTTGCAAGCCGAGTTCTTAAGAAAGTTGGGGCCTTTCCACTTCTTTTAGAAGTGGTACCACAAATGAGGGAGGCAAGAGAAAGGCAGCTATGAGTAAAATATGACAATATATTAACATGATTTTGGTTAGGAAATAGAAGAAAGTGCCTAAATCTTAGAGATGTCCAATGGAACAATAGTAGGGGGTTAAAGAACCTTACTAGAACCTTACTAGAACCTTACTAGGCTGGTCAAACAAGTATATGAAGAAGACTGTACAACTGCTTTGTTGAACACTTAATTATGGCCAAAATAGCTTTCCTCTTCTCTGCGTGAAGTCTTGGGTTTCCTCCTCGCCACCCCTTCCTCTAGCCTAGGGCAACCAGAGACAGGATGTTAGGCAATGCGGAGATCAACCCATTAAAGTTTTCTTGGGGTAACTTGATGAATGGGTTGTGCTCACACAAGACCTGAGTGGTTGTCACAGGGTGGGATGGGAGTTTTAAAAATATACCCCTGTCCCAAGGTTGTATAGACAGCAACTTCGGTGGTATTTTGCCTTCCTCTGCAGCTTGCTCTTTCATTCATTTGCAATGCACCTGCTCCCTGCTTGTGGCACAGTGTGATCTGGATTGCATAGGTTAATGGGAGCTTAACCTTTGATTTAATAAAGGCTGAGCTACCAATTTCTATGAAATGCAGCCAATGCCACATGCCTCTTTCTCCTACACTATTGAAGGGTATGTTTGACTGTTAAAGAGTCTTCTTAGCCATGTAACAAGCAATATATCTCATCAGCAGTTCAAGTATCATGCTGCATTTAGACACACCTCTTCTAAGAGACACACTACAAATTGTCCTCATCCACACAATTAAAGTTGTACAGTGGTACCTCTGGTTACGAACTTAAATCGTTCCTAAGGTCCGTTCTTAACCTGAAACAGTTCTTTACCTGAGGTACCACTTTAGCTAATGGGGCCTTCCACTGCCGCTGTGCTAACAGCACACAATTTCTGTTCTCATCCCGAGGTAAAGTTCTTACCCCAAGGTACTACTTCCAGGCTAACGGAGTCTATAACCCGAAGTGTTTGTAACCCGAGGAACCACTGTATTTGACAGCAGTTTGGAAGACAATAAATACCCTTAATGGGGCTTTCTTTTCTTACCGATATAAATGAAAATCTTCTTCTGTAAAGGTATCATGGACTTTATCACTGAAGTATCTGTGGGGGAAGACAATTCAAAGACTGAAATAAATAATACAAAGTGCAAGTTAAATCCCTGCAGCAGCTGGTGCTTAACTTTTCTTTGCAAATTAATTTACTCAAACCAACTTTATCCCAAGCAGTTATTAAAGATTAGTAAACAAGAAGCACTCTGATGACTTAAAGGATGCTATGGTGAGAGGAAAACTATTAATTCTGCAGGAAACTGATCACCACTTGAGGGCACAAATTATTTTGCTTTCTGCATTACATTACAAATCTAAACTGTGGTGGGAGAAACTCTTACATCCAGCATCTACTGAGACAGCAAATATTTATATCTCTCCTACAGGCCCAGCTTAACACCACTTGCTAACAACACTTAGTATCACAGCTTTTTGCAAAGGCCAGCAAACTGCTGAAGAATCCATCAATCAACCTGCAGCATCAGAGCTTTTTCTCTTCCCCCACCCAAATGTCTATTCCATCCTGAAGAACCTAAGAGCACTAAAATCACCTGTATCCAAGGCACTGAATGCCAAGGTGCAACTCTACATTACCTGTACATGTTAACAAAATGCTTCCCCAAAGAAAGAGCTCCAGAGTGCAAGTCCAGAATTGAAGCCTGGGAGGGGGAGAAAATCCAAACAAGAAGAAACAAATCAGCAAAAGGAAGACTATTAAAAGGAGACTAGGTCTCTGTTCTGTGCAATCTCAGATGGTGGGTTGTATCCAATGCTCCACACAAACTGCTTGGCTGGTGCAACAGGGCTTCTGTTTCCTCCCCCCACCGTGTACTCCCCAAATCTGCTCCAGGGGACAGGAGATACAGCACTCTTGGTTTAAAGTTGTGCTAGTTTATATATATATAAGAGTCAGAAATCAAGGCACAATAGACTTATCTAGTGTTAACTTTCCCTCTTCAGCTATCTCTTCCCCTAGAATTCAGTGGTGTATATTCATGTTTCAGGACCTGGCATGCAAGTATTCGAATATTATTCATAACATGTTTTTCCTGCATTGATTCCTATATAGTTCTAAAGCAATTTAATTTACCACTAAGGCTGGGAGAGGAGGGAAAGATGAATCTCTTATGCTCATGCATGACCAAGAACTCATTTTCAAGGTTCTTCTTTTGACCTGCAGAAAAACTGCTGGCCTTTTTAAACCGCAGTCATTACAGAAGGCTATACACTTCACACTATCCTGTGACTTGGCCAGTCCCACATTTCCACTGTTTTAGCTAAAGAAGTGACCTTTCTGCTTTCTGAAGCAGCACAAGTTTGGAGCACTGCAGGGGAAAGAAAACTATTAAGGCAATTATACTGAAAGGGTAGTTAATGGGACTTTCAGGAGCTTGTTTTTTTTTAAAAAAAAACAAACAGCAGCAAAACCACACAGACAGGAAGAAAATATCTGCAATAATGTAGGCCTAAAGGGTAAATGCTTAAGATTTAAATGTGCTGGGAAATGAGAGGTTCAACTTCAGAATAGGGGAACTAATTAAATGTCAGGTGTTGAGTGGACCACAGTAACAAGAGACTATACAGTGGTACCTCGGGTTAAGAACTTAATTTGTTGTGGAGGTCTGTTCTTAACCTGAAGCTGTTCTTAACCTGAAGCACCACTTTAGCTAATGGGGCCTCACGCAGCTGCTGCACCACTGCTGCGTGATTTCTGTTCTCAAAGTTCTTAACCTGAGGACTATTTTTGGGTTAGCAGAGTCTGTAACCTGAAGCATCTGTAACCTGAAGCGTCTGTAACCTGAAGCGTCTGTAACCTGAAGCGTATGTAACCCAAGGTACCACTGTATTCACTAAATGGCTGTGCTGTAAAGAAATAAACAGCAGTTGCTTTTGCACCAAAAAAGAAAAAATCTCACAGCAGATATTTTTGGGTCCATGTTCTATTCCTTGGTAATGTGGACCAAAGGATGACAAATTCACAAAAGCCTCAATTTTCGAATCAGGATTTGTGAACTGTCACAACTGCTTAGAGTTCTTGATGCTAAAGTCTTTAATAAAAAATATGTCTTTAATAAAAAATATATTGAATGAAATTCAGCATCACAAAACAGGAATGTGCATCCTTGACCCTTGTAATTGGTAGGCTCTAGATCAGGAATGGGAACCACAATACCCATAATTCCTGACAATTGGCCATGTTGGCTGGGATGGATGAGAGTTGGAATCTAGCAACAACTGGGGGTAGGGGGCATTTCTGTTTTGGATTATTCTGGTCAAACACTAGGGCATTGGTCTTCTGCTCTGCCTGGTCAAGGGAGCAGTACTTAGTACCTTCTGCTTGTTATGATTTACCCTGCAACTTCTACTTTACTGACCTCAAGTATCTTTAAATGTAGATAGTTTAGACCTAGATTTGGGTAAAGATGCTCCCAGATGGCCTTGGCAACAGGACAGAATATTGGGCAAGCCACAGCTATTCACTTGGGAAGAAAGCCCTTGGATGCAGAGAAACCCTCCACCCCTGGATTTCATCATCAGATGCAACAGTAAGCTATGGTTTAGCATTATGTGCATAGTTGGATTCCAGTTTTAGGACAAACTATGGTTTGCAAACCAGTTTCTGAAACTGAGATGCAATGGCAAATGTCATCCCTCTTCATTCTTGACGCCACTGTCACAAGCCCACCCAGCCCTGCACTTTAGGCAAAGGTCTGCAGGGGGAGTGATAGCATGAGAAAGTAATGCTATGACTGTGCTGTACTTTCGAGAATGAGGGAGGGGGAAGTCACCCTAGACTGCTGCAGGTGAACTTTCCCCTTTCCAGCACCAACTACCACTAACTGTCCATTGGAAGGACTCCCAAGAAAGTGGTACAGGCAGCTGAAGACATCAGGACCTGTTCCAGCCATCTATTGTGAGCTGCCCTGCAGGAAGGTTCCTGTTGACTTGCTACATGTTGATATTGCTTATTGTGTTCATATTTAAATGCACATTGAAGTTACTTGTCAGTATCAGTATCCTGAAAGGTGGGATCTAAGCCATTTTAATAAATAAATGTTTGCCTTCTGACTTTTGAGCCTGTCGGTTACAGTTACTGTCAACTTTTTCCCTCTGAAACCTAAGGGCTTAATCCTAACTTTTTTCTTTAAAATTGAGATTATTGAGATTATTTCCTTGGCTCTGTTCACTGCACATTACAAGCCACAAACCCTACACCTATTCTCTATAGCCCATTGGTTTCCCAAAGGCAACACATGACTCACTACTAGGGCTTGGAAAATTGCAACCATGACCACTTTTATCCCATTGTCTCTTGAAATCACCCCAGCACATAAACTGCGCGACCACTGTTAATTTCTTTGAGGCGGAAAATCTACATAAAGGAAGATTGTGAAACTGTCTCTGAAAATCAGTTGCTTCTCTATTATGGTGGAAGGAACCTACCTGTGTTGAATGAAGCCCCAAATTTAAGCCTATGATAATCCCCCATGGCGGCCCAATGTTGCAGCAAGAGGAGATTTTGAAACAGACTGAAGAATGCATAGCCTTGACAAACTGCTTGCCATCAGATTTAGTCAAGGCACATTTGCATCTGAATCAAGTGCAGAGAATCAAGGACCGTTATCTTGTTTTGACTCCTACCCTTTGCTCGCTGCAATGAAGTCCTTAGTGAATTATTCAGAATGGAGATGTACAATAACAAGAAAACAGAGAACAAAAGCCTCATTCATTTGATTTCTTGAAGTGCTATTAGGAGAAGTCGCATCCTCCATCATCATCCTGATCAAAATATACAGGTGCCATTTAGGTAGTTGTTAAGGTTAATTTTGAAAGGCACAGGCGAGACAGCCAGTTGCGAATGAACTAATTCCATTAAGGTGAAACTCTTAGACTCTGCAGAAACAAAGTACAAGTGACTCATAGCAGAGGGAACATGAGCAGCAGGAAACAATACAAATGTCAGAAACCATATTCACTCAGTCCTTACACCTCTCATAAGTAGGATCATGCTGGATAGCATCAAGATGGAAAGAACACAATTGGAAGAACTGGAAAAGGTAATAAAAGACAAGCCCTGTATTGAATGGCTTCACATGTGTCCCAAGTTCTCAAGTCCAGGAGGTGGGAAGACAGCCAGCTCTGGACAGGGTTGCACTCCCATGGAATGAGCAGCTCTGTAGCTTGGGGATAACCCGGGATCCAACACTGTCACTGAAGGCACAGGTGGCAACAGTGGCTACGACTGTCTGTTTCCAGCTCTGCCAGGTTTGCCAGCTGCAGCCCCTTTTGGGTAGAGATGACTTGGCCACAGTACTCCATGCTCTGATAACGCCCAGATTGAAGTATTACAATGTACTTTACATGGGACTGCCCTTGAAGATGACTCAGAAACTTCAAGTGGTCCAAACTATAACAGTCAGATTACTGGCTGGAGTTCCATTTTAAACCCCCATTTTAAAACAGCTTCACTGGTAGCAGGTTTGTAGCAATGCCATTCACTTTCTTCTCATGTTCCAAAAGTATACTCACTGTTAGCAAAGTCAGTAAGATAATGTAGATGGAGTCCAGAGAGAAAAGTTCTGATAACACTTTACTGAGGAAACTGAGCAAAACAGTGTATATTTTGAACAGAAATACGCAGAGGCTTTGTCTCTTAGTTCAGGCCTTGTACAAAGCAGGGAGACCTTCAACCAAACATGCAGAAGAACAACTCCCATAGAACTACACAGCCAATCAGAGCACATGCTACCTCAGGAAAGTTCATGCCATTCTGACTGGTTGCTAAGTAATACCACCACAAGCCCCTTGGGCCATTGACTAGCACTAATAACACCACCGTTAAATAGCATGCAGAACGATTTCTGCTGTTGCACTTCCAACACTCACAAGAGTCAATGAATTGAAATAAGCTCCCCTCCTGTTAGCCCTAATCATAAACTCCATATCTACCCATTTTGGCTCTACCATCATGGAAGGGGGAGCTTTAGAAACAAACTTTTCTATGGATCCTTGGTGCGCAATTATTTTACCGCCTGTACTTACTCAGAAGGTAAATGGAATTTTAGCTCCTTATATTACAAAAAGTAAAGCAACATAAAAGGATAGAAACTGAACGGAAAATTGTAAAACATGCATTCAAAGGCTAAATGCAATTATGAGCATTTATGATTTCAAAGCCAGTCTGATGCATTTGGGGGCTAAATTTTGGAAAGTCATTCTCATTGCACCTTTGCAAACCATAAATCAAAACTTCAGTTCTTCAACAGACTAGCATTTTAAATCTACTTTTGATTTCTCTGCATCTGGCAAATAGCCCCAAGACATCAAGACGATTTACGTCACGAACAGTCCATGGCCAATTGCAGAGACACCTGTCAATCGAGCTGATTGGATTGCACTCAAAGCAATTACATTCCATATTGAACAACAGAGCCGCTTCAGCTCTCAGTAGGCTACAAAATGCAATGAAATACAGGAATAGTAAAAAGAACGTCCTTCTATCGAACAGTCTTTTACTGTGAAAGACTGCTGCCTGTCTCTGTGGGCAGAATGGAAAGGTAGCTCACTTTGTATTGGTGGGCTGAAGGAGTGCCAACTTGGCCATGCAGCCATGGGTGCCCGGGGCTGTGGGTGCCATGCAGCATGCATAGACCTGGCACCGAATTTTGTGGGTGCCCAGCCTCTTCATGGGGAATTTTGTGGGTGCTCGGGCACCCAGGGTCCAGGGAGTTGGCACCTATGGAGGCTGCAAGAGTGTTTGAAAGAGTGTTCACTGGGACACACAGCACTGAGAGGCCCTGGGGCACCGCAAGTACAAAAGGGCACCCTCATTAAATGATTTCTGGTTGGGTATGCTGCAGCTGAAGAAACACTGAAGCTGGAGCATTTACATTTAAGGTTATTGAGACCTTGTTCTCAAACCCCTTTACTTGAAAGTGCCATAGAAAGCAAGGGTGCTTTCTCCCAAGCAAATGTGTTTAGGATTAAGGGATGACACAACTGAGATGGCATATAGTCTGTAACACAGCTTTTAAAAACTTAGATACAAAAATATTCCCTTTTTTTGGAAGTATACCACCTTCACTTATTTGACAATTAACTATGCAAAGTCTGGTGATGCTTCACATTCTACTGAAGGACGGTCACATTGATCTTCCATCCCATACTCCTTCTACATTAGGCATCTTTCCTCAAACTCTTTTTTTTTCCTCTGGAGGATGCAGATTTATCCTCTGATTGCTCAGGCATCTTCCACCATCCCTCTCCAAAAGGTCAAGAGAGATAGATTAGACTGAGTGGCAGTGTCCTGCCAATGACCACCAGTTGAGGGTTATGGCCAAGCTGGGATTCAGGCCCATGGGAGAAATTCACCATTGTTCTAAGGCGAATGTTCCACCAGCACAAGATTTTCAGCTTGTCAGATGGAACAATCCCTCCTCTCCTACCTGTGCTCCACTGCACTGTTTTGGGGGTTCTTCCTCCCCTTACAGGCAATTTCAGGGGGGCATGAGGGGGAACCACTTTGCGCAAGTGGAAGTCCATGTGCAGGGTTCTGTGTATGGGATTAGGTGAATCCTTCCCCCTTGTTGGTGTAAGGGGGGCGGGATAAGGGAAACACAGGATCAGAAACTACATGAGGATACTTCCCCTTGTGAGCAAGTGGGAAAGGGGTTTCTTTGCTCTGTGTACTTCCTTTTCCCTGACCCTGCTGCCCAACTCATTCACCACCCACCATGGTACAAATGCCTGCCCCTCACTCTCAAAGCACCATGTATTAGTTCCTCCTCTTCAAGCTCAGTCTTGCCAAAAACAATCTTAATTTGCAGTTAGGAGCAAGCAGCATTGGAGCAGTTGAAGGGAAGTCTAGAATAACTATAGACAAGCAAAATATATATTTTGCCACACGGGGATGAGGGCAGAGTCCTACATTTCTTCCCCATTCCTGACACTCCTCCCCAAAACCCATTTAAAAAACAAAAATCTAAAGAATCTTGCCTGGATACCAGAAGAATGTAAAAGGTAACAGGACACTGCTCACCCCTCCGTCTGATCCTCCAAGGGAGAGTCCCTTCTCTGCTATTCTGTGGATGACACAACAATTTCAAATCAGAACTGCAGCACAGCCTTTTACCGTTTAATGCCACTTGTCAAACCAGACCTGTCACAGTTGACACAGGAGGAACAGAAAGGTCAACTTACACTGGCATAACAGTGGGCAAATCAGAATTCTTCACACATAGAACCCAGCTAGGGAAACAAAAACAGAGGCAGAGAATTTCCTAGCAGAAAAAGTAGTCATGTTGCAAAGCAGGGGTGACTGACCTGTAGTCAGTGAGCTAAATCTGGTTCCCTCAGATTTGTAATTTTTAAAAATGCTACATCCACTTTGACACTTTCTGGTGGGTTGACTATTGCTCAGTGCAGCCCTGTGCCCTTAAAAGGTTAGCTGCCTCAGTGCCAAGGTGTGCCCAGACAATACAAAGCTCAGATTTATCCCAATCATTTCCAGGCAATGGGAAGAAGCGAAAGCAAATGCTATTTTTCTTAGTCCAGAAGTCTGGGAATTTTTGCTAATGACAAATGACTAAAGTTAAGACCATTTACTCCAGTTGCAATGGAATACTGCTCTGTCAGGATGCAAAACCCTGCATGCAGAATGAAAGAGTTTAATGACTCAGTTGAGGTGAAAGAAGATTCCCCACCTTACTGCAGAAACTGCTGCAGAGTGGGAACACAGTGAATTAAAGTAACCCCACTTCTTCCTATTGCTAACTGCAGAATATTTACACAATGCCCTGGTTCAGATGCACATTTCCCAGCTTTCTGAACCATAGTTTAGCAGCCAGGAACAAGCACTTTTACAGTCTGTTCCCCCCACCCCACCCCACTCGCCTCCACAGCATGCCAGTCCCAGTTAGCTTAAACTTCTGGTCCCCACTGTGTTTAAAATTAGGCGCTGTGATTTAATGTCAGTTTACTAACCAGAATCTTAAAATTGCAGTTTACACATAGCTTAACATCCTGGTAAGTAAACTAACACTTAAGGAATTTCAGGAATAGCAGGTAACAATAGCTTTAGCTAATCAAATCACTATGTCAAGGTTGGATGTGAGCAGAAGGGGTGAGAGAACATACTAAACGGCTATTCTTGGTCATGGCAAATACTTGGCCTAGAGTGAAGGCAAGCACAACACTATACAGAAGCTTTCTAGCCTGTGTATTTGAGGTAAACACTTGTAAAGCAATTGCATATTTTGGTGGAAAACAGGCTTCTATAGACCTGGGTTCCAGGCTCTCAATTGCTTAGCATTTGGGAGTGGCATGCAAGATCTGGAGCCTTGGTTTAAAACTCTGAGTAGACTTAACCACTCATAATACTGCTGCCAATATACCACTTAACTGTAATTAAGGCAATTGGTAAGAATTCACAGTCCAAAAGCAAGCGTTAATTCCATGGCCGACACATAAATTGCTTATCCATGATTAGGCAGCTTGGAGCCTTACATCTGCAAGAGTCCCAATTTGCAAATGTTCCATGGACTCCTTAGTTAGCCTTGATCAACTTGTTCTCTCACCCTCAGCCCCCAATTTATAAATGGGAACAATGACCCCTCTCACAGTGACATTGAATGCAAACGCACAATTAAAGCATGAAACATCTTTCCTATTAAAAAGCTCTACATAAGTGTTCACTAATAATTAAGAGATGGATGAACTGTAGGAAACTTGCCTCAGATTAACTGAGATATTACCGGAAGTCCCCCCCCCCCCGAAAAAAATGGGGGAAACCTAGGTAACTCCAAACCAATGCAAGGCCTTAAAAAATTTACCTTTCCCCACCTGCCCTCCTTGCAGCATCTTTGCCACTTCACAACCTAATGGAACAAAGCAAAGATTGTACTGTATGTGGGTAAAAGGTAGAAAAAGGCTGCAGGTCAAAAACCAGGAGGGCAGGAAGGGAGCTGAAGTCCCTTTGTGTTGGGGACTAGACTCCTATGATGCCTGAATTGCAAGGGGTTGGATCAGATGTCTCTTTGGGTCCCTTCCAACTCTGCAATTCCCCACCCCCAAAATTTGATGCTGCAGTCTCCTTCCCACCTCCACTGGAAGCTATTTCACTAAATTCTATGAGAACTGCCAGGAAGCTCCCAGAGCAGATTCAGAAGGTGTGGGTGGCTCTGTATCCCCTTTCTAACCTTCCCTACAGAGCCAAATGGCAGAGGTGGATGGCATTATCCTTCAGCTTGGATCAAATTCCAAGTGGGATGGGAGTTTGCCCCTAAATTTAGTTTGAGCCTGACTCAGGTGACTTTCACCTACTGTATACCATCATCATAAACTTTATTGCACTAGCCAAAGGCCATGGCATCATTCACAAAGGAAACAAAAAGAAAAACAACAATAACCATAAAAACCATAAAAACATCAGGCACTGCAAATACAATAAACCACGGTCACGTCTCCTAGAAATTATTTGCTGCATATGATAGAATAGAAGGGGGTTCTCAGAATGTACCAGCTTAAATGTCTGAATCACTTTTGCAATTGACCGCTATTTTATCTAGTTCTTTTCTCCTGATCTTCTTAGCTGCCAATGCATATAGTACTACTTTATAAGTTATGAAGTCATCAGTATCACTCAGCAGCCATTTCACCCTTTCCACCCTGTTCAAGTGTGTTCCATTCATAAGCAGGGGTTTTATAAATTGGTCTCTTGGTTCTATATATAGCGGGCATTGCAATAAACAGTGGTACAGGTCCTCTACGCAAGGTTGCCCACACAGACAAAGTCTCTCCTTGTACTGTACTTTGCTGTACCAACCACCCACCACCGCCGACGGCATCGATTGGAATCGTAATTCTGTAAAAGCGATTCTTAGTACGGCAAGTGGGAGCTTTGTCAGATAACTAGCTCAGATGTGCTCCATTTTGATAAGTAGGAACCATGGTGAACTTTTGGTAGAGGCAATTGTGGTTAAATCTCTTTCTGCATCAGACCTGAAGAGACAATCTCTTAAGTGCCTCTTAGCCATCTTCATGATCACCTGAAGATCTTGTAATTGATATTGGGTCAAGAGGCGTTGGATGCACCTACTGTATACAGGCACCCCTAACCATTATCCAGCACAGAAGCAGTGCCCACACTGGCTGTGAACCCCTGAAATATAATATGGCAGAGAAAAGAAAGGACCCTGCCAGGATATATACACCCATCCTTTGTTCCTGTCTAAAAGGCACAAAAATAGCAACAATGGTGTCAACTTTCAAAAAGGAAAACAAAAGCATTATCCTAAAGCCTTTAAGACGATTTCTGGAAAGAAAATTTACCTACGGATTCTCTCAGCTTCCTCCCTGCTGATTATGGCATCTGTTATCCCTCTTCCACACTTCCGAGGAGTGCAGCCTAGAACAGACATATAAGGAGAGAGACAGAAAAGAAAGTTCAAACATCCATCACCTACTTCATCTGCTTTTACATGTGCCATAACAACAACAACAACTTCTACTCTCTCGGGAAATTTACTAAGATTGTAGTGCAAAGCATGGGATCTGCTGTGGTTTGCAGAACATCAAGGATTTCAGCTACCAATGATAAACATGTTTCTAATCCTCGTGGCTGGAGAGTAAACCTTGAATCAAGCCACTGGAAATGACCCACAAACCAGAGCCACAATTATGGGACTTTTGCATTCTATAATTCTCCACATTGCCATAACCTTGAATTCACATTTCCCTATAACCGATGCATTGTTATCAATATGTCCTTTGTTTCCTCTCCTTCCAACAAAGAATTTTACCAAAAAAAAAACTGGACGTGAACGTTACCTGATTGCAAATACTGAATTTTTGGTTGATGAAAAAGTTACAGTATGAAACTTATGACACCCACCCATGTCATTACAGTTAATAGATTCACTTAATTCACCCAGTGGTTCTTACATGTCATGGAAAGCAATATTACTTCTTTTTTGAGTTGCTTTATTGTCTTCTGGCTGTTATACATAAGCAAGAGACTGTGGCATTCTAAGTCCACGGTTGGAGAAAGAATGGCCTTGCAGATGGGGTTGGATTCCAACTCCCATCATCTTTGATCCTTGGCTATCCTGCCTGGGGCAGGTGGAAGTTGGTGTCCCGACAGCTTTTGGGGGGCAACAGGCTCCCCATGTCTGTTCTCATCAGACATACTACAGGGAAGCATGTACACTTTGAAATGATTAAGTTTCAAAAGCAAGCATGCGAATTCTTACAGATATATATATAAAATATTCCTTGCTTTCCCTGAAACAAATCTATTATCTAATCCATCAAAAGAAATAGACTTGATACACTTGGGGGAATGTGCAGCTTGCTACAGATGTTTGCCTCTTCTGTAGCTTGGCTCAGGTTCTGACAGCATACAGAATCTCTAGAAGAATTTGGGGTTACTTAGACCTCTAGCAGATTGGAGATTCTTGCCCATAACAGAGTTTAAATTGACTTAAAATGATAAAGTCGGTTTAAAACCAATTTACCCATCTTTAATCATTCCCTCAGTCCTGGAGAAAATAAAATGTGTGAAGCACCAAAAAGATTTCAACATGTACATATGTACATAAATACCATGTCTGAAATATTCCAATCAACTGAACAATCAAGACAATCATCTTTAACATAACAAGTTTTCTTATTCTGTGCAAGTACTGCAAACAGCTCATATTAGTAATCTGTTCTGCCTACTTAGTTTTACATCTTTGACTTCTACAACACCATCTCAACATTTCAGACAGAAGCAGGGGAATAAACATTGATTAAACTTCAAATGAAGTAAGCAACAAATACTGAGTTATGAGGTTGATATTTGGGAATAAATAAGACCTCTGAGAATTAAGGAACCTTCAGGATGAGGAAAAAGCTGAGTGAAAGAATGACAGAAGGGAAAAAAATAAAAAGGAATATACTATTTCTACAGAAAACCATAAGAGCTCTGTTTAAGTAAAAAGCGACTCTTAACTTTGTAGGACCATTTATTACCATTCAAACCAGTACATTAGGCAAGAGTTAGAAGTGACTTCTCTCCTTCACATTGAGGGAGGGGGCTTTTTCTGGGTGCATGTGAAGTGGTTGACCCTCTGATCCCTCTTATCTGCTTGCCAATTGCCACTAGAGAGCCAATACATTAAAAAAGCAATGGCAGAAAACTCCCCACCCACCATCATCCAGGAACAAAAAAACCTGCAGGAGTGCAGGCTGTGATGGAGAAATGAAATAAAGTTATGTTTATGACTGGGCAAAAGATACATTCTGATGTGAATTGGGGGGAATGGTTGGGGGGGGAGAAATGGGGTAAAGAAAGATGCCAACTGCTAAAATATTGGGGGAGAAAGAAGGAATCCTTTTCTGCTTCTTAAGTTGGAACCATGATACCAGTAAGGTGACAGGGAGATGTATATTTCTTGCCATAAAATGTGAAATAGCCTCCCAATAGCTGTTTGTCCCTTTGCCTTTGGCCACTTTTAAGCAGGCATATAAGACTCTATGATTCCAGCAGGCATTTTCTAGCCAAATAAAATGATGGTGTGGTCCTTTTGGTGCTGTTTTTACTTCTTCATGTATCTTTTATTTTACTGAGAGGTTCATTTAAAATTTCATGGTGACTTGTGTTTTTAATTTCTAAGTCACCTTGATTTGGATTTTAATCATGTCCAAAACAATGAATAATCTCAAAATACTGTGCTAACCAGCTTGCACCAGTGTGGTAATCTCATCAAACAGCTGCACTAGACACGACTACACTGTGACACCAGGCAAGAGATAGAAAGCAGCACTGATCCAACAATTACAGCAATGGATCAACTCTGAAACAGGCAGGATATAAACTGCAACTGCCAACCCTCTTCTTGAGATCACCAAACTGGAGTAGATCTGGGCAATCACCAAGTTGGACACAAAACATTTATCTAGAGAGATAATCAGAAGCTTCCTAAAAGTGCAGAAAGCTCTCACTTCCAAGAGCAGGATAGATACAGAATAGAACATCATAAGCATCTCAAGAGTGCCCTCAAGTGGGAACTTGGTAACATAGGACAGAGAAAGGCAGCAGAAATGAAAAGCAAGGACAGAAGAGTTCTGCTGGATCAGACTGAAAACCTACTTAGTCCAGCATCCTGTTTCCTACAGTGGTCAACCAGATGACTCTGAGAATCCCATATGCAGAAGACGAGGACACTCTCTTGCTGTCATCCCCCAGGGACACCAATTCAAAGGAATGGTGCAATTGATCTACATACTACAGAGGTACTTCAGGTTAAGTACTTTACTCATTCCGGAGGTCCGTTCTTAACCTGAAACTGTTCTTAACCTGAAGCACCACTTTAGCTAATGGGGCCTCCTGCTGTCACCGTGCCGCCGGAGCACGATTTCTGTTCTCATCCTGAAGCAAAGTTCTTAACCCGAGGTACTATTTCTGGGTTAGCGGAGTCTGTAACCTGAAGCGTATGTAACTTGAAGTGTATGTAACCCGAGGTACCACTGTACCTCCAAGATGCATGCCATATAACTTAGTAGTCAATGTTAAGTCTTATCCTCCATGAATTTGTCTCATCCCCTTTTAAAGCCATCCAAGTTGGTGACCAGCACTACATCTTGTGACAAACTATGGAATTCTCTCTATGTGCTGTGTGAAGTAGCACTTCCGTTTGCATGTCCTAAATCTCCCACCATTCTATATGCCTGATAATCTTACATTTAACAATGCTTTCCACCAGTTTACCCAAAGATGTAAATTTGACCAGCCCATAATTTCATGGATTTCCACTGGTCCCTTTAAAAAAGCCTGGTCAATTTCCAATCCTCAAGTACGGAGGCCAACTGTGAAGGTCGGGTTTATGTTATAACACTAGCAATCTCCCATTTCAGTCCTTCATGAACCACCTGAACTGTTTGAACCACCTGAATTTGTTAATTTTTTAATTTGCCAGTAAACTGGAATTTAATCTCGTCTCACTATGTGCCTCAACACTCCTAACCCCTTCTTGGAAATCTCTGTTCAAGCACAAGTTATCTACTGGCAAAAGTATCCACCCACCTTACATCTTAAAAGTGAAAATAGATGCAAATAGTTCATTTAAGCTTCTTTGTAAACTTCTTATTTTCCTTTAGCAGTTTCAACCTCCTTGTTGTCTAGAAGTCCTACCTACCCACAAAATGATTTCCTGTTTCTGAAGTATGCTTTCATTTTTTGTAGGAAGTTTTCATTTTCTGGCTTCCTTGACTCTACTCATGAACCATGCAGACATCCTCTTTGATTTGGTAGTAGCTTTCCTGACTCGTGGTAGACATTTTAGCTGAGAATCCATTTCTATGGTTTTGAGCAACACCCAAGCATTGTACAGTTTTTTCACCCTATTTACTTTCCCTTTCAGTTGCCTTTTTATCAGCCCCTCATTTTTAGGATGTTTCCTTCTTTGAAACCAAATGTGATCAGTTTGGATTTCCATGGCAACTGTCCACTTAGAAATATGTTGAATTTGTTACTACAATGACCACCCATTTCTCATTGATGCAACAAAACTGCCAGATCTTATGTGTCACTTGGGATTATGTCCAGGGTTTGCCTCCCCTCTGGTTGGTTCTATTTTGACATTCTTAATTATGATCTCTCTGACCATCTCCTCATGTGCAATAGAAACCTCAGAAAAAGAGGCAAAATCTAGTACAATTCAGGGGACATCAATGCAGGCAGGAGAAGAAAGCATTAGATTTATCCCGAATTCTGTCTTTCCTTCATTGCTCAAGTAGAAGGGGGCAGATGTACAGTGATATTACAGCAAAGAGCCTGTGACAGCTATTGCTTCTGAGGTGACAGGAGACCTGTGACAGTTTAGAGTTACATTTTCCTGTTTTTTGGCAAGCCTTCTTCAGCACTGCACTAGCACAAGTCATGATGCACAAATACCTTCAAAACGTTTGTGGCTGTCATAGTCCTCTGAGCAGGGTACTTCGATGAATTTGTATTGTAGGCTTTCCCCTTGATGGGCCAGTACTTCAGTAACTCCGTCTTCACCAAGCAAGTAGCTGCCACTCAGGAGGTAGCCGAGCATGGCAGATGACAGGAGGAATGCCACTTTCAGCCACTTCCGGCGTGAGTCTTTCTGGACACTGCCTTTCACGCCACTATAAATAAAAAAACAAAACAAAATCCCCTTGTAAGAGAACAGCAACTCCAACCATGGTGTTGCATTTTAATAAAGAGGTATTATTTGGGCAGCAAGTCCATGCTTAATCCTCACCTGCAGAAATGGAGGTTATTGGAGCAAGTGAAATGGGCACTAGCAAGAGGAACATGCCAGTGATCTGACTTAAGAGTGTAGACAGAGGGCTAGATTCGACTAACCCAGGGTCTAGAAGATGCCAGCGTAAGACTCTTGCTAGTGTAATGGGGCTTCTCCATACACAGACATGACCTCCCACAAATTCAGTATGGAGGATCAGAAGAAACCCCAGAATGGTCAATTTAGTATGACAAATTCCATTCCTAGCATCTATAAATGTGATTTGCAACATGTACTTTATAAATGAAGGACATAAACTGAAAATCTTACTTTGTGGGTCACCTCTGCAGGCAGTCTATTAAACAGACTGTGCACATTAATCAAAAGCCAGGCAAAAGTTCAGAACTCATAGTACTGTATTTTTTGCCCTATAGGACACACTTTCCCCCCTCCAAAAATGAAGGGGAAATGTGTGTGCGTCCTATGGGGCGAATGCAGGCTTTCGCTGAAGCCTGGAGAGCGAGAGGGGTCGGTGCGCACCAACCCCTCTCGCTCTCCAGGCTTCAGGAAGCTATCCACAAGCCGTGGGAGACCAGTGCGACTTCGCGCAGCTCTCCCACAGCTTGCGGAGAGCTGCCTGCACTCAGAATTTTTTTTTCTTTATTTCCCCCCAAAAAAACTAGGTGCGCCCTATGGGCCGGTGCACCCTATGGGGCGAAAAATACGGTATTTAGAAGTTGGTCCTTACTACAAGATTACCTATGAGAGGACTGGCTTGTCATCATTTCAACCATTTACAGATATTCAACCTCGAAACCAGCAGTGGAGAACCTCTGGCCCTTATTAGGCCTGCCATGCCTCACCACTTGGCCCATGCAGTCATTTCAGCCAAGCTACACTAACCTACACCTCATACCATATATGATGTCAGGTGTAGGGCAAGTAAAGATGCAGCTGGGCCAAAAGAGCTGAACGGTACCTGCTAATGCAAAGACCTGTGCAAGCCACTGTATACCCAGCTCTCTTTCCATTAGCTGATTGGCAAGTTTTGTGGTGTGCTGTGTACCTGGCTTTGCAAGCACTGACAGTCAGACTTTGATTTCAAATTGCATGTGCCAAAGTTGGTCACCTGACATCAGGTGATTGACAGGAGGGTGACCTGTTAGGATCTGCCCCCCTCTGCCTGACCACTGCCACCTCCCCACCCTTGTTCTAAACACACATGGGCACAGAAGGAACCAGATACCATGGGCCAAGTACATGTGAACTCCAGCAGAAGCCTATCAATGTATAGTGGTACCTCGGGTTAAGTACTTAATTCGTTCCGGAGGTCCGTTCTTAACCTGAAACTGTTCTTAACCTGAAGCACCACTTTAGCTAATGGGGCCCCTCGCTGCTGCCGCACCGCTGCTGCGCGATTTCTGTTCTCATCCTGAAGCAAAGTTCTTAACCCGAGGTAATATTTCTGGGTTAGCGGAGTCTGTAACCTGAAGCATATGTAACCCGAGGTACCACTGTATACCTTTGACTCAAAAGCCTGGTTCAGATGGAGCTCCAAATCCATCATCCAATCTCAGCTGTGAGAAAAACAGCCTGAAGCTGCTGAAAAATTCATCCCGAACAATTCACTCTTCATTAATAAGACATGCTTTACTATAAATATCTGCTCCTCTGAATTCCATAGAGACTCTGAACACCTGTGCTCCAACTGTTCTCTCTGAATCAACATAATCAGTAGTGGAGACGGAAAGGGTGTTTTTATAAGAAATGCTGCATACCCTCAATGCTTTATTGTGCCATCCTTCCCCTTGAATATGGGGTTGAATCCAATGTTAGTTATACTCAAAGCAGATCCACTGAAATAGATGGACATGCCTATGTTGGATGCAACCCATGGTCTTCTCTTCTTTCCTCACAACAACTTGCAAGACAGATTAGGATGAGCATCTGTGACTGGTCCACAATTACCCAGTGAGCTTCAGGCTTCTCCCTTGGTCTAAAGCCAACACTGCAACTGCTGCTACTAGGCAATAATTGAGAGTGTGTTAAAGAAAAGGAACATAATGACCCTAAAGTAATGCATGAGTCAATGCTAGCAAGCTTGCTACAGGGGTGTCAAGCCCAGGAAAGTACTATGTGAAGAATACTCATGAAAATAATTAAGACTCAGCAAAAGGGGGGGGGTTAGTTCTATAGAAAATTCACATTCAGTGTACTACTAGTTACACACTTTCCCCCAATGTATCCATCTGTAATCTTCACCCATCACACTGAACAGAAGTACAAGGTATCATTTCACTACGAGTGCTTGTGTGAGTGTGTACATTTGTTGGTTTTTCCTGCTCTATTATTATACACAGACCCTACACTCATTGAACTTTACATATGAACATATGTATGGCCCTGTAGTGTTTTCCACATGTGGCAGGCAACTGAAGACCACGCCTTCTAAGATTCAGGCATCAACTGGGGGGGAAAGCCAACATTCCTGACCCCACGCAGCAAGGAATAAGCAAGCTCCACCGAACTCAACGGATCTTCCTCCAGCGAGTTTCATAGGTAAAAAAAGGGTAAAGGACCCCTGGACAGTTAAGTCCAGTCAAAGGCGACTATGGGGTTGCGGCGCTCATACAGGATTACAACGGAGTAGTAGAAGCCGTATTTCCTGCTTACTGTCCCCAGCCTGGGCCTGGGACCACACTTAGGATGGATTTCCCTGCGCCTACACGCAACATCCCCCAACCCCATGCACACAGGGTTACTTGAAAAGCGGCCCCATTGAATTCATCTGAAGATTGCTCCTAGATTAGCACGCTAGGATCGCAGTCACACACTCCGAAGCCAAACCAACTGGAAAAAGTGTCTCCCTACCATCTCATCAGTTTATTGATATACGGGCAGAATGCTGGCATTGATGAGGACCAAGCGTTTAGTATTAGAGGGGCGGGGCAAGGTTTTGAGGGCGCTCTCCCGGGAATGCAGCCCCTGGAGGGAGAAGAGGACAAAAGACGCGCGCACCCTCCTGACTCCGCTTGCAACTCGCAACCCCTGGTCCCCTCCGGCCGTGGCCACGCGGCGCTCGCCGGACAAAAGGAGGTACCTGCTGAGACGACGGCGCTCCTCCGCCCGAGCCCCTGCGCCAGCCCCGCCGCTCTCCGGAGTGCGGGAACCCGCTCGCCGCTGCGGAGCCATCGCGCGGGAGCTGAGCAGCTGCGCACGGGGCGGGAGGATGTGTCAGCCTCAGAGCTTCCACTCCAAGCAGCCGGGAGCAGAAGGCGGGAGAGAGAGCGCGAGAGCGAGACGCCGAGGAGAGGGGGAAAGGTGGCGACCAATCGGCATTCTCCTTTCCCGGAACGGAAGCTACAGAGGGAAGAATGTGCAGGCAGGAGCAGCCGATGGCGGAAAGAGAGAGCAGCGCGGAAGGGCAGGGAAGCTTAATCGAGGCTGCAGGCGGAATGGAGCGCGAAGGAGCGGAGGTGAGAAGGTGGTGTTGTTGTTGTTGTGGAGGAAGAAGGTGGGCTGACAAAGAGCGCGGCAAAGAGGAGCAGCTCCCTGGGGGAGGAGAAGGAGCCCGAGCCGAAGGATGTTGGGGCCTGAGCGACCTGCGGCAGGATTTACGTATAAGCTAAACAAGCTATAGCTTAGGGCTCCACTCTCTTGGGCCCCTCCCCTCCAAAAAAAATAAAGAAAAAAGAACTGGATGTACATTTCCAAAATATAAGATAAAAAATAAAATAAAACCTACATACAGCAGCAGTGTTTTGTGTTGTGTAGGCTCCTGTGATATAAATAATGGGCCTCACCTGCTCCATAAATATCACTGCTTTGATCATTTCTATATATAAGGTGCCTACATTCTGCATGTGCAAATAGCTTTAGATACCTGTTAGGTCCATAAATTACCATATAGCATATATTCAACACAAAAACCAGTGACAATTTGTTGTTGACAAAGGACAGCTGGACATATAAAGGGCCTCATTACCTTCAGTAGCTTAGGGCCTCATCAAACCTAAATCCGTCACCTGCCCCAGAGGCAGCGGCTATTGCTGTGGTTGCCGTTTCCCATGACGTGTCTAGTGGCTGCTGGGCCACGTCTGGGAAGGAGAGGGGGGAGGGTCACGTGTGTGGCAGCTGGGAGGGTTTGGCTTTAGGTGGAATCTTGTTTTGCTGCCAGGGTGTTTAGCCAGTCAATTGATGGGTGGTGGGGCAAGGGGTCTTTTCTGTCCCATGTGCTGAAATTGATCCCCAAACAGAACGAGCAGATGCCACACTGTCTTGGCCCCTGCATCTTGAATGATTGCTCGCTTGTCATCCTGCAGTCAAAATTAGCAGTTTCATTGATGGATACTTAAGTTAAGGGTACATTTAAACACAGTATCTACCTGCATCATCATACATGGACTTGGATTTATTGGTGACCTTGTTGTTGCCTGTGGATTGTTTTAAATATTTCCTCTTTTGAGGATGACCCATAGCTTAGTGCTAATGTAGATGCTTTGCATGCAGAAAGCCCCAGGTTCAATTTCTGGCATCTCCAGGTAGGGACAAACCCTCTCTGAAATTTCAAAGGATCACTGATAGTCAGTAGAGACAATGCTGACGTGTGTGTGTGTGGAGCGTCTCCACCCCCATCGTTCTACCCAGACACGGAGATCTAGCGCCAAGGGCCTTCTGGCGGTTCCCTCACTGCGAGAAGCAAGGTTACAGGGAACCAGGGAAAGGGCCTTCTTGGTGGTGGCGCCCGCCCTGTGTAACGCCCTCCCATCAGATGTCAAAGAAATAAACAACTATATAACGTTTAGAAGACATCTGAAGCCAGCCCTGTTTAGGGATGTTTTAAATGACTGTTTTAATGTGTTTTTAATCTTTTGTTGGAAGCCGCCCAGAGTGGCTGGGTAAACCCAGACAGATGGGCAGGGTATAAATAATTTATTATTATTATTATTGTGATGATGATGTGTGTGGTACAGTGATAAGCTATGGGACCTTCCTTCCGACCTTCCTTCCTTCCTTCCTTCCTTAAATGTCAGTTTGCAGCTCAGATTATTTTGACATGTAGGGATCACCCAGAAAGGCTGAAGTAAGAGAAAGTGCATATGCACCTCTCTTTCATGGGAATGAACAGCACCCATTAGAGTGAATAGGGAAGGATAAAATGGTGTGGAAGCCATGTGCACTGCCTTGAACTCATTGGAAGAAAGGTGCAGTATACATGTAATGAATAACTGTGTGTATATCACACACAGTAGTGATTATTGCCTATATGAAAATAAAGAATATGCAATTTATAAGGAACCAGATTTTCATCTTGATTCCAATTATTCCATGGGAGGCTTCCATTTTTTTTATATTCTTGTGAGTAAATGAGTCTCTTCACAATTTTCCTTCTTTTCCAGGTATAAGCACTTGAATTTGCTACTCACATCTGGAACATGGAAGAAAACAGAGTGATGGTTTCTTCTCCATTTGAACTGCACCTGGTGCACTTAGATCTCAAGGGAGCCCCACCAAAGGTCTCATACCTGGCAGAGGTAACACAATGTTGGTCTATGTAAATCAGAGAGTTGAACCTCTGCTGATGTTGATTTGGTTGAATTTAGTTGCATCCAGTGAGTTTAGTTTTTCCACTGCCTTGTGCCATGTAGTCTGAGTTGTAGGTTTAATTGCATTTCCGTCTTGTTCTCCAACATGAAAATATTCAATTGCTTCACCCCCTAAAGCAGGGGTATTACAAACTGCCACTTCCTGATAATGCCTGCTGTGAAAACTAAGGTGTCTTACTGCATAATTTAAAAAAAAATTAAAAAGAAATATTTAAAGATGAGCAGTAACAGGCTTTAGTGGACTAGCCTAAGGAGACATAGGGGGGAAAAGGATCTATTTTATTCTATGTCATACAGATTCTAGTGTTTCAGATACGGCAAAAGGATTGCATTTATTGAAGCATTTTTACCCCAGCCAAAAAAAAGTTTCCAAGAATGGCTTACAAGTGTCAGTGCTAAAGCAGTCCCTGCCTTCAGGCCTGTAATCTAAAAGACATGACAGGAAAGAAAAAGGGTTTGGAGCAGAGGAGCACGCTTGGAGCAGGGCTATCTCTCACGCACGAGAGCAGGAAATAACAATATAAGCATTCCCTAGTTTTGTTAATGTTTTACAAAACTAAATTCCACACTAGCTGGATATTTCACATGTTTTGTGCAACCAACAGATCTTCCCATTGTTCCATGCCCTGGGTGCAAATGGCATTCTCCTTGAATATGAGGATATGTTCCCCTATGATGGGGAACTGAAACCACTTCAAGCAAATGACGCATACAGGTAAGGTAGATAGTAAGGTTTTCTAATTGCAGTTGGCTGCCCTGCACATAAACCCCTGGACGAATTTGCCTGTAATTTGGCATGTTTAACCTGCACTGAGACTGCTACTGTGCCTGTAAATTTCACCCATACCTCCCTCAAGGGGGAGGAGAGGATCCATAGCCATTTTTTACATTTCCCAATTTTGGGGTGGGGATAACAAAGCAGATTTCAATATGCTAAACCTCATCAGCCAGTTGGACCAAGTTGGGCTGTGTTCCAAATTGGGATCTTAACTGGATCTTAACTGGTTAGTGAACATCCTATATGTGTGTGTTTGTGTATGTGGCGACCATTTTGCACACAGCAGATTGATGTGCAACCTCTTTTTTGTCATTTTTTGCCATGGAACAGGGCGGAATGGGCTTATGTGCACAATGACCCAGAACGCAACCCTCGCGCAAACAGGGAGTTGCATGTGTATATAAATAGTGAAATTTTTAACATGTTGAAATATACCATTGCTAACAAAGTTGTTTTCCATTGTTTTCTAGTTCCGCTGAGATTAAAGAGATTTTAAAGCTGGCAAAGTTACATGAGCTAGAGGTTGTCCCTCTGGTCCAGACCTTTGGACATATGGAGGTAAATGCCAGGATTCAAGTCACACACACTTGAATTTGAGGGGGGGTTGCTTTGGGTAAGGGGGGGAGTGGTTTGTTTTGCTATCTGTAGTGCAGTAGCAACCAATGCAGTGGAGCAGACTTGTGGGACACAATCCAACTTTAGGTCGTGTGATGGTACAGTAAAGGGCTTTTATAATGCCCTTGGTCCTAGGTTTTTCAACTGGGGCATCTGTAATCACTTGCAGAAGTCCTTTGCTTATGTCTTTGGTCACCCTTTTTGCTTCAGTTTGGTGACCATTGCTTCTCTTGCAGTTTGTCCTAAAGCACAAAGAATTCTGTCACCTACGGGAAGTGGCAATGTTCCCCAACACTCTGAATCCCCATAAAGAGGAATCCCTGAAGCTGGTCAGCACAATGATAGAACAAGTGGTAGCGCTGCATGATGATCTTCGATGGTTTCACATCGGCTGTGATGAGGTATAGTGTGGGACCTGGAGCTGGAATCATTTCCAATACATTTAATGATGTCTTCCTTGATCCTGGACATGCTGGGCTGTCAGATTGTCTTAATCACGAGATAAACATCATCATAGCATGATCCACAACCTCAGATGCACAGAGGCTGAAATTCTTTGGTTCTTAAGTGTGTGTTGTTGTTTTTGTGTGTGTGTGTGTGTGTGTTTAAATCCTTACTATTAGTTTTTAATGTATCAGGCCTTTATAGCTTTGCATACTGAACATTTTTTTAGTAACTACTATTTTATATTGTCAGGTGTTTTGTTAGAAGCAACACATTATAATTTGGAATAAATCATGCAGTGGAATAAATCAGGTTGGAAGAATTTGGCTTCAGAAGCTGGTCCTTTTATATTCCGTTTTATTAGGGCCTATTGAAATCTGTGGTAGATGTGGTGGACTTGCTGAAATGAATGTTCACCCATGAATTATCTTGGGTTTGTGTTTGTGCTTATCACATAGGAGATAGCCACCCAATCATATGTATGTGCCATTTTTGTTACATCACTGTAGATGCTGAAAAGGTGGTGTTTGCAGTGGCATGCCAAAAGCTTTATCTTGGGCATAGCAGTGCATTATAATCTTGCCACAGGTTGCAAGGCCAGCATCCCAAAGAGTTCTTTAAGTTACTGCTGTGCACAAACCAGCTTGTAAAAGTCAACAGGAGCGCTATTGCTCCTCTATGCCTGTTTTAGCTCCAAAGAAATGTTTATAAAAAGGCTAGCTGGAAAAATGTAGGCAGAGGGGGAGTTTACTGTGCTCTTTCCTCTTCTGCCTCTTGACTCTCAAACACCACCCATTACTTTCTCTTAGCTGTATCCCCCCTTTCCTTTCTGTTGTATGGAGAAAAAGCATACAATTGCTATGCGAATACAACTCAAAATGGCTCCCCTGGGGTGATTGATCCCCCCCCCAGTGCTTTGAAGCACATAGCCCTCATTCCACTTGCCTAGCAGGCATGAAGACTTTCAGCAGGGATGGCTGAATGCACAGTAAGTGCTTCTAAATAGTCTGGAGTGGGCAGTGATCCGCTGTCAAGGGAAAACTGTTTTCATTGGCATAACTTTAGTAACTGCATTGTGTGCTCCAGCCCAAAGTCTGTGATAGCCATCAGTGGAGCAGGACTATCCTTGTGAGAGAACTGCCTGTATTTCTACATCATATTAAGCCATAGATCAAAACAAAGTGCAAACGAGCAGTTTGGTGGTTCATATTGTTGTGCAGTACTCAATATACAGTACCCTGCTCTTTATTTTACTGTGCCACCAGGAAACAAGCCAGAGTCTGGCTTGTCGTGACGTCTACACTGAGGCTCATGCTTTGTTTCTCTCCAAACAAACCACAAGTGGTAACTGGCCATTTGCCCTCCTAGGTGGGTCATAAGGAAAGGGTTAAAGGAGTGTGAAGTGATTGGCCAGTGGGAACACAAGGGGAGGAGTTAGAGTTAGAGTTGGAGTTGTTGGGAAGTCAGTTGGGAGTTGGAGAAGGAAGAGGGAGGATAAGTCTGTGGGTTGGGCTAGTTTGATGTGAGAGAGTGAGAGAAACTGTTAGGAGGAGTCAGATAGACAGTTGGGATAATCAGTTAGAAGTTATTAGGAAGGTATAGGCCAGTAAAGAAACTAAGATTAAGAAACTGACAAGAAAATTTATCTGAAACCATAAACTTGTTAATGATTATAAAATAAACTTGCTTATTTGATTTAATGTTAACAACTGTCTGGACTCTGTGTGTACCCGAGAGAAACGGGTTGGTGACAGCGGGGAAGCAATCACAGTAGTGGCACAGGGATCAATAGACCGTCAAACGTCCGGAGACCCTGTGTGATCGCCACAGTAACCATGGCAGTATGCGTGTGCTTTGAGGGAAACAAACCACAAGCTCAGGTTTGGACAACATGACAAGCCAGACTCCCGCTTGCTTCCTCCATGGCACACTAGGAACTGGAAATGGGAGAGGTCCAAGAGGGAACTTGACAACAGCTTACACCATCGTGCTGCTTGTTGACATCAAACCATAGTTTGTTTTAAACTATAGCTTAATGCGACACATGAATCAGGCCAGTAACTAGTATGTTGGTGGTGCTGAAAAATAAATGAATTGCTAAATGGCGCTTATCAGAATAGCAGTAAATGAAGAATGTATTGGTTGGTGTCTCCAGGTGTATTATCTGGGTGAAGGAGAAGAGTCCAAACAGTGGCTGCAGGAAGAAGAAAATACGATAGAAAAACTGTGCCTGTCCCACATGAAAGCTGTGGCCAGCCATGTAGTCTCAGCCTACCCTACAGTGAAACCTATTGTGTGGGATGACATGCTGAGGGGAATGAGCGAGAAAACACTGAGAGGTATGTTGTCGCCAGAAAGGGAGTCTCACAAAAAAATTGAGCAACATAATTCATTTCAGGCAGGTCAGAATTCATTGTGGTTTCAGAGTTAGCTTCAGATGTATTGAAAGGTAGACACCTTTATTGGAGGAAGTGGATACTTTCAAATGCCACAAAGAAGCACTCTGAGCATTTAAAATAAAACACCCTATAACCAGCTGGAACTCACCAGAACTGAGTTACAGCACCACTTTGGTGCATACCGGCAGCCCTTAAGGTTGGGGCTGTGTGCTGGGAGTGAAGAAGAGAAGGAGGGTGTTCCCCTAAAATTTCAAAGCTCAACAACTTTGGGTGGGTGCTCAGCAAGGATATACTTGCTGCAATATCCTCATCCAGGACGTCCACATAGAACTGTGCTGTATTTGGGGGGATCCAGATCCTCAGAGAAACTTAATAGGTTAAAAACACTAAGTGCAAATACTAATTTTAAAAAGCCGTGCCAGGTCAAATTTCTGTGGTTTGAACTTTAATTATTCATGGGAAATGAAAAATTCAAAAAGATATAGAACTTATTTGCATTAAAATTATAGGATGTAAACCTGTTAATGATTATAATCATCAATGGAAAGATTGTTTGATGTTGATGTTAATTAATTATTTTCCAAATATATACATATTAAAATACTCCTGTTTAAAATGGCAAGGAAGAACAGGAAAATTTACAATAGAAACTTAGCGTAGCCTAATTAAATATATCTGAATAAGATATAAATGTACCAATATTTCCAGTTTTTGTGTTGAATCACAGGGAAAGTTTAATAATGAACTGTGGGATTGGACCTCACTTACGGTCTTATTGGTGTACTGCTTGTTCCGGGCTTTCTCTATCATTGGCCCACTACATTAGGAGGGACTGAGAATTCGATACATATTTTTCTTAAGCCTTTGGGTTTTGTTTAGAATTACCACCGACCAATTTCCTTTGTACAAATCTCTACACAAATACAACTGAGAAATACAATCAGTCATATTTCTGTTTCTTTCCAGAGTCTGGGATAGCACAGCTTGCAGAGCTGATGATCTGGGACTACTCCCCGGACCTTGATGTGGATAGTAAAGGTTTGCATTGCTTTGTGACTTTGCTTGAAAAAGGGAAATGCAATCAGTCACTGTCTGAAGTATAGAATAACTCCTTCTCACAGTGGCCAGCCAGATGCCTATGGCAAGTCTGCAAGCAGAACCAGAGCAGAATCAAGCGGTCTCCCCACTTGTGAGTCGCAGCAACTGGTACACAGAAGCATATGGCCTTTGACAGTGGAGGTAGAATATAACTAATGTGCATAGCTGTCAACTTTCAGATTTGAAAATAAGGGATCAGCAGCCTCACAAATAAGGGATCAGCAGCCTTACCTATCCCGGGGACAGTCTACGGGATATAACAATCCGGGATAGCAGCGGGAAGCAGTGGGAAACGGCCCTGGAATAAGGATATTTCCCGCAAAAAAAGGGAAGGTTAACAGCTATGCTAATGTGGCTAGTGGCAAAGTTTAGGAAAACGTAACAGCAGACACTGGAAACAGGAAATAAGCAATGTTAAGTCTTTTAGTGAATTGTCAAGGAATGAGAATGAACCTGTCTTCTTATCTGAGGAGCAGCCATCTTGATTTAAATGCCAAGACCATACCAAAGTTGGGGTACTTTGGGGGGGGAGGAGTAAGGAATGTTGATTGGACATTCTTATGGGTACTTTGAAAAAATGAAAGCGATGTGGCATGAAGTCACTCCAGTTTGTTCACGTGGAATGTACTTATCACAAGCTATTTTTATTCATATTCTGAAGACACAATTTTGACATCCAGCCAAGTGATGTTTGACATTCCTCCTCACTGGCTTATTTCTTATCCCGAAGACAGAGGAGCTTAGACAGTGCTAGTAGATATTCTTCAGTGCCCAGAAGGAAGGGGGGGTAATAACAAAGCAGAATTGTCCCATTGAGACAATAGCATAGGACATTTTTATCATTTTTAATTTAGGTCATTTGATTTATCTGTTTTAAACATGAGCACACCAGATAAAGTAATGTGTGGACGATAATCCATGTATTACTTTCTTCAATGTAATTGAAATCTGAGACTGGTTCAGCATTGCCTCACAATAAGTGGGTTGTGAGTAGTTTTAACTTTTTTAGCTAATGAAGAGGCTGACGCTACGGAACATACATAATCCTTATACAGTGGTACCTCAGGTTAAGAACTTAATTCGTTCTGGAGGTCTGTTCTTAACCTGACACTGTTGTTAACCTGAAGCACCACTTTAGCTAATGGGGCCTCCTGCTTCCCTCTGCGCCGCCGCTGCATGATTTCTGTTCTCATCCTGAAGCAAAGTTCTTAACCCGAGGTAATATTTCTGGGTTAGCGGAGTCTGTAACCTGAAGCGTATGTAACCTGGAGCGTCTGTAACCCAAGGTACCACTGTAGATCTGTGAGTCTTACTAGCAAATGTAGCTGCATTTAGGAACATTGTCTTTTTTTATCACGAGTCTACCAGTTTCTTCTTTCCACTTGGTACAAGTTGGACCCAGTCCTGTATCCGCAGAAGATTGTTCATACACTGCCATTGAACTGTGGACTTTCCTGTCTCTCCCTTTACTTCCAGCAACTCTCATTAAAAAGTACCAGAAGTGTGACTTCTCAAAGCTGTGGTTTGCTAGTGCTTTTAAAGGGGCCACAGGAGTCAACCAGTGTCTGACCCTCATTGGACACCACCTGAAAAACCATGAGCAGTGGTTGAAAGTGGCTGAAAGCAGTCCTGCCGGTATCATCCAAGGAATCATCCTGACCGGTTGGCAAAGGTAATGAAACTTTACACAAGGGGATTAAGAGAGCTACAGCATTATGAGTACATTGAACACCACAGAATCTCTCCTCCTAAGGAGGATTCTGAAGCCAAGAGTTGAACTTGGACAGAACACACTTTTTTTGAGACCATATAAATTCTGAGGCGAAACCTTTAAAATGCAGAAATTTCAGAAACAGAAGGAGAGTCATCAGCTTGTGGATGAACTTTTCCTCTCACCATTGGCCTCTGTTGTTTCTGCTTCCCACCCCATTGTGGATCCTGCCTTACATTTTCTTTTCTGTTTTTTGCCCCAACTCCTTCCCCACCTTCTTCAAATTAACTAAAGTCCCAGACTTCCTTTTTCATTTCATCGTTTCATCCTAAAAGAATAAACTGTTCTGCAAGAGGAACAGATCATATGACTCAAATTCAGTTTATATACAGGTGCAGCATTTACTCAAACTGCTGATGTTTTCAATGCAGTTATATTCCTTACATTCTGTGGGCTCCATAGATTGGTCTTAATAAAGTTCCTAAAGTCTCTGGGGCGACTGCAGATGGCTGCACCGCTTCAGTCCCTTGTTTATATTTCCTCTCACTGAATCGCTCTGCATTTTCTTCTCTAGGTATGACCACTTCTCTGTTCTGTGCGAGCTTCTGCCTGTAGGAATCCCATCATTAGCCGTATGTCTCCAGGCACTAAAGAACGGTATAGAATTACTCTTTCCTCAGTCAGATCTAAACCATGTGCACAGGATCCTGAAAACACTGCAAGATTATTAGCATCAGAACTTGTACATTCCTTTGGAATAGCTGCTTAACTTAAATTCATTTTTTCCCTTAATTGCCCAGGAATATATTAGAGCTACACTATAGAATGGGTAGCCAAGTTCCTTTACTTCATACATTGTCTCATGTTGTGATTAACAAGAACCTGTGAGGTATTCTTTTTTCAGTGGCAAAGGTGATTTGCCCTGAAGGAGTCCAGGACTCTTCATGACCTTCAGCCTTTCACATCTGATATCAATACTGGTTTCTAGATAATAATAGTTGCTAAGACCAGTCAAGCATACTTCATGACTAATGCCCATACATAACAGTATTAAATAGTTATAACAGTTCCTTATATTTGTGTCCGTTCCTCACCCACCTCCCCTCCTCTGCAAGCTATAATCTCTCTGTCTATTAGAGATTCCATAAAACACGGCTGGTTCACCTAAGGCAGAGGTGGGAAATGTCAGGCTTGCAGACTAACTTGTCAGGACTTTCCTCTGAGAAAACTTTTTGAGTCACAAGCGCCAGGCTATGAGTGAGTTGCCACAAGGTGGCAACATCGGATAGTACAGGCCAAAGGAAAAGCTTCAGAAGGTGCCATGCTGGGCGGAAGTTTTGTGTTCCCCAGTTCCATCAGCTTTATTGCAACTTGAATTCAAAAAACGTATGCTCAGGATCACACCCTAAAATCAAAACCCACCTATCTATATAAAACTAGGCTGCCTTTTCTCCGTTCTAAATAGCTGGCTGGGTTCTGAGCCATCATTAACTTATGGAACCTATTACAATGATTTCTAGCCTACCCTTCATGATACAAATCCTTCTAAGACCACTAGGAATCACAATGTTTTTTAAACTTGGGTGACCTAGGGTCATAATTTCATCCTTTAATAGCGGTGGGTTTTATACATGCAGGAACACACACACATCACTAGGCCAGTTTTGTGTCCCGTTTAAGGTTTTACACTTAAAACAAAAGCAGCAATTCCTCTCTCTTTGGTTCTCCCAAGGTGGCTATTCAGAAAAGGTGAAAGAAGATGTAGAAAAATCCCTGGGGATCTCCAGTTTGGAAATAGACACTTATATGAGGTAATAGCCCCAACTTCTAGATTGCAACAGCATTTCTGGAAGCGATATTATGGGGAGTGGGGAATGTGCAAGCCCCTTTCGCTTTCAGGCCCCAGGGGTATCAGGCCCAATGGGTTAGGGACAAAGTTTACTCTTGCCCAATTCTCCTCTTGAACAGTGACATCTCAGGGACTTTCCCGGGAAGTGAAATTCTCTCGCTGGTGACCCAAATTACATTCTACCTCAAGCCCTCAGTGGATGAACTTCTGGAAAACAACAGGTGAGGAACAAAGAGGAGGAGCTGACACTCCGTCACGTAGAGCTATAATTGATCTTATTGCCACATAAAATGTGTTATCTTTTTACTGTGTATTGACTTAAGGGCTTAAAGTTATTTTTCCTTGCATAAGCAAGAACGGGGGGGGGGGGGGATTCCACCATATCATTTTAACCATCCTAACTGCACTTGTTATTAGATGCTTACATGATGTTAAAGAGTTGCTACTCTTATAAATGTTAAATCTTAAAGTTGGACCTACAGTATGTGATATCTCTCAGTCTGCCCTGTAGCTTTTCAGTTCCATTCACACCTATTTGTTCTTTAATTATTTTTGTATTATTAATTATTAAATTTGTGTACTGCCCTTCATCTGAATATCACAGGGCAGTTCACAACATAAAAAAATAAAAAACGAGAACACAAGATTTGGAATAAAAATGAAAACAAACCAATACTCCCCCTCCCACATATATTTATGGCTTATCACTTTTAGGTATGTCACAGGCTGGTTCAGCCCCTACCACAGAAAGAGGAAGAAGATCCATCCTATAATGATTCATCACTTTCAGCCAGATGCACTAAGGTAACTAAAAATCTCTGATTCCTTGCAAAGTTTGTTTTTTGAAGATTATCTTGGGACAGGGATATTAAAAGTTCATGATCTAATTCTTAACCATTGGCGTCAGAAACTTCCATGTTGAGGATGCCATTTTGGACAGTGCATTTAAGTACCTCGCTCACTCAAATTCACAAATGGTCAAATATTCAATCGTTACTTTATTAAAACACCAACAGCACCAAAGCAAGGAAACAGATCTAAAACTTTATTGTTTTCCTGCCACTCCAGCCATTGGCTGAACTGCTGTGAAGTAATGGACTATTCACAAATATTCGAGTTACTAAGGCCAAAGGCTCGTAGCAGTACTAAAAAACCTACCACTCCCCTAGAAACTAGTGAAAATGCTTCTTTGTTAAATATATTTAAGAATACATGGTGGAAGGGGGAAAGTAGCATTTCTGACTGGTTAACAAACATCACCCCTAGCCTCAGACAGCTATTATAAACATTATGTAACCAGCAATGAAGCCTTGCTATAGGTAAAGATTAGTCTCTTGTACTGTATTGCCATGAATTGTGTTAATTCTAGTTCTAGTGCAGCTTCCCCTCCAAAAAAAAATAATTAAGAGCTACAGGGGTATAGCAAGAATTCCTGAGACTAGAGAAACCTTTCAGCAGTCATGGTGAATAGGCTACTTCACTTTTTACCCCGCATTCTACAAGCAGTGACTTTCTCATCCAATCCCTCCCCACTTTACAAAATACAATACAGCGGTACCTCAGGTTAAGAACTTAATTCGTTCTGGAGGTCCGTTCTTAACCTGAAACTGTTCTTAACCTGAGGTACCACTTTAGCTAATGGGGCCTCCCGCTGCCACCGCCACACAATTTTTGTTCTCATCCTGAAGCAAAGTTCTTAACCCGAGGTACTATTTCTGGGTTAGCGGAGTCTGTAACCTGAAGCGTCTGTAATCCGAGGTACCACTGTAGTGAAAAGAGCTATATTAGCATAAACTAATCTACGGCTAACCTATCTACTGCTGGTATGTTGCATCTAGACCATAAAATTAACCTGATTTTATGATCACAAAAGGTGCTATGGTTTTAGCTGCTGGTGACTTTGGCTAATTTGGCTGTAGAGATTTTTGTATTTGGGGGAAAAAAATAGAAAAATACAATAGTAGGATCTTATTATACGTGTCTCAAATATATATATATGTATTCAAGTAGTTTTCCTTACTGAATTTTACCCACTAGCTCTCTGCAGTATTGTGAAAGGCTCCCTCTTCCCACAGGATGTAGAAACTTTAAATGTAGCCTTCAGTAACTTTTAACATCTCTTAAGAATCAACCTGATCTTTGGTTTAGTTAGGTCTACATCACATGGCAATATATTAAATTCTGCTGCCAATTTCTTCTTAGGCTCTTGACCAAGTGGACTACTGTGACCCAAGAGCTCCAAGCAGCAATGGAAAAGACATTCTTTATATCTGCTGCAGAAGAATGGATGGAGGAGAATGTCCAACCCAGCCTGCAAAGACTTCAGGGAACAGTCGATGATCTGGACAGAGCAATACAGGAATTATCCTAGTACTCTTACAGACAGCTTTGCAGATTTGAGGCCCAGCATGGTACAGCTAGCATCATGCAGCTAGATTAGCATGTGTAAGCCGGGGAGATGCTCTTCAGGTGCAGAGATGAGTCTGTTGCGCTAACAGGCTTGGAATTAATCTTAAAAAGAAATTTTGAAGAGATACAGACTGCCTCGGGTCTTTCCCTTTCTTCTGAAAATGTACCAGCAATCACACTGTGTGCATAGAGTCACACTGGGTAGAAGTGAGAGCAGGCTCCAAGATTTCTCGTGGATTTGTTAAGATTGATTGCAGACTTTTACAATTTAAAAACCTGTGCACAGACACTTTAAATAAATAAAAAAGTTGCACAATCCATTTATTAGTATGCTTTGAACATCTCCACTGGTATGTTGGGGAAGCCTCATTATGCCCCCAAACAGATTTCTCAAGAAGGAAGCAGGAATAAGTTGCCCAAAGCAGATCAGAAGCAAATGTTCTTCGTTTCTTCATTCTGGCCCCAACACCTGCTGCTGCCATGAGAGCTGGGCTGCAGATGGTGTTGGCTCTGCACAGCCCCTGCTGCTGAATGGTTGTTTTGCACACTTAAACTAATGATTCCACAGGTACCCAGTGTAAGAAGGTGGGAACACGAGTGAAACCACAAGAGGACATCTAAGCTCTTGTCTAAAAGTAGCCAGGAGCTAGATAAAAGCATCTTTTTGCTGCTAAGAAACAATCTCAGATTTCATCAAATGAAACACCTAATCCCTCACATTTAATATTTTACATGCTACCAAAACATTCATTGGTCTAATTAATGGTTTAAAGCTTGCCGACAGAATCAAGAAGAATGGATCAGATCGTAAACAGTGCACATTGCAAACCAGAACATTAAACACAGTTCAGCAGAGGTATTTGCACTGCAATCCTATGCACCTCTCATCAGAAGGAAACCCCACTCAGTTCAGTGGAATTTACTCCAAGGTAATGCATGTAAGCTTGCTGCTGCTTTGGTTGGTGGCATGGTAAAATACATCAGTTCCCTCTGGAATGTCATATGTATTTCTCTATTTCTACACAGGCATATGGTGAAGAGTAAAAGGCTTCCTATGAGAGAGTGGTCCTTGGGAGTTCAAATTGGATTGCTTATTTATTTAAAACTGCACTTCTAGGGCTGGAATGTCAGAACTCAAAGTCTCAGACTTTGGGTTGTCTCCAGCAGCATCTTCTGAAGGAAGCGCATACCTACACAGAGTACCTAGTAGTAGGAAAGCCTTCAGGTGAGAGTGTCAGCATTCGGGGGTTGAACAGCCAGCTGGCTAGCTCCCAACTGGACTGTCTCCTTCTAGCTGTCATGCTGCGAAGATCCCTCGACCTCTGGTTTCGACATATATCAGTGACCCAGGTTTGCTAACATGGGCACACTTTACTTAGCAGAGCAAACTGCACAAACAGAAGAAGCTTGAGGCTGTGGATACATACTATAACTACGGGTTTATTAAACATAAATCAGGACAAAGAAACATGTCGTCTCTCTTTGCCGTCCTATCGGAGAGAGTCAAAAGCGAAAAAAATACAGTGGAAGTTCCGCTTATGCCAGCGAACTCTGCTGGAATGTAAACAGACATGTGACACGTAACAGTTCCATGTCTGAACCAAAAGGAGGTATGGAATCTCCATCAGAGAGATGAGGACAGGAAGTGGTGGAATTGCTTGCTCCAGATACTACCATTACAACCTTAATTTCCAGATGCAACTGAGGCTCCATGATCATCCAAAGACCATGAATCTCAAGTGTTTGAGGAGACACCACTTAATAGTGAAACATGACCTCATTATAATCTGATTTAAATTAAAATTCCTTCTATCTACTGTAATGAGAAAATTGCAATACAACTGAATATAGCCTCTCAAATTTTATAGAATACTTACAATTACATGTATTATCTTAAGAGTTACAAGCTTTGTGTACTTAAATGATGCATTCTTTTTCACCATTCATTTTGCCCTATGTGAAATGTACAAGTACCTGCAGGAAGCTTTTTTTTTAGCTTCTTACAAACTTTGTTAATTTAAAAGCCAAATATACATATACATGTTATAGTTAAAAGGAAACATAAAAGAAGAAAGTTCCATAAGAATCAAGGATCCAATAAGAAATATTAACACTGGATATCCAAACAGTACAGGGAGCTTTACAAAAAATTGTATAAAGGCTTAAACGCCACTTTATAAAACAGTTTTACTGTTGCAATTGACACCTGAAGAACACTTAAGAGTAGCGGGAGTGATCAGAAGTAAAATTTCTGCATGACGAGCGTTTACAATCTTCTACCCTTAGCTGCTCATAAAGTATCTACCATGAACAGGAAAACAAAAGGATACATGTAAATCAAGACATTTAAAAGCTCTTATAAAATGAGGTATATATTTTTTGGGGGGAAACTCAAAAACAATGGCAGATCAGGGAATCCGCAGCCCTCTGAATGTTCCTGGACTCCCAGCTCCTAACAGCCCCAGGCAGCATGGCCTTGCTGGCAAAGGTTCGTTGGACCTGGAGTCCTGGAAGATCCAGAGGGGCACAGAATCCCCACCCTGACATAGATCTTAATACTTTTTTTATAATAATAAAAAATAAAACTTACTGTCTTCAATGTTTTTTAAAAAGTAACATCTTGAAAGGCTGGACTCGTACCTACAGCCCCGAAATGCAAAAAGCTCTTCCATTGTTGTGTGGGTTTTTTAAATTAAAAAAATCCAGAGTTTGTATATCTTATTACTACACTGGAAATTTCCTTTAAAGAACAGTAAAAAAAAAATTAAAAATGTTCACACATAAAAACCATACTTCTACAGCAGTAATAGAAAGTTCATCTGCTGTCACCAACTTGTGGCAAAATATAAAAATGAAGATACTAGTCTCTCACCAATGAGCTAACAAGTCTTCTGAAGACATATGTGTAAGGCAACATAAAGGTCTGGGTTCGAGATATCATCTAAACCATGGTTTAAATTATCAGGAACAAACCGGTGTACCTTGGGCTCCCCTTGTCCCTCTTCTCCTTCACACACAAGAGGAGAGTGAAAGCTTACACTTAAAACCACATTATTTATGAACAGTGCTTTGTTCTTTAAAAAAACACACACCAACAATCCGGCTCAAACCATAGTTTCAGAACAGGTCACAATTCCCAATGCAATTCAAAACTTTGGTTTGTTCTAACATGAAAACAAAAGCTTTCACTCCTCTCTCGCACACCGAGATAAAGTGGAAGTGCTCAAATTCAAGGCTGTCTTAGGTGATCATGATCATCTAAACCAGGCCAATAGTTTTGCTTTTTTTTTTTTTGTTTCTCTAAAACCACATGTAAGGAAATTCTAATAAAAGATTCATTTCACTGGGGATGAAAGGAAAGCTTTAAAAATCAGGTTCTCCTGGTCCCTCTAAACTGCTGCTACCGTAGATTTCTGAGAAGGGTTCCTCTTCATCACTGACATCTGTTTCACTGCTGTTCTCAATATACTTGTCTGCTGGAACTTTGTTCAGCTCCAGAAAGCCAGTAATGAGCTTGGCCACAGCTTCTACATCACTGTTGAGAAGGCACAAGCAAGAGTTAGCAATTCATGTGCCCACTTGAGGTGGTCACAAAAGTGCACAAAATATACAAAATATCACCGGCTTGTGGAGGCAGCAAAATTAAAAGTACTCCTTATGTATCCCTTCCACTCGGGCCCAACCACAGAGCAGGAGAGATGCTGGGCCCAGGGCAATTCACACTGTGTTCCCCATTAGCTTCATTACTCCCCTGGTGATGGTCCTGATGGTGTTTATTAAGCTCTCAGACTGGGGTGCGTACTCAAAATGTGCAAGGCTTTTGTGTTCTAATCACATAGTGGCTGCATGCAGACAAGCGTATCTCCCTTAGTAAGCGAAGACATGAGCATGCCTTGTTCCCCCACACACAGCTGCTTCACTCCTCCCTTCACTCCACAAGCAACCAAACAAGCCGGAAAGTCTCAGTTAGTTTCCCTGTTATGTCTGAACCAGCAAATTATGATTAATGGCTTTCAAACAAGCCAGGATAATTAGGCCAACATTAAAGCATGGCTTCTTATCCTGCCTTGTTTGGAAGCCATAAGCATGCTTCCCTAGTTTGGATGTTTTAGTTAACAGACACCCTGCCTTGTTTCTTAAATCATGCTAAGGGAGCAGCGAAGGAGCTCTCTGTGGATGCACAAGGCTTAAAAGGCATTTAATATGTATGGTGCTTTCAATGGTAGCTCTTAGAATAACTTCTGTTCAGAGAGAGTCTTGTCCTTGTAGTTGTATACAAAGTTCAGTAACAAGACAACATAATAAAACATCCAAATTATTTTTGATGTTAGAAGATTTAGGACAAAAGGAAATACTTGTTCAAACAGCGCACAGTTGAACTATGGAATTCACTACCTGGATGGGTTTAAAATGGATTCGGACAAATTCAAGAAGGATAAAGCTATCAAGAGCTATTGCAGGCTTCCCATCAGCATCTGGTTGGCCACTGTGGGAACGGGACGCTGGACTAGATAAGCACTGGGCCTCAGTTTTCTTTTTTAAACTCTGATTTTGAAGAACTGTCTCAATTTATTTTTTTACATGTCAACTTCAATGTTATCCACACCTAGGGTGCCAGAACAGTATGCATGCAACATATTCATCAACTGCAGTTTAGATTAGAATGTACTACAATCATGAAAATATACCCCAGCTTGTTAAATACCAACCAAAATATACAAGTTAGTAGCTTCGTGGCATATTTCAACAGTGAGGAATTGGTGCAGAAGAAGTTGCATGCCCCAGCTGCAACTGAGGCCATCATATACAACTCAAGAAAAGGTAAAAGTAAAGGACCCCTGGACGGTTAAGTTCAGTTGAGGTGACTATGGGGTGCGGTGCTCATCTCGCTTTCAGGCCAAAGACAGCTTTCCAGGTCATATGGCCAGCATGACTAAACCACTTCCGGCGCAACAGAACACCATGACAGAAGCCAGGGCACACAGAAATGCTGTTTACCTTCCCACTACAGCGGTACCTATTTATCTACTTGCACTGGTGTGCTTTCGAACTGCTAGGTTGGAAGCAGCTGGGACAGAGCAATGGGAGCTCACCCCGTCATGGGTATTCGAACCGCCAACCTTCTGATCAGCAAGCCCAAAAGGCTCAGTGGTTTAGACCACAGCACCACCCGCATCCCACAACTCAAGAACTGTAAGTGGCACAAGGTCAACTAGATTATTGAAAGTCATATTGTCTGCCTAAGGTTCAGTGATGCTTTCTCACAAATCCTGAACCATCGCAGAAGAGAAAATTCATACGGTACCTTCTGCAGCCCATCACTGCACTCTGCGTCAAAGGGTGTGAAAACCCAGTGACAAATCTCAGGACAACTAGGTAGCCCTTCCCAAAGTAGCGTACTTTCTCCTCTTCCACATTCACAGCCCGAATTTCATCCAATGGAACCACCACTATTTGACAAAGGATCATATTATTGTTAGCACTGTGATTCCAAGCAACACTTGCAGTGTTCTCTGAAACATTACACTCCCATATCCTACACTTACAGTAGTAAAAACAGTCCAGCCTTCATTTCATGCTGCTGCCAACTGCCTATCATTATTTTAAGGACCAACAGAACTAAATGAAAATGAAACTGAGGCAATGGAAAGTTAGGTTTTCCAAATCCTTCACCAATAATTAGTGGCACAGAATGTTTCTTTCTTACAACCTCAGTCTCAACATCCATTAAAAACAATAAACCCAACGTTTAACCCTTATGGAAGTAAAAATTGTTTGTTCAGAATAATATATATATAAACCATTAATTTAAAAACCCTCTAAACAATGTACATAAAACATAAAACACTCATCAGTGATACAAAGTTAAAAGCAGCAAATATTAAAAAGTGTGTAAAACTCAATTATGAATCTGGATAGACTTGCTGAAATAAAATCATTTTTATCACAAGTCTAAAATGGTCTATTCAGGGTACCTGCCGAACGTTAAAAGGTAGTTCTAAAGTATTATGTATGTGCTGTGACACTGAAAAATTGACTCCACAACAATGTCTTGAAAGGGTTGTGCTTCAGAAGCTGAATGAGACACTGAGCTTATATTCCCAACATTCTGGTGCTAGCTTCTTCATTGTCCAGGATAAACTCTTCACCCTTCCCCATAACGAACAGATTTTCATTAGTACAGTGTACACACAGTCCTGGACTCAAAACGGTATATATTTGGTTGCTGCACAACACATGTGTCATACTGCTACATTTGTGGTTTTACCTTGTTCGTGACCTGCCCTTGACAGTGTCAGCAGCTTCTTGTAAAGGTTGAATGTCTTTAGGAAAACTTTCCCTGAATCCTTTTGAAATATAGCTTCCTATGCAGGAAAAAAAAACACCAACCACCATATCACAGCATAGAATCAACTGTGGGAGTGTGGGAAAATAATTGCTTTTTTGAAAGGCAAAGATAAGGGCAAGGATAAGTATCCCACCATTAACGTCAATTATTGTAGCAGTTAAGTAAATACATAATAACAGATGTTCACTGCTGTCCCATTATTGGATTACACCAAATAAGCTCATTCCCAGGTCCTTCTCCCAAAGTGAAACCTACCAAATCTCACATTTTTCACAGGAAGGCTTAAGATGCTTTTGCTTTCTCTCACGGCATATACTCTGGTAGATTAACTGAGAACTTGCTTTGGCCCTTTTCTGGGATACTGACAAGCAACATTAACAAAGCATTATGGGAGAAGCAATCCGAGCAAGCATTTGGCTAAGGCAACCAAGGCTCCTATTCCTAGCACACTGCTTACCTCCCAATCCTCCAGATTTTGCACAGCTACGAAGAGACAGCCGGCAAGATAAAAGAGTTTCCATCCCAAGCTGTCTGAACAGAAAATATTTCAAATTAGTTGCAAACATCTAAACCACACCCACCCTTAGAACTAGTATCTTATTTCAACAATCCTTCTAAATTGAGCTCTTTATCTCAGCTAGTATCTGTATTGAATATGCGTGTGCAGTTGTTAGGCCTGTAAAATTTCACGTCTCCACATGGGTGGCTCTGCTGTTTGGTAGACTGTAGTGGCAGCCACAGCTGAACCTTGGAAGTTGAATGGAATCCGTTCTGGAAGTCCCTTCGACTTCCAAAACGTTCGGAAACCAAAGCGTGGCTTCTGATTGGCTGCAGGAAGCTCCTGCAGCCAATCAGAAGCCACAGAAGCCCCATCAGACATTTGGCTTCCAAAAAAATGTTCGAAAACCAGATCATTCGCTTCCGGGTTTCTATCGTTCAGGAGCCAAGACGTATGAGTGCCAATGTGTTCAACAACTAAGGTACGGCTGTATAGCATTGTTTTTAATTGTTGTATATATGCATTTGTTCTAAGTGTTGCTGTATATGTATATTTGTACATATATTTTTACTATTTTGTAAATTGCTTTGTGACACCTCCATAGGAACAGATTGATAAATAAACTCAAGAACAGTAAAAGCAAACACATTTTGTAAACTAAAGAGGTCACCTGTTCGGCAACGAAGCAATTATTTCAGTACGTTGCACACACTGTGCCAGGCAGAGGCATTCAACTTTCTATCAGTTACAGCTTTGCAGCAAATGCAGATATCCCCCTTTTAAGCAAGATCCTGTTTTTTACAGGCTTTCAAAACCTTAATGTTGGAGTGCTCTGAAGCTAAGTGCAAAGAGAGAGCCTTTTTCAGCTGTGATCCTGCCCCCTCCTGTCTCCCGACAGAAGGCCCTCCCCATGAGGTTCACCCAGGACTGAAGTAGATGTCCTTTCAGCCCCAGGCAAATATTTTATTTAACCAACTTTATTTTCCAATATGACATATAAACTGTTCTTTAACTACGATTATTTTTATTAGCTACTGCTGGGTTTAATCATGTTGCTTGGGTTTTTACTGTTCAGCTGTTTTCATTGTTTTCCTCGGTTAATTAAGTAAGATCCAACTATAAGCTTCTAGCAAAATTATTAAGCTTTACCTTCACTATAGTAAGCAGCAGCCAGACCTACAGAGGAGATCCCTAGAAAGAGAAAGGAGATATATGAACTTAGAATTTACTTTCAGCTACTTAAATATAACACTTTGTTCTTAGAAAAACAAGTTTCATGCATGTGCTGACAGGCCTTTTAAATTTCAATGTTATTTTTCGTAAAAAATAATAGTAATACATTTGAGTTAACTATTCCACTGAACGCTATAACAATGATCCATTTAGGCAAGTGAGAATAAAATCTTACTTGAAATCCAAATAAGGAGCCAGATATCAAATTAGGCCAGTTGTGTGACATCACTAATAACTCTAAGTCTGTTATATGAAACTTTCAGAACGCCTTCAGAGTTTTTCCAGTTGTGTATTACAACTTGTTATATGTCTGATCACCCTGTGGTCTTTTGGAAGACCATTGCAATCTGTCTTGATTAGGCTTAGAGGACTTTCTCAAAGATTATAATGTGTAACATGGAAAGACAGCTGGAAATATAGTGTGATGCCAATAGCAAACCAAATGCATTCATCTGCAACAACTGCATTATCTTACTGGCTACTGAGGATTTCCAGAATCAATTGCAATTACTGTTGTTGGGAGTGGAGCAGAAAAATACTGTGGGCGGAAAAATAGGGTTGTATTCAAGTAACGTTTCTTCAGGGTAGAACCACTGGAATCCAAGGGCCTGAGATAGCCATGATCATTAATTCTCATTGGTTCTACTCTGAATAAAGGATGGGTGGATACAACCTTAGGTTACTGAGCTTTAGACCCCCTTTACATTATGGAATATTGGCTTGCAACCAAAGAAATATTCCAATCAATATGTAAAATATAACCCCACCTGTTAAAAGTTCCTTACCATCACATGAAATCCAAGCCTCACTCTCTATATTCACCACAGATTTCCCTGACATAAGGGGCCATAAAGGCAAAAGTAACATGTCCTCTCCAGCAGTAGTGGCCAGTGCAGCGGCAAAGGAGGGGCATTGCTATTCTCCCGGCTTCCAAACAGAGCACATCACTAGTGCTTACTGGCCTAACTAGTAATAGTTGGTGGCGGATTGGCTCCACTATGCTCCGGCACACTGAACCTGGTTCCTGACACCTCCCCCTTCAGCAAGTGCTGGGAACAGACTGTGTTTGGAAGCCAGGAGGGCAGCAATGTCCCACCTATGTCACCACACCAGACACTATTGCTGTCCAACAAGCTTTTAATTTGGATTTGTTTTAGTAGAGGTTTGTTTTAACTCATTTTTTAAAAAGGGAGCATCAGCTTATACAAAACTGAAGACTTACCTACAAGGAGAGACCAAGATCTGATACCAGGTGATCTCGTCAAATGAAGAACAGAGTCTGAGTGGTCTTCAACCAACATATACATCTTGGGAAGTGGAGGCAAATCTACAGAGCTCCTGAATACTCACAGAAGCCGCCTACAGAATGACAGGGAATAAAACCAACTGAGACACTGTTTACAGACCCTCGCCCTTCATACTTTGAGGCGTACCTCAGTCCCATGTTAAATTTATGTGTTTTATTATCAAGCGCAGAAATTCTGTGAAAATTACAAATGCATACACCTAGTAATAAGCCAATCAAATTTGTGTACTTTAAAGCAGAATGTGCACTCTCAACATCTGAATAGGTGAAGTCAGTGGTAGCTTTTTCAGTCATATGCTTAGTTTAACTTTAACAAACAGAACCTACATTCAATTTTCCAACTTTTAAAACCAAAGTTTAAACTTTTGTTTTATACCTTTCTCAATATCCAAGCCCTAAGAAAGTCGAACAAGTGGATGGTTATTCTTACATGTGGAGTTAGGAGGAGGTCCACCACACACTAGTTTGTCAGGTCTACATTCAGAGAACACTATGGCATGTAATAGGGGACGCGGGTGGCGCTGTGGGTAAAACCTCAGTGCCTAGGACTTGCTGATCGCAAGGTCGGCGGTTGATCCCGGCGGGTTGACCCGCGGCGGGGTTCGAATCCCGCGCGGGTGAGCTCCGTCGTTCGGTCCCAGCTCCTGCCCACCTAGCAGTTCGAAAGCACCCCTAAGTGCAAGTAGATAAATAGGTACCGCTTTATAGCGGGAAGGTAAACGGCGTTTCTGTGTGCGGTGCTGGTGCTGGCTCTCCAGATGCCGCTTCGTGACCCGGAAGTGTCTCCGGACAGCGCTGGCTCCCGGCCTCTTGAGCGAGATGAGCGCGCAACCCTAGAGTTGGACACGACTGGCCCGTACGGGCAGGGGTACCTTTACCTTTTTATGGCATATAATATCGCAAATGAAGTGGGTGGGTGGGTAAAGGAAGCAACTAGTCATCTATCTTTATCATCTATAAAACCCCAAAACAAAAACACATCCACCAGAACCAATGTAAGATCACACTGTGGCAAAAACAGGAAGTGTACGGCAATATTATAAAACAGAGGCAAATTGCGACTTGGCAGCCGTACCTTCTACTTTTAACACAAGCAGGAGACAAGAAAGAGAGCTTTCCAGTTTCGTCAACTTCATTAAATGCAAAAGCACTTTGTGACTTTTTCTCTCTCACAAAAACCCACCCCACCAAAGCACTTAAGAAATCTAAAATTCGCTTTCTGCCTTGTGCATAATTGCATCGCTGCGAGTATCACTACTGAGCAGCGCGCACATGATTTTAAAAGTGGAAGGGACAAAAAGGGAAGTGTCCGTAGGCATTTCCCCCCCTCCATTGACCATTTCTGTGTGCGTGCTATGCAGTCAGAAAACAGTTCTGGGAACTGGACCACACCAGGTCCCCCCTGCCCAGCCTCCTTCTCCTCCTATGCAAGAGGAGACGTCCCCCACTTTCTTTCCCCGTTAACACGCCCGTTAGCGGTCTCTGGTCCCGCTCCCCGCCCCCCATCTCGCCCTCTCGCTCCCACTAACTGCCACCCCCTTTCAATCTTCGGCCCTCTCCTTTTCCGCCCCACTCCCGATGCTCCCACCGCGCAGCCGCCTCCACCCTCCTTCTCTCTGGCTCACCTAAGACGTCGCTTCCCAATTTCTTTTCGGGCGGGAAACGCTCCAGTACCATAGACGTAAACCAGAGAGTCCTACACAGTCAACCATAGAGAGGACAGGGAAAGAGAGCGAGATAGAGCGTATCCCTTGAACACCATAGATCTATATCTAGCGGAAAGCTCTCACGGAGGAGAATCTTCTTCCTCTTTTTAGGGTAGATGTGCGATTGTTTCGCAGCACCGCAATGAAAAGCAGCCCGTGCCTCCCCCCCCACCTCACTGTTGTTGCATATGAAGTTTTTGCATGGACTCCTATGTCTCCTTGTCCCACATGAGAAGACGCCCAAAACTACGGAGGCGGCGTAGCTCCTTGCTGGTCTCGAGGAGGCGTTTCCCCCTTGAATCCTCGTTGGTTAGTCCAATTGAAGTTGGGCATAAATACAGCATTAAAAAATCATCAGGTAGTTTCCCTACTGAGGAGTTTTGATTAAATTTGAATTCTCAGAATGACAGAACAAAGTACATTTTAGCATGCATTTCCAGGAGACAATAGGAAGACAAACTGTGTCCTCTAGAGCGACTATAAATGCGCTCAGGAAGCTATTTGCAACACACAGCTTGCCAGACACACTGCTGAGTGATAATGGAACCGCTTTTACTTCGGCAGAATTCAAAAAATTTGTAACCAAGAATGGAATCCGCCACATTCGTTCCGTTCCTTTTCACCTGGCCACTAACTGCCAAGCTGAATGCATGGTCCGTACTACCAAAGATGTGCTTAGGCGCATAGTGCATGGAGACTGGACTCTCCATTTAGCGGAGTTCTTATTGGCCCAAACACATCACTCCAAGAGCAGTGACCGGCCAGAGCCCAGCGGCGTTGCTTATGGGGAGGAGGCTCACTGCCCTCCTTGATTTTATGCACCCCAACCGGGCTCTTGAGCAACGGCCATCCACTGTGGTGTGGGGGGCTCAAAGAGGGTTCTCCTCAGGGGACACTGTGTATGTCTGAAACTATGGGCCCAAGACAGGGTTGGGTCCCTGGTATCATTGCCCGCTGTACAGGTCCGATTTCCTACGAGGTAGGGTTGGAGGGGGGACTGGTTTGGAAGAGACACCTCGACCAGATCATAGCCAGGGCACCTTCGAACACGGAACTTCAAGCGGAACCAGAGGACAGAGAAATGGGTACTTCGGGAGATTCTGTGCCCAGGCCAGGGTGGGAACCAGATGGGTTGCCGGTGACTGAGTTACCCCAGCAGAAGGTGTTTTCAGGCTGCAATTCTCAGTGGCTCCATCGGCAGTGACGCCTTTGGAGCCGGCCTCGCTGACCGCCCCACTCAGACTGTGGGTACCAGAAAAACCTCCTGGGTGACCCACTCGGGCACAGGAACTGCGATGGTCCCAGCAGGAGTGGAAAAGGCCGACACACCTTGATGACTATGTTTGTTCCTTTTGTTAGGAAGTTGGGGGGGGGAGTGTTATGTATTGGGTTTAACACATTTTATGTTACAAGGCGCGTTCTAACCAACCGTATAACGAACATTCTAATGGCAAGTACAGTGGTACCTCGGGTTACATACGCTTCAGGTTACAGACTCCGCTAACCCAGAAATAGTACCTCGGGTTAAGAACTTTGCTTCAGGATGAGAACAGAAATTGTGCTCCGGTGGCGCGGCAGCAGCAGGAGGCCCCATTAGCTAAAGTGGTGCTTCAGGTTAAGAACAGTTTCAGGTTAAGAATGGACCTCCGGAACGAATTAAGTACTTAACCCGAGGTACCACTGTACATTAAAAGGGCAATGGCAGAAAACTCTCTACCTCCCATCAATCAGGAACAAAAAAATTAAGTACTTAACCCGAGGTACCACTGTAAGCGCATGCACTTTCAACTGTCAACGGTCAGTTCATGCTCGGCATTATTATTGTGTTGTCCAGTCAGTTTGGTTCTTGTTTTCCTATGAGTGAGCTGTTGCCACTCCCAAATGTTGAATAAACGTAGTTGAGGAACTTATACTGCCTTGGGATTCTGACTTTTTCTGAACATTTAACAAATTAAATTTGAATTCTCAGAATGACAGAACAAAGTACATAATTACCTTTTAGCATGCATTTCCAGGAGACAATATGAAGACAAATACTCAAGTAGCACACTTGAGTTCAAGCCATTGCATGGAATAAGAGCAGGGCCTGATTTAGATGAAGAGGCCCTAGGCTACTCCACTTGTGAGGCCCCTCCGCACCCCCCACCCTCACAACTAGAAGAAAATGGAAGAGTGTTATAATCAAAACTGAGTGAAGCCAAGGATAATAACGGGTATTTAAAATTCTACAATTCACCTATACATAAATCCGGCACTGAATAAGAAGCATCAATTTATATAATTAGCCAAGGCATAATGCTTTTATCCTTTTATTTAGGGGATTTCTAACATCAAGTACTGGAAACCAGAAATGCGTGATGGTTCACTCCATTGTAATCATGTAGTATTCTAGCCCTTTCCAGAGAGAGAATAATGAGTCAAACATAGGTAACAGTAAGGGGGGGGTGAATCTAAGCTACATTTCAAAACTTTAATAAAGCAAATTGTGTCATGATCCACAAATTACAAATTCATGGGGATAGCTAAGCAGGCAAGCTAGTAAAGTTGTTCAGGTTGCCATTGATCTTACTTGCTACAGGTCAACAGACAAGTCTAGCCCCTTACAGGGATGCTGTGCTAATTACTGCAGGAATGCAATGGAAGTGTTTTGATTTCATTTGCATGCCTGAGATAAGCCAGCATTATCACCCGTGTATTCCAGTAGCCTCCCCTCATTTAACACTGTTGCTGTACAATTAGGAAACCAGTTAACCCATCATCTGTTCCCCCAGCATGCACTAAGGCTGAACAGAGAGTCCCTTGCACCCAACAAGGTTAATGTCTGAGGTGAGATTTGAACCAGGGACTTATCATACCACTCACTAGTTATACTCTTGGCAGTAAATTTCAACAGCTTGGTCCAGATTATCTCAAGGAGCATCTTTCCTTCATAGCAGAGGGTGAAGTGGGCTGCTTCCGATAACACTTGATGGGGGAATAGATGAAGGCACTAATTGGCTTCTAAATGGTGCAGCAACAGTTTTAAAAGTGTTGCCCTGTAGCAAGTGAGGGCACTGGAATCCGTTTCAGGTAGTAAAGTGCTTAGGGCCGGCATTGCTTTTCCATTTACACCCTCCTACCCATTAAGGCTGTCTTGAGACCAAAATTGTTCCTTTAAAGTAAACATTCATTGCCTTTAAAGCGGATGCTTCTTTCTGCAATCTGCATGCAATCTAGGAATGGCAGGGCTGGCTGGTGCTGCCTGGGCCCAACATCTTACAGGCCACAGCCATGCATTGCTTACAGATGTATCTGTACAATGGAAACATTGGCATGTGATCAACCAGACTGTTGTGCAGCATGCTATAAGGCAGCCAGAGAACATGTGAGTCCAAAGTGCACCTGCCTAAAAGTGCCTATTGAGCAAAGGTTACATTTAACAACACTCCCAGCCTGTTTAAGCAAGTGAACCAGGAGACATCAGGAAAGAAAGAAAGAAAGAAAGAAAGAAAGAAAGAAAGAAAGATAGATCACCAACAAATCTAACTTGGAGAAAGTGATTTCCCCCCAGCATTTCTTAAATTAGATCACAACTACTCTAATGGCGAGCTTGATGCAAATACTGTATGAACTTTATATAGCATCTCAGAAGGGCTTCTTCACATGCAGCCGATTAGAACGTAACAGGATTGTTATAATGTCATACAGAGTTTCACTAGCTCATCTAATAGCTCTACAATTATGCACAATGAACAAGCAATTCCATTTTAATTTCCCTAAGTGTTCCTATTGATGAGACAGAAAAAAGTAAACATTCCTATTTTTGATGTTTTATATCAGCCTCAACTTAGCCTCTCCACGTCAGAGCAGCTCAAGGTTGTTCAGAAGCTATTGATCTGGGGTTGCTAACCTAAGTCAACAACCCTTGTTTACACTTGGAAATCCAGGATGTTTTAGCTACTCTCCCTTGTCCAGCTCCTCTGCACTCCTTGGATGGTTGTGTTCTTGCAGAAAATTCCTCAATCCCTATATAACATTTTATAGGATATCTCAAGAGATATTCTACCTTCTAGGACTCCCTACTTTCAACTCACTTGAGCCTCTGATTAAATTCTTACCCATGTAATAAAGTACAGCATGCTCTAGAAAAAGGTTATCTCAGGGTCACTGGTCATATAAACAAAGAAAATGAAGTCCTGGAAGTCAAATAAAGAAATGCAAAACATCTCTGTGTATATGTGGGATGGCAAATGCCCATTAACACCTACTGATCACTTTAGGAATTTAAAACATGAAATCTCAAAACAATAGTTCTCAATAGGTTTAATGAAAACGATGTTTTGACTCAATGCTATGAAGAACAAATGTGCACGCTTACATTTTATTTATTTATTTAACAAAATTTATCTACCGCTTGTGAAACAAAATACAGTTTTCAAAAGTTGTATCATTACTGGCGAACAAAATCCAATGTCAAATTTTCAGTCTGCTTTCCTATCAGTCTTATTTTATTTTATTTTGTTTTGTTTTGTTTTACAGTGGTACCTCGGGTTAAGTACAGTACTTAATTTGTTCCGGAGGTCCGTTCTTAACCTGAAACTGTTCTTAACCTGAAGCACCACGTTAGCTAATGGGGCCTCCCGCTGCCGCCGCGCCGCCGGAGCACGATTTCTGTTCTTATCCTGAAGCAAAGTTCTTAACCTGAAGCACTATTTCAGGGTTAGCGGAGTCTGTAACCCGAAGCGTATGTAACCTGAAGCATATGTAACCCGAGGTACCACTGTATTTTACTTTATTTTATCAAAAACAGTACTCATGAACCCAGTTCCAAGGAACACAGAAATTCCTCTGCCCAGGTCTGTGTTGGGAAACAGCATTAAGCAAGGGCAAGATGACAATTAAATGATGGATAGGTGGATTCTTCTAATGGCATCAATCTTACTGGTTGCCATTCCTGCTTTGTATTCATTGAATTTCAACTACACATGTAAAGATGAGGATCAGCAGAACTTGGTTTAGGCTGCTGTTTTACCACTTCTAAGTATGTTGTTTGCATGTTTCAACTGTACTGTATTTTGATTCTTTGGAGGCTGCCCTGGCAACTTCTTAGGAGACAGGATAAGCCAATTGCAGAGGATGAGGCTTTTAATGGTTACTAGGCAGGATGGCTATCACCGCTGTCAGAGGAAGCATCAGAATATCAGTTGCTGGAAATGCATTTGTGGGGAGAGTGCTATTATGCTCATATCCTTCATGTGGTCTTCTCACAGGCATCTGGTCAGCCACTGTGAAAACAGGATACTGGACTATGTGGGCCTTTGGCCTCATCCAGCAGGACTTTTGTGTGTACTTGTGATAAAAACATCTAAAATGTATGCATGTTTCCAAGTAATTTCTTCCACAATATACACCTAGACCTGCATCAGATAAGTGCCAATAAGAAATAATACCCTTAGAGAAAGGAGCCTTTCTAAAGAGCACAACAGCTTTGAAGCTCAAATGTTAGGCTAAAAGTTAAGGACGTTTGGGGTGGAGTGGGGGTAGTCAGAATCATATCCTGGATTGTCTCCAGAAGAAATGAGGAAACTCAAGCTTTCAAGCCTCTGGCATTGCCATAGGAACCGACTCCTAGGGGCAAGGTCCCTTTGCCCTCCCCAATAAAATAGCCCCCCTCCCAAGTTGATGGGCATTGTTATTCAACTGGTGTGCATGTGCCACGTCTTGTGATGGATTATGCAGGGTGGGGCATCTCTTCGCCCTCCCCCAATATTTTTTTCAAGTTGGTACCTCTGGGCATTTGCTATTGGTTGGCAAAAGCAAGCAGAGAAAAAGATTGAGCATCACAAGCATATGAGAGATGGTAAAGCCATCTGGGCAAATTCCTTGAGCTCAGCAGACAGGAATATTCTGCACCTGAAGCATCCTTGGCGGCTGGCAGTCTAAAATAGATTAGATTGATTTAAAAAAAAAAAAGCACAGGAGAAGCCGACAGCAGAATGCCAGAACGGAATTTAATGGGGGGGGGGGAGAGAGAGATCAAAGTCGGGCGTGAGACCCAGCTGCTGCTGTTGGCATCATACCGTAATCCTCGGATGGACCACCCTCCTGGCGTTGCCAGCTAGGGAGGAAAAAAAACCCATAGCACGGTGCATGAGGACATATTGAAATTGCGCCTTTCTGCCGCACGGGGGCGTTGCCCCCCCTCGCGCGTTTCCACCCAAATGCTTGGGACTACGTGACAGCTCTCAAGTCTACAATGAACGCTTGCAAACGGCGGGGGAGGAGGAGGGAGGACAAACAGGACTATCCCAAAAACAGGAGGAAAAAAGAAGAGCTCTCTGCACCTTACTTAGGAACCGTTCAGGACCCCGCGCTTGTGTCCTGGGCCGCTTCCCCGCTTCCTCTCTTGTCCTAGCCTCATGCACCAGCCTTTTGCCCTGGCGAGGTTCCCTTTCTCCTAGGGATGCCCTTTGTGACTTAAGTGAGTTTTGCAACAAGGTACGGTGCCTCTGCTTTTCTCCCTCTCCCCCCCTCCCTTCATTCCTTTGCATGGTGGTCGTCCTGCTGTAGCAGCGAAGCGTGGCTCCTGCTCATGTTTTAAGAGGTTTCCCCCCCGGTTCTTCTGCATCTGCAGCCGCGAGAATCAGTGTCTGTCTGCCGGTTGCTTAAGATGTTATAATTGCTGGTTTTTATGCGGAATTTGCCATGATGACGATAATGATAAGGAGTAGATTGCTCTGAATTTGTGCCAGTCTCCATTAAGGAGGATCAGAACCCGGGACTCCCACAAACTGCCACACACGCAGCCAGTCTCGTTATGTAATCCCTGAGATCAACTGTTAACCAGGCTTGGCTATTCTTCTGAGGCAGCTATTAAATGCTTAAACCGAAAAGGAGACCCCACAGAACGCAGGAGATCTGGTTTGATCATGGGAGGCAGAGGCCAGTTAAGCTGGGATCCAAATCATGGTTTAACGACTCTTTACTTGCAGGTAAACGTGTTTAGGGTTGGGCGGCTGAAGGCAGGGTTGCTTTGTCCTGCAGACAGACTGACGTGTCTTATGCATGCATGTGGGTAAACCCCGCTGGTTCCCATGAGGACATGTGGCATAAATAGCCCACGTTATTAAGGGAACCAGGGCAGGTCGTTCTGCTCCATATTTCCGAACGTATGATGAGCTTGTGCACCAAATTATGTTTGCATTACAGATGGGTTTCCCCCAGAGGAATCATCCATTGCATCTACCGCTCACTTGGTCCAGGCATCTCTTAACCTTGGCTATTGCTGGCCAGAGGTAAAAGAGACTTGGCCAGGGAGCAGCAGCCCTGGTACCCTGGGAACGTTTATATTCCAGTGGGGGGGTGGTGTCATCCTTCACTTAGGTACCTCCCACGTGCTAAATAAATGCCGGCAAGCAATGAGTTGTCATAAATGACTTACCACCAACCAACGTTCCGAGATGATGGAGACTGCTGAACTGTACTAGATCTTCCCCCTTCGTAAAGGGTGGGGGGAGGATGTGAGATTCTGAAATTAAGGGCATCAGACATTTTCTGTGGCAGAAAGGATACCTGGGAATTGTAGCCATTGTAGCATCGGCTCGAAACGCACATAATAGAGAACCCTTTTAAAGGCAGAAGTGAAGGGCAATTGCTAGCCTGGTGCTCTGAGCCCTTGGGAGAGAAAGCAGCTGTTGTAAAAACATGTCAAACTGAGTGGCGGGCATTTAGGGCTTGGCAGGGGGTTGGACTCGATGGCCCTTGTGGTCTCTTCCAACTCTATGATTCTATGATTCTAGAGAACTCCCAGAGATGTGCTTCTTGATTTGCATTTTTCACATCCTACATTTCGAAAGGAAGCTGTGCTATCCATATGGGAGAGGATTTGCCAAGTTCCTTATAGTCACTGAGCAAGGCAAAGTTGTATATATCTGAGGTGGTGCGCGCGCACACACACACACACACACACACTTGTGCATCTTCCTGACTCACCTGTGTCACCCTGTGTCTCATCCATGCAGTGCTCCTGCCACGATGTCTGAAAACCATCTCCTTTCTCCCCCCCTCTCTCTCTCTCTCTGCTCCAGAGAGACATATTATGGCTATCAAATTAAATATTTGTCTTGGTTTCATGGCAAGAGAAGCACGTTGTTGACATTGTCTATATCGCACAATAAAAACATGCCACGCTGGAGCTAATCACTGATAGGATGCGAAACATATTGCATTGTGATCGCCTTTCCATGTCAGATAAGTTGACTGCAGGCACTTAGTGCCCTTTAGTCAGTTCTGCAGTATTGAAAGATCAAAAACCTCCCCCTTTCAAAAGCGAAAGAGGTAGGGCTGTCAGCTGAGCAGTCAAGACGTCCCCCTTTCTCAGTTTCTCATTGGTTCCAGGAAGCCTTATTTAAAAAGAAGTATTGTTTATAAGAAGGCTGGAAGGCAATGTAAAGTAAAGGGCAACCACCATCTCGCTTCTTCTCATGCTTTTTTCTGTTTCAGGCAGGTGAAAAGCAGAGGCATCTGCTTCCTCTTCTACATCTCTTGGATGCGAATATAAGAAAGCGATCCAGCAACGTTTGGTGTGAGGCTCGGCTTAGCAGCATATAAACAACACACCAAAGAAAATCGACACAAAGAGACCTACAAATGAAGTGTGAAAATTGCACCAAAAAGGTGAGTCGGTCATTTCCTTATATAATTCTAAGGTTGCACATGTGCAGAGAAGTAGGTGCCCTTGAACTGTGTGTGACTTATTCCTGAGTAAACATGCCTAGTGCTGGGCTTTGCAGTTGTAATCCTGTGTACCCTTAACTTGGGGAAAGCCCCACAGAACCCAGTGGGGTTCCAAGTGTGCAGTCAAAGGATTCCAGCAAGTTACACAGACTACTTGGATGTAAGGCTTTTGTTTTGGATTCCTCACCTTTTGCTTTATCTAAAAAGCAAAACCTTATTACTAGGCTGCAATGAGGAGTACTGTCACATCACCTGTCCCAACACTCAAATAGATTAAGATTCCCTTCTAAATTAAGGCAGTCCTTCTACATACACAGAGAGTTGGGAAAGTCACAGTATTTATTTTTTTTAAGTATCAGTACTATTGAAAATACAGAAACAGGTATATATCGTTACAGTTTACATATTCTAGTAAGAAATAGAGTCCATTTTTCAATTAAGTTGCTTGCCTCACAATTTCAGTGAAATACGTCAGTTGGTCTGTCCATTTCAGAATTTTAAGCAATCACCCTCTTATCTGCAGGAGAAAAGGTATTTCCAGTGTCAGTCCCACACTATCTTAGCAGCCAGCCGTTTAGTATTATAACAAGTTTTGAACGGTATTTTAGGCTATTTCGTTACTTCTTTTGTGGCCATTTTGCTGATTCTTTCCAAATCACCTTCTTAGTTACTTTATTATCAGTTAGCTTTGACAGGGCTGAGTGCTCAGATTCCTAGATATACACTTATGTGCTGGCTTTGCATTTTGTGCCTTTGCATTTTGCCCCGGGGCCTCTCAAGAACCAAACTTGCTCACAAACAGTACCTCTGTGTATGTATGGCTTAACTTTGAAAATATGTACTGTGCACGCAGGAGCTCGATAGGGCAGCCTACTTTGCACCACCTTCCCCATCTTGTCAAGCTACCTAAGGAGGACAAATTCCCCTTTTTGGAAAGCTATGCCTTAAGTGTTTAGAGTGTTTTTATCACCCAGGAATAATAACTTATACTTTGCAGAGGGGGTAACTATATTGGTTTGTTGCAGCAAAACAAACAAAAAGGCACATTAAAGATTTGCATTTATTATGGACTGGAGAAGATTGTCATAATAATAATTTTGCAGGCTTAAAGTATGCCAAGAGTCTTTTCTCTTTCAACACAGAATTTGTTACTATTATTCTTCAGGACTGTCAACCATGAATGTCTTGATTTCTCTGCTTCTCTGTTTTCACTCATTTCCACTTTGACTTGCACCTAGACTTCTAACTAGACTGGTCTCTTTTTCCTCTGTCTTTTCTCCCTTCCCTTCCCCACCCCCACTTGACACCCTCTCTGTTAAGATTAGGGGCACAGGCTTATCTTTTTTTCTTTTCTTTTTTACTTATGTAAAGCACCCTAAATAATCACAACAATAATCAGACATGTCAACTTCTACTTGTCATTTGGTCTAAGCATACAGTGGAACCTCAGTTGTCGAATGTAATCCATTCCAGAAGACTGTTCAACTTCTGAAATGCTTGACAACCCAGGCGCAAAGGGAGAATGTCAATTTCAATAGTGAAAATTCAAAAACATGCCGCGGAAGCCATTCAACTTCCGAGGCACGTTCGAAAACGGAAGCAATTACTTCTGGGTTTTTGGCGTTCGAAAATCAAAACATTTGGCTTCTGAGACACTTGAAAACCTAGGTTCTGCTGTACTGGGAAAATGTAGCTCCCACAAAATGAGGGTAGGCGTAGAAATGTTCCATCCATCTTGTTCTGGGCAGCTGCTTTGATCAGTGATTTTGCTTGTTCGTTCCCAACTAAAGTCTATGATTTGTTTCAGGAATGTAGTAATAAACAGAGGAATGAAGACCGGCAAAATACACCAGCTGATGTTCTCAACTCAAATGATGAAAATGAAGAGGTAACACTTTTGGTTTAATTTTTAGCAATATAATCTATATGTACATGTCTATTCAGAAGTGAGCACCCTTGTGTTTAATGGGCCTCACCCTCAGGTGTGTGAGGATAGGATCCAATATCATGTTGTTCCCAATCCTCTTAAACTTAGCCATGATGAGTTTTGTTGTCTTGGAGCCATTGTGGGTCCCCCCTCTTTCCTTGCACACTGCTGGTTTCTGGAAAACATTGTGGTTTTTTTGGTTAGATTGTGTGTTTAATATTAGAGTGTGCTTTACACAGTTGAAATGTTGCAACTGTTAACATCCCACTGATGAGATGATCCATAAGGCAAATGCACATTCCAAAATGTTTAGAGGATTTACGATTAAGGTTCCACATTTTGAGTTCCCTGAATAACACTTATGCTAGTTCGGGTTAATGGGAGTTGTAGTGCAAAACATCTGGATGGCACCAAGTTGGTAAAGGCTCACCTAAACCATCTAAGATGTCATTTCCTCAGCTCCTTGCACTAAATTAATTTGGAGAGCATCATTGACAACAGTACTTGCCATTTTAAAAATAATAATAATAATTGAAACATTTCTCTATGTACAAAACAATCTGTTACATAAAGGAGGAGCTGCCATTCTTACCATCACAGGGTTGCAAGCTATCCTTAATGCCAGAGGTGCCTCACTTTTATATTCTTGAGGGCCATCTGAACCCCAGGCATTTGTCTAGGGGCTAGGAGTGTATTTTGCTGAGCAACTTGCCCCCGTCCCTGTGTCCCAAAGTAGTCAGGCTCAGTATCTGCCACTTAGCTGTAAGGGCTTCACAAGTGTAGAGAAATCTGTACTTGGGCATATAATTGTATTACTGACAAATACTAGAGCTATATAAAAATGCTAAGTATGACTGCCTTGTATCTCTTGAAAATAGTATTATTTTACTTATGGGTAATATGCTTGAGGGACGCGGGTGGCGCTGTGGGTTAAACCACAGAGCCTAGGACTTGCTGATTAGAAGGTCGGCGGTTCAAATCCCCGCAATGGGGTGAGCTTCCTTTGCTCGGTCCCTGCTCCTGCCAACCTAGCAGTTCAAAAGCCGTCAAGGTGCAAGTAGATAAATAGGTACCGCTCCGGCAGGAAGGTAAACGGTGTTTCCGTGCGCTGCTCTGGTTCACCAGAAGTGGCTTGCTGGCCACATGACCCGGAAGCTGTACGCTGGCTCCCTCGGCCAATAAAGCGAGATGAGCACCGCAACCCCAGAGTCGGCCACGACTGGACCTAATGGTCAGGGGTCCCTTTACCTTTACTTTAATATGCTTGAGTGCCAGTGTGATGTGGAGATTCAGACCCCCACTTAGCCACAAAGCTTACAGAGTTATTTTGGACTGATCACTGTTTCTAGGCCTAACCTACCTCACAGGGTGTTGTGAAGGTTAAAGAGAAGAAAGAAACACAAATACTTGAATTACAGGGCAGGGCCTTTTTGTCACGGCCCCATAGCAACTATTTTCAGAAAACTTATGCGGAAGCCATGACTGATGGTGAGGACGGGAGTTTCAAGAAGAGGGGCTGCTTATGGATTTTATTATGGGCTGCTTTACCTTTTCTACCACAATTCAAGCAGCACCCTCTAAGCTCCTACATATGTTGGCAAAGCCTTCCTTACCATTTTGAGAATAATTAAGCTAGCTCTGTCTTTGACTTGCTGCTGTTTTTCCTTTTTAGAAAAGTGAATTCCATAAGTTGGCTAACGCTAAAATATTCCTTAGCGATTGCTTAGCTTGTGACAACTGCATAACATCCGATGAAGCAGTCCGAGTGTTCCAGCAGAATCAGAAAGAGTTCTTCCATGTACTGAACCTCAATAAGGTAAAAGGAATGGTGCTTGCAGGTACATGTGTATAAAGAAAACATGCTATCTTAACATGGAAGATTGAAACAATTGCTTGTTCCCATGAATCCCCCCTTCCTGTTCCCAAGTTCTCTTGCTCCATGTCTTCTGCCTTTATTTCCAGACATTTTAATCCTCTGGGTTCTTTATTCCCAACTTTAAAGCTCTTCTCACATCTTCTCTACTTAACAGCCTCTCCTCTTACCTATTTACGAAACATCTCCTGCCTGTCTTCTCCTGTTTTAGTCCTTAAAAAAAAAAAAGTGTTGTTCCCAACCAGATCACCAACTTCCTTTTTAAGCCTTAGAAATAGTATAATCCCTTCCTTTCCCCAGGCACACGGTCTGGGTGGCATTTTTCATTCTCTCCGTTTTGCTACCACAGATCCAGTTTGTTGCTCAGTCTCATTGGCTTCCAATTTTTAACCATCCCAACACCCACCTTTTTATCTGACTACTACAGTTCTTGTGAATTCTCTATTTCTCATCTGGGTTATTGGGACGTTATTGGGATTATTGGTCTCAACCGTCTCTGATCTAAAATCTTTGGCTTCCATCATAAGTTCTGATGCCTTTCTGGTTTTTATTGTTCACTTCCTTCTCCTTTCTTCAGGTCTTGACACTGATTCCCTCTCTCTTCTGGCATTCAGTTGCAGATAACTTCATATCCAGATATTTTCATTAATTGACCCGCCCAGTGCTTTTTTCATAGAAAAAGTGGTGCCGGAACTCACCATGAACACCTTCCTCATTCTCTTAGAAGGGCAATATCGCCCATCTGAGAGGTGCCGGAACTGAGTTCCTGTGTGTTATAGCTGAAAAAAAATGTCCTGGCTCTGCCTTACTTATCCTCTTTCTTTCTCTGCACCTTATTATCCTCTTCATTCTTCTGGCAATCTTATTCTGAAACCGAGTAGACAGTATTCTGTGCCCTTCTTGTGTTAGTGCAAGGACTTTGGGCTGCATAGTGGAACTTGTCCCCCTCTCCTTACCCTGTCCCCCCCTCGCCCCCTGCTACATCCCCTACATCTGTTCTAGATGTTCCCTCAACCCTTTGAAGTAGATTTGGTGAGGGTGCATGCAGGAAGAGGAGGGGAAAGTAGAAATTGATTACAGAACAAGTGTATTAGATATTGCCCGATATTCACCACCACCACCACCTCCACTCCTTGCATTTTTGCTTTGACTGCTCTTTAACTTTGGTACTTGTTCCTTTCTGACATCCAGACAGCTCTCCCTTGGTTATCGTTTTTAAAAGGCCTCTTCTCCTTCTCCATCTTCTCTGCTTGATCTTCTTTTTCTCCTTTTCTCTCCATGATCTCCTATTGTTTCTTATCCTTAAATGAAAGTCTGTGGCAGGGATTGCTTCATAGCTTAGGCTTTGTAGGTGTACACTTCAGATACTCTAAGTGTATACCTAAAAATAACAAATGTGTGTACTTGAAAATATATGAACTATGCAAACACAACCAACACATTTTGCAGGCGCAGGTGTCAAACAGGTGCAGTATTGACTGCGCCTTTCAATTAAATGTACCCAAAAATGCTATCATTTTTAAAATGATAATAATAATGAAGAATTGAATGCCCTATATATTTTGAGCAGACTGCAAACTTCAAGAGATTTTCTTATTCAGTTAAGACATGTGACAGATTAGTTCCTTCCACTTATTAAAAGCTCTGTTCTATGTAAGAGGGCAGCAATTTTTTAATAGATTCCTGAGACAGCACTTGTGACTTCTGTTCTCTGGCTGGTATTCTTTTCTGCTGCAGCAATAGTCCTCTTTATTTTAGCGTGATTTCATTACCTAACGGGTTGTCTAGCTGTTTGCCTTTAGCTCTCTTAAGGTCAGAAGACAGAGGGTGCTTCCAGACAGGTGTTTATTATGGGATTAGTGCTGCTCATGCGTGCAAGGTTTTTGCAGCATCTGCATGATGATGTTGGCATCAAAATGCTAGCCAAGATTCTTCACTCTGGAGAGTGACATATCTAGAGAGAAAGAGGGCATCATCCGTTCCATCACCAGGCCACTGCACTGTGTCTCCTCAGCTGTGTGAACTTGACTCCTGTGTGCCCATTTCAGGTTTTAAGGCAAAGGGAGAGAGTCAGTTCTGAAGGGGTCCTTCAGCAAAGTAGCATCTTCTAGGCCCCCTTCTACTTTGGTGGGCCTCTGGCTGCAGGCTTAACTGGTGGTGGTGGTAGGAGCAGTAGCAACAGCAGATCTTCCAAGTGTCCCTTTTCCCCAGGGATGTCTCTGATTTAGAAAAGCCACCGCTGTTTCTGATTTGATCCCGGAATGTCCCGCTTTTCCTTAGGATTTCCCTATTTTCGTTGGATAAATGTTGGAGGGTATGGAGTTATCCAACCCCCGAGCTGTCTGAAGGGAATCCTGTATAGCAGTGGTTTTCAACCAGTATGCAGTGGCACCCTGGGGTGCATTGAATGATGGTCGAGGTGCCACTAGCCTCTGTCCCTCTTTCTTTCCCTCCTTCCTCTAATGCCCTCTCATGTCTCTGCCTCCATAAAGCTTGTGCAGCTGTTTGTTGTAGCAGCCCTGCTGCCACCCAAGGTAAGGTGATGGCCTCACATTCACCTTTGGTAAGGCTGGGGGCATCCTTTGCCCAGATCCCTGTGGGGCAGCGTGAGGAGGTACCTGTTGTTGAGGTGGGGTGGGGAGCTCAGAGATCAGGGGCGGCAGCAGCAGCTGCCCAGAGGACTCCCAAGGAGAAGGGAGAGGAGAGAGGAGAAGAGGCTGAAGGAATACTCCACAAGGGAGGGTGTTCAAAAAAGTGTGAGAGGCTGCCAGCTCTGCAGGCAAGGGGTGACATAACTGGGCTCCTGAGCCCCACAGGGGTGCCATAGAAAGAAAGCAGTTGGTCAAGGGAGCCGTGGATTCAAAAAGGTTGAAAACCTCTGCGTATAGGGAAGTTTTTAAAAAAAGTTTAATGTTTTATAATGTTTTTATATATGTTGGAAGCTGCCCAGAGTGGCTGGGGAAACCTGATAAAATGTACAGGATATAAATAGTAAAATTATTGTTATGGAATGGGACGTTCCTATTTTCATCGGAGAAATGTTGGAGGGTATGCAACGGTGAGGCTTACCTGGTGGTAGCTGGCCATTTGAACTTACCTACAGTGCCTCCAATATAGCAGTGCTCCAGAGGCACCATGGGAAATCAAAATATCAGCCCACGGTGGGGATCCGCCATTTGAATCTCACACAGTGTCCCAAACAACATTCTGTTAGGGGCATTATGGGAAATGAAAATGGCCACTCACTGCTACCACCAGCAGTTTGGGAGAGAGATAGAAAGGAGACCAGTTGCTACTGTAATATTTGCACTGTTTCCCTGTGTGAAGAAACAATTTGCTATATTGTAGTAATTGCCAGTTAAGGTGTTCTTCCTCTTTTCTCCCCTTTCCTTAATATTGGAGGTGGGTGAAAGCAGTGCTTCTTCAGCACAGTACTCTATTTCCCACAAAGCAGGGTGGGGGCGGGAGAGGGAGACGTGAGATGGAAAATTGCCCACTTCCTTGAAAGCTTTTTTTTTTTTTTAAAAGCTGGATTAACCTGTGTCAGAGAGCAACTAATACAATGCAAGGAAGTCATCTGATGCAAAAAGCTATATCCTGAACTGTTAGTGTAATGCACCTGTATGTTTTGTTGTGTGTTGTTTTCCAGAAATGTGATACCTCAAAACACAAAGTGTTGGCAGTGTCTATATGTCCTCAGTCCTTGCCTTATTTTGCTGCAAAATTCAGTCTCACTGTTACCGAAGCAGCCCAGAGGCTATGTGGTTTCCTCAAAAGTCTTGGTAGGTTTGTTATGGTGAGAAAAAAACAACAACAAAAAAGCCAAACACAGCATTTTTCATTTATTTTTGCATTTTGCTTCCTTGGCAAACTTTTACAGCATGTGTCAGCATGTGAAACAATTGAGCAAGGGATTCATGGAAGGGTGTGTGCCCTCAGTGATATTGTGATATAACAGGGTACTTAGGAGAGTGAGAAAGGGTGAGAACAGAACATAGCAAGTTTTTTGTGGGTATCGCTTATAAATGGGGAATGTAAAAGTCTGCTATGCTGCAACTGAGCGAGGGATGTGGAAGGAAGCTATCTCTAGTGTGGAATTTAGAATCCTCACGAGATTCCTGTGCAGATCATCAACTAGTGCAGGGATGTACATTCAAGAACACAGGAAGCTGCCTTATATTGGGACAGACTATTGGTCCATCTAGTTCAGTATTTGGCTGCAGTTCTATAAGGGGTTCCAGACAGGAGACATTTCCAGCCATGCCTGGCGATGCCAAAGATTGAACCTGGGACCTTCTGTGTACAAAGCAAATCATCTACCATTAAGCTATGGCTCTTCTCCTAGAGGGAGAAAGATCGGGGTGGTATCTGCTGCCTCCACCCAACCACCTCATCAAACCTCCCTCAGTTCAAGGAGACATCTGCAAGGGGGCCTTGTATGCATTTCTGTGAGATGCAGTCCTCCTCTGCTGCTGTGTTATAGTTCTCCAGCACTGGTGCTTCAAACACCAGAAGGACAGGGATTCCAGAGGTCAGGAATGAGCTTCTGCCTCTCATGCACCTTTGTGTTCTTGTGCATGATTCCCATGTCCCTTCAGCACCTAAGGACCAGATCTCAGTTGTAGAGCAAGTGCTCTGTGTGCAGAAGGTCCCAAGTTCAGTGCCTTGCATCTCTGGTTGAATAGGTTCTCAGACCACAAATTATGGGAAAGAGCTATACAGTGGTACCTCTGGTTGAGAACGGGATCCATTCTGGAGGCCCGTTCGCAACATGAAAAGAGCGCAACCTGAAGCGCTGTATCTGCGCAGGTGCGCGGCGCAATTTGGCGCTTGTGTGCATGCACAAAGCATGATTTAGCGCTTTTGCGCATGCATGAGTGGCGAAACCTGGAAGTAACCCTTTCCGGTACTTCCAGGTTGCCGCGGAACGTAACCTGAAAGAACATGAAGCAAACGTAACATGAGGTATGACTGTAACTCTTTATTTTTAAATATGATAAAAAGGCTGGAGAACATATAGAATTTATGCAAGGCAACAACATATCTATTTCAAAATTACAGTGGTGCCTCGCAAGACGAAATTAATCCATTCCGCGAGTCTCTTCGTCTTGCGGTTTTTTCCTCTTGTGAAGCACGGCTATTAGCGGCTATTAACGGCTTAGCGGCTTTAAGAAAAAGGAAACAAACTCGCAAGAACTCGCAAGACGTTTCGTCTTGCGAAGCAAGCCCATAGGGAAATTCGTCTTGCGGAACGACTCAAAAAACGGAAAACTCTTTCGTCTAGCGAGTTTTTCGTCTTGCGAGGCATTCGTCTTGCAGGGCACCACTGTAATTGGTTTTTTAAATAGTAACATGTTCTGAAAATTAATCTGGTGATGCTTTATTGTTTGCCTTTCTTACCCATTTTCCTCTAGGAGTGCATTATGTCTTTGACACTACAATAGCTGCTGATTTTAGTATTCTGGAGAGCCAGAAGGAGTTTGTGCAACGGTACCGCCATCAGAACCAAGAAGAGCATGCCATACCCATGTTTGCTTCAGCTTGCCCAGGTGAGAAGGGCAGTCTTAGGCACATTGTTAAGTGTTACAGAGCAGTGAATCCACCATCTGTCCCTAACCCTGTCAGGCTGAACTGGCCAGAGCAGAAGATGGGCTTGTTTGTTGGACAGGGTGGGAGTTCTTCCTTCTTTTTCACTATGCAGCTGCTCCACCTCCAGAATAACTCATTTGAGGCCTTTTTGCTTGCTGCTGCTGACCTGAAAAACACCACCACTATTACTATTATTGACATTTGTGTCCCAGCCTAGTTCACGTTCCCATTTCATCTTCACAACAAACTTGCGAGGAAGGTTAGGCTGAGTGTAAGTGACTGGCCTAAGGTCACCCAGTGAGTTTCATGGCTGAGTGGGGATTTGAACCCTGCTCTCCCAGATCCTAGTCTGATACTCTAACCTGTCCGCCAGCCATTGGTAGCATTCTGCCAGCCAGAATGTTCCTGGGGTCTCCACTATGGTAGAGCCCACTGGCTAAATCTCCATGTTAACTTGTGCCAACCTCCAGTCATCAACATGGGGCTAGAGGATAGGGCTGAGCTCTTTTCAAGGGGTTACAGTTCAGATGGATGTTGTTTGGCTCCTTTAGGCATGCTGAAGACACTGAGGTCTTGAAGCTTCGTTTCTGCTTTTTTGAATCTACTGCCTTCTGTGTTCTGGGTCCCTGGATTAGACTGTGGCCAGGAAAATCCCCTGTCTTTCCATTACGAAGCATGGGGCCAGTTTCAGTTCTGCAGCCAGGTGGTGTGCAGCCCAAACTCATGACCGATAGAAAGTCTTGTGCTGCTGCTCCTCTTTGCTTACGGTGCAATATATATCTCACCATCACCCCCACCCAAAAGCATATCTATTACTTGCATGTGTTGGTTTTACTGCAAGACAATCAGGGAGCATGACTATGTGTTCTGGTTTCCTGTCATCTTCCTATGGCCTTCTTTTTTAAAAATTAAAAATTAAAATCTAAATTAGAAAGAGTAGCACGATCTTGTCAACCCCCGATCAACACATATATAGCATATCCGCAATGTTGACACTGGCTCCTTGATTGCCATGGCAGCTCAACAAACAAATGTGCCATTATACAACACTGTAATAAAGACATCATTTTGTAAACACGCCAGAAATCTCATTCATCTGGAAGGAGGTTTGCATGTTAAAATGTTCCTTAATTCCGTCCGGGTCTCACTCTCCAGATGCAGATGAAATGTACTAATTTTCAGCAACATATATTTGCCTGTCATGCCACAGGAAGCGCCACACAGAAGGAAATACATTGAATCTAGAGTAAGTGGATCTACTCCACTCTAGGTATATTTTGAAATAAGGGGGAGCAGATAAAGGAATGAAAGGCAAAGGCTGTAAATTACATCCTAATTTGCAGATCTGTCTGTGCATATATTTTTTCTTTTATGGTTCTGCATTAAGTTGCAGCTGGTGAGTGAAAGACCACTTGCCTACTTTGGGGCAGATAAAAGGCAGTGTTTCAAGCACTGCTGAGAAATCCTGGTCATTTGAACGGGACCTATGCAGAAACAGCAAGTGAGTGATTGCCTGGAACAATCAAAGCTTTATCATCCACATCACAAAAAGAAGTGGGTGAGTCCTAAAAATCTGAGTGTCTTTGGGGGAAGATTACACCCCTGCATGCATAGTACTGCTTTTATTATTGTTAAGAATCTCTCTGACTTAGTTAATATTTACTTGTTACACAAAAACTGAGGTCACATCCACACCATGCAGAGTGCTTCTATGCCATTCCAGCCGTCATGACTTCCCCCAAAGAATCCTGGGAACTGTACAGTGGTACCTCGGGTTAAGTACTTAATTCGTTCCGGAGGTCCGTTCTTAACCGGGAACTGTTCTTAACCTGAAGACCACTTTAGCTAATGGGGCCTCCTGCTGCGGCTGTGTCGCCAGAGCACGATTTCTGTTCTCATCCTGAAGCAAAGTTCTTAACCCGAGGTACTATTTCTGGGTTAGTGGAGTCTGTAACCTGAAGCGTATGTAACCCGAGGTACCACTGTAGTTAGTTGAGGATGCTGATAGTTGTTCAGAGACCTCTACAGAGCTGTATTTCCCAGCACCCTTAAGAAACTGCAGTTCCCAGGAATCTTTGGGCAAAGCCATGACTGTTAAAGAGGTATAACAGTGCTTTGAATGAATGGATTGTGGTCTTAGATTGTGACTTCCATGCTGAATCTCCCCTCTCCTCTTTCACTCCCAGTTTGTCTGTGTGTGACTGTGCCTAGAGCAGCAGTGTGGGACTATGGGCAAAAGCAGGAGGGCTCTGGTTCTAGCAAGTCCTCTGCACTCCAGCTTCCCTGCAACTGGATTTTTCAAGTTCAGCTCTTTAGTCAATGACTGTGCATAAAGGGCCTAGGCTAGGCGTTTGTGTGGGGAGCAGATAAAAGTCTCCTGGGGCCCCTTGGCTCATGCTCCAAGTCTATTTGCATATCTAAACAATGACTAAGGCAGACTGCGAGGCTGGAGTTAATTGACTGAACTCTGTCTGTTTTTCTTCCTGAAAAATAGATACGTGGAGGTCAACCAACCTATGAAATGACTCACGCTATAAACAGGAAAGCTTAGCTTTGGCTCATTAAACTCCACCAAGGTTTGTTAGATTATAACACACATTATAATAAGGCACAGAGGGTTTTTTAAAGAAAAAAGAAAGAACCCAGCTTCATTGGCACAGTACCAAGATGAGTCGTGCTGCAAATGGCAGGACCTGATAGTGCATTGATGGAGACCTGTGGTCTAAAATGACACCAGCCAGAAAACAATTGTCTGAATTCATCTCACCCTTGTTCAGGGGTTTCTGTGCATCTTAACATACAGCTATATATCCGGACATGTCAGAGGTCAAGGAATTCATTTGCCTGTAGATATGGGAGGCTGCAGCCAAAAAGGACTAGGATGAGGGATAAGGAAAGCAGAGTGTGGTGCTCAGATAAGCTGCTGCTGACTGTTAATCGTAGCTTTCACAGCAGCCATCTCTGACCTGGTCTCCTCCTGATGTTCTGGATTTCAGCTCCCATCAGATCCAGCCAGTGCTGTCACATGAGGGGGATGGCTCCATTGGTGGATAGATTCTCCCTTCCACAAAATGTTAATTTTGTGAACAGGCTCCAACTGCCATGTTAGCCTTGCCATGAGTTCCCCAGAAGTTAAGCCATTCTGGAGCTGGGTGGGAGGTGGCTGCACCATAGAAACACAGCTGAAACCTCTCAGCGCTTGAGTGCCACTTTTTAAAGGTACAAAATTGTTTGTTTTTTAAAGTAGACCCTGGGCAGTTATCATGGTGGGTCCTTCTAGGGCACTGGAGCCCCATCATCTGCCTGACCCTACTTTGCTGTGTTCTGGGAATAGGAGATGCCACCATTAATGAGACAACCAAACCTGCACTCTCTGTTGCATCGTGGTGTCCTGTGGCAATGGCAGCACCAGACTGCAGAGAGACAAGATAGGAAAATGTTAGCCTGGCTCTTGTGCAGTAGGGACAAATGCTTTCCACCCACTATTCAGATGGAGAGCAATGCAGTTGACAGATCTGATTGGCTATGTCACGCTGTTGCATCATGTTCACTATGTGGTCCCTGATTATGTGGGATCTTGCAGTGAAGGAAGAAGAGGCCCTAAGAATTGGTATCAAAGGAGCAGTGGATCAAATCTATAAACAGGCATGGGGGAAAATGTGAAAGATCACATTTCTGGAGGACTTGCCACTCCTCTTGTAAACAAACATTTCACTCCAAAGTGTTTGCAGATAAAATTCAGCACAGCCCTAATCCTGTCACTCTGCGGCCACTGAGGACAAAAGGCCATTAGGGGCCAGGAAAGACCATGTAGTTTACACATCCTCCAGAAGCAGGTGGAGTACAGGGGCAAAGGCTGGGGCACTTAAGAGGAGGAACCAGAGGACTGCTGCCGCCGCCCCCCAGTATCTGCTGCCTGATGCTTTTGGCTCACTTTTTCCATTGGTAGAGCAAAACATAGCACTTTTGCTTGGGATGTACTCCAAGAATAGCTGGTACAGTCCACACCTCATCCCAATAATTTACAGTGGTACCTCTGGTTACGGACGCTTCTGGTTACGAACGCTTCAGGTTACGAGCTCCGCTCACCCAGAAGTAGCTGCTCCTGGTTGCGAACTTTGACCCAGGAGGAGAATAGAAATCGCGCACCGGAGGCCCCGTTAGCAAAAGTGCGCCTCAGGATAAGAACAGTTTCAGCTTAAGAACGGACCTCCGGAATGAATTAAGTTCATAACCAGAGGTACCACTGTACCTCAATAAGCATCCACAATTGATTTGGGGGTAGGGTGCATACCTCATTTCCCCCCACAATAGTCCTCACAAAATATGAGCAGACAAAGGCTCAGATCCAGAGACACCTTGCTTATGTAGGAAAGCACTTCGGCGCTTGCACACTTTTTTTGCCCCCAAGGTTCAAATTGGGCAAACCGGATGCACTTAAGACTGTACTTCAAACGTTGACATTTGTACATGTTTTTATATACTGAGGTTCTATCGTGGGGTGGGTGGGGAGCGAGATTTGAAGTCCTTCTTAAAAGTGAACAAGGCTATGTAAGGACATTGGAGATAAAAAGTTATGGAAAGCAAAAAAGATTACATTCCACGAACCTCATTATCAGGTCAGCATAATAAAGTGAGTCAAGTGAGGAATGTTCTTAAGCACTGGCTGAATGTTTAGTCAATAAGGGAGCTCATGTTATCATTCCTCCATTTTTCATTATTTATCCTGCTTTGACTGATGAAGTTTCTGCTATAATTCTCAACCTTTCCTTCTTTTGGTTCTGCTCCCTTAATTCTAGGCTGGATCCAGTATGCCGAGAGAGTCCTCTCCAGTCTCGTGACGCCACACATTTGTACTGCAAAGTCACCGCAGCAGATCATGGGCTCCCTTGTCAAAGGTTATTTTGCCAGGCAGCAGGTAACTTAACTATTCCTGGTATTCTTTGGACTGATAGGTGTGGCATTGCATGTGTTGTGTGATGGGTGTCACAGCTTCAGCAGCCGGCTCCTCCAGAGTGCTTGGCCTCCTCCAAACTCTGCAACGTACTCCAGGCCCCCTCAGTCTTGGGGGCCTCCAGGCTCCTCTGGTTGTGGCACCCACACTATGTTTTCTGTTGTTGAGCAGGTGAGAACCTTATAGGAGAAGGTGTTCCCTCAAGCATCCCAGACCATGGGCGGCCTTCAAGGTCAAAACCAACACCTTGGATTTAGCCTGCAAACTGACTGGAAAAGCAAATGGACTGACATAAAACTGGGTTATAAGTGTCTTATGAGCAACCTTAAGCAAAAGCTGTGCCACCACATTCCAGATCAGCTGACTTTTCTAGAGGTGCTTTGATATAGTTTTGCCAGTTTCACTTCCACTAGCAAAAGCAGGCTTTTTTATTTTAAAAAATCCAATTTGAGGAAGTTGTGCTCTGAAGTGTTAATCTGAAATGCATGGGATATTTGCTTGATTCCGTTTTTTTCTAAAAGGCAACGTTGCACTTCAAAGAAAAAGATAGAATAACCTTTGGTTAACCTACAAAATAAGGAAAAGGAGAGTGTGTTAATAATCCTCATCAGTTACATCATTGAGGCCACAGATACAAAAACCAAATATCTATACGAAGATGGCCCAAATTCTGTACTAAGAAGTCAACAATCAACTTGTGACATACCACTGTACATTCACACAGCCCAGCTATAGGTGCCTGTGAATACCTCCTTAACCAGTTGAAACATGGTTATGGCGAGAGTCTCAGATAAGTTAGCGAGGAGGTAGAATTGCATTTTCCCACTGATAAATTGTTTTATTAATGGGAGCATGTGATTTCTCCATTACAGATATGCTGGTTGAGAGGAAAGACAGTTGTGGTACTCCTATAGCAGCTGAGTAACAGCTGTATGAGGAAACAGGACTCTGGGAAGGCACACAAAGTTCCAATCTAATATGTCCAAACTGTGTGAATAGCATCCTGGAAAGGTATTTTTAATCCAATGTGTCCCTAAATGCTTTTCCCTTTTCTTTCAATATGTTTGTTTTCTTCATCCATCAGAATCTGTCCCCTGATAAAATTTTCCACATAATTGTGGCACCTTGCTATGACAAGAAGCTAGAAGCCTTGCGAGAAGATTTCCACACCCCTCTGTACAATTCTCAAGATGTTGATTGTGTTTTGACGTCAGGTAGGCATCTTCCATCCAACATGCTCCTGTTGCTATTTTATTCAATTTTTCCCCTCTCTTTTTTTTACAGAGGCAATGAAATTAAAACCAAACATAGCAACAGGGCCACCTCCACAGCTGGGGCAGGGTGTTTTGGGAAGGAGCTGAGAGGGACCAGGGGAAGTATGGGGAGGAATGCCCCTGTTGTGGAAAAAATGTGGTAGGTCTTTGTAGAAAACGAGATGCTGGACTAAATGGGCTTTTGGTCAGAGCCAGTTGAATTCTTCTTATGTCCTTAGCTAATATATCAGAGCAGATCTAGAATGTCTGGAGTGTCACATTTACTGCCTCTAGAAAACTCATTCTCCCCCACACTCCTGGTTGCATCTCTGTGGGCTTAAGCATCAACTTAATTTCCCCTCTACAGGTGAAGTCTTCCAGATAATGGAGCAGAGCAAAGTATCTTTGAGAGAAATAGCTGAGGTGGCCTTTGATACCCTGTAAGTAGCATTTGTGAGATGCTTTTGTTTTGCTGAAAACATCTTTACATTAGGTTAAATATATATGCATATATAAAATCATGACCACTTATCACATTTTTTGACAGGCTATAATTTTGTGATCTTGGAAGAAGGACATATGGCAAAGTGGTTTTCTTCAGCCTGTTATTGTAAAAAGGCTGTGTATCAGCAGAGCCAGCTCCAGGGTTTTTTGTGGGCCTGGTCATGTTGACTTGGGTGACTCTGTCTCCCACTGCCAACCACCCCTGTCATTTGGGCTCCCCACCTACAGTGCTGCAGCAATTCTATTCCCTCTCTGTGGTTTAGTAATATACTTAAATGGTTTTAGTTCTTGGCTGGTATAGCACAGATATACACCCATTAAGCTCTGTTGCGGGATCTCCATTTCTTCAAGGTGAGCCTGCTCCTCACCTTCTTGCTTTCCTCCCTTATTTTATGAGGTTTGATGGGGTAAAGGAGGCCGAGTTAATCCGTCATGATGGAAGGAAGTCTGATGGTTACCTGGAGCACATATTTAAATATGCTGCCAAGGAGCTCTTCGATACTGAAGTGAAGGATGTCGTATACAAAGTGTTAAAGTAAGTTGCACATCTGAATTAAGTTTATCAGAAAAGACGATTCAGAAAATGGGTACATTTGGCCTCTGCACATGTTGCATTGCAGCTTTTTACCACTTTGACACATGGCAGAAAATGATGGCCTGTCCTACTACATGGACCACCATGGGTGTATCACATGTCAGGTGAAGACCTATTTAACCCAGGCATTTTAAATGCTGATGATATATAGATATACATGCACACATAGTATTTAACATTTATATATACTGTTGAACCATCAATGGTGTCAGCCATCAGTGGGCAACCCTGTTATCAAGGTCCAATCGTGGCTATGTTCCAGGCTAGAAAAAGGGGGCCTTTCCCCCAGATAAAAAGTATTCCTGACCATCAGGGTCAGACGCAGCTATGCGAAGTCTACCATTTTCATCCACGTACCTACGGCGACCCGCCTCTCTGTGTGGAAGAGCCAGCCAAAAATTTCCAGTCGTCCCACAAACTAATGCTGCAGACAGTAGCTTTGAGCATCTTCTCTGTGTGTCTTTTCAGAAACAAAGACTTCCAGGAGGTCACATTGGAAAAGGATGGTGAGACGGTGCTACGCTTTGCAGCTGCGTATGGCTTTCGAAACATTCAGAATATGGTCCTGAAGCTGAAAAAGGGAAAGTGCTCCTACCACTTCATAGAAGTTTTGGCCTGTCCTGGAGGTAACAACAAATCTTAGGAGATTAACACCCCCCCCCATCCTGGCAGGTGTACAATAGACAGGTTAAGGTTCTAGCTTCTGTCCTTTGTTGGTTTTGGATGGATTGCAGGTTTTTCAAAGACCCTGCTCAAAGTCAAAACGCTGCGTTATATCTTCAGCTGGGACCTGTAACAAAGCGTTGCAGTGTGGAGTGTTCCTGTCCAGTCAGCCAGCTGAACCCTTTCTCAAGATACTCCAATGTCCCCCTCTCCAATTCTTAATATTCTATAGTCACTGAGCATGCTCAGTCCTGGATGGACTCTTTGCAGATTTCTTTTGTTTTTTCCCCCCTAGGGTTTCCTCCCCCCTAAATATTTTTGGGCAAACTTTGGACTCCCCACCCCCTCTCATTTCTCAGTAGCCCTGGTTTGGCTACAGAGCAGTCTTAACTGAGCACCAGATTTTGCTATTCACGTATATTATGATTCCTTTGCTACATGTTTTGTAGTTGTTCATTTTTTAAAAATACCTAGAATTCTATTTTACTCAGCGTTTGGGCTGCTGTGTGCAGTGCCACTAAGTGGACACAGCGTTGTGTGGTGGCCTCATTTACGGCAAAGCAATAAAAGAACAGCGTTTGATATACTCCAGTACTAAATTTCCACTGGGTTTTGGTGTTGGAAAATGTAGAAAGGTGGTTGATCAGTGTTCCCCATTTGTAATGGGAGATGACATGCTGCAGCTGGTTTGGCATGATTTTAATACTGGACTTCTTACATTGTGTTTTGTAGGATTTTATCATTATAACAATAAGTTTAAGTGTGTGAACAGTCCTGAGGGTTATTTATTGTGAAGGGTGGTACAGAAATGTATTGAATAAATAAATAAATTTATAATAAATAGCATATTTACTTGAATCTAATGCTCACCTTTTTTGGCCAAATTACATTGCGAAAATTAAGGTGTGCATTAGATTCGATGGCACATTTACATTCGCCAGCAAATACTTTTTTGGTTTCAAGGTTCTGAAAATGATGAGTTGCGCATTAGGTTCAAATAAATATGGTAAATGGGAAGAGATGGAAAAGAGGAGAGAAGAGAGGAAACTGTTTTAGGGAAACCATTGTCATTATTAAATCAGTAAAGCCTAGTTTCTCCAAAAAGTGTGCTAAAGATATAAAAGGCTGGAATGAACAGTGTCTGTTGCTGGTTTGTAGACATGATGGGAAGTGAGACCCTGCCTTCCTTCCCCATCCACCTACTACACCTGCCTCGTCTGCGACATCATTAGACACCCATCCAAGGGTGTCATGTTCAAATAAAGGCCTATGTGCATAAAGTCCAATATACATGGGCTTGGATCATATGGTCGATTCCTGAATTTTATTTGGGCTAGACAGCACAATCTGAGACTGTGCACATTGGATCTTGTGTGCAAACCCCCTTTGAACATGACACCCTCATGTGGACATTCAGGGATGTCAGAAGTGCAGGTACACCTAATGCATGGCCAAGGAAGGCGCCCTCTTGCTCCCCACCATTCCAGACCAGAGACGGCTGTTGTCTGATCCAGGCCGATGTGTTTCTCTACCTAAGCAAGCCAATTCTCTCTCCTGGCTTTGGCCTTCCACTCTTAGGGTGCTTAAATGGAAAGGGTCAGGCTCAGACTGAAGACGGAAAACCAGACAAAGCCCTGCTCAGGCAGATGGAAGATGTCTACGCCTCAGTTCCTGTCCGACTTCCTGAAACCAATAGGCAGGTACAGAAGCTCTACCAGGAATGGCTGGATGGGATGGACTCCATGAAGGTCCAGGAATCATTACATACAAAATACAGCACGGAAAAGCCAGCTGCCAACAATTTGGATATCAAATGGTGACCAGTCAAAGGACAAGACTTGCAGTAGGTTTGTTGTACATAGAGCGCTGGCAACTATTCTATGCAACTGGAGACGGAGGTACTGCTTAAATATGTGAACATTACAAAGAACTGGAACTGCCTTTGTTCTCCACCGGAATTGTGTAGAGTTCAATTGTTGCTTGAGTCTGTGTATATTTGGAATGTCTTTATTTAATCGGAGCCTGATACTGTCTGTGTGTGCGTCTGAGGACCTTTTAAGAGGCACAGCGAGTCTCTAAACTCCCAACAGAGGTACATCGGTATAGAATAAATTTACCAGAATCAGGGCATGTTGCAATGTGCTTTGATCCTGACTCTTAGTACGCAAATCTTTATGCCAAGAATCTAGTGCCATGGATTTTACTGCTCTCAGAAAGGTGTTGTGTTAGGTTTACAGTTTATCTAAGGCTTTTTATCATTACCAAACATCATATGCTACCAAAATATGACAAAACAAACTAACCAGTGATGCCATTTCCTACCGCATCACCTCTGTTCACATTTACTACATTTACTACATTTACTGTACACATTTGATGCCAGTCAGATTGGGTGGCACAAAGAAAGAAACTTTGTCCCCTACCAATAATTAATTTCCTTTTTATCAGCTTTAATGTCATCTATTGCGATTCCTTTGAAAAAGTAGAAACTGCTTCCTGTTCTCTCGTTTAATTGCCTTGCTTCTGTGGATATTTCTGGTCTGCTTTGGAGATAAAATAGGGATCCTGGTCATCTAGAAAGAGCAAGGCACATGGGTGGCTGAAGATGGTAGCAGTCATGGGGGAAATTATCAATCCAGGTGGTCAAAAGGTAAGGCAGCAGGTTCATATAGGATCACTGGGCCAAAGTTGCAGAGGTGAGCAAGTCTAATCCAGTGGAACTAGAGATAAAGTTATTCAGACACAAAGGCAGCCAAGCCCAGTCCAGGAAGTTAATACACTTTTTGGCACTCAAGCCTGCCTAATAGCAAAGTCCTATGTGACACCTAAGGCAATGATGTTTCAGCAACTTCTTACACTGGTATTAAACCCACTCATTGGCAGATTCTGCTTAGGTCAGACCCTGATATCTGTCAAGACTAATCGGATTTCACCCATGAGATTTCTTGATGAGTGACTAAGGCTGCCCTTATTTGGGATTCTCATTGAACTCAGTGTGACTTACTTCCTAGTAGACGTGCATAGAACTGTGCTGTAACTACAGAACTACCAAGCACTGCCAATGTACAGCCTTTGTCTGAATAAATGGGGGAGACCAATGCATGATCACTGAAATATATGGAGGCTGTACACCAGCAGTACTTGACGGATCATGCCACAAAACTGTAATTCTAAACAGTATCTTTATCCCTGTAATTCTAAACAGTATCCTTATCCTGCTCTGAGATACAATTTCCTCTCTTTCTGCAATATTATTCCCACTTAGTTGCACTGTTCAAAAACAAAACAAAAGATGAGGTCTTTGTCTGTACTTCCATTATTTCTTTTATTTTATCAAATATTTCAACACTGATCGTCCCCCCACCCGTCTCTTAAAAGTTTTTGCTATAGCTTTGGCTTCTTCCATAGCTCCTCCTTTGTTTAGTTTTCCAATCTTAACACACAAAAATACGGGTATGCTTTGTTGTAATTTTTACTGAGAAATGCAAATCTTTAATGACCATCATGCAAAAAACCCACAGAAGCAAGATGAGACCTGAAGGCTCTGATCTGTGCATGGTAAAAATATAAACCTCTGATTAGAGGACATTGGTGCTTCACTCCTCTCAAAGTGTCTGTCTGAATTCTCAGCCTGCCTCCCAGGAAAGGCAATGAAATCCTTGAGCCTGGGAGATGCTGACTAGTAGAGAGGTGTGAGATATGTTATCATGATAAATGGACTCAATATCTGACATGGGGCAGTCCTATGATTTGGACCTTTGGGTCTCATCTCCTTTTGCAGCATAGAAGAGGTGTAATCTGTGTTCCGTGTGCATGGATTTGAATACATACATAAAATAAGATTGTATATATCTCAATCATCTTATAGTTGCGTCTGTATAAAAAGAATAAAATGAAGCTTAAAACTGGTGCAGAAGTAAAACACTTCTTGAAACCTACCTCTGTGCTAGGAAAGGCGCTCAGAATGGCTGAGGGATCCTGGGCATGCTACTGCATTAAAATAGAAAAGGTGCGTCCACATGGCACATTCTCAGGACATCAGATGCCTTATTGCAGTTTGTTCCCTTCAGTATCTCTACACACACACAATATTTCTGCCTATTGTGATATCAGGGTGGGCATGCAGGATGCACAACTAGCCCTTCAGTTTCATCACGAGGGTATCCTGGAGGGGAATAGATAGTGGCCTTTCCTAGGGATATTTTCTACATACCCAGTTGTGGTCTGCCATGCTGAACAGAAGCAAGAGAAGCTTCCATGTGGATGTACGCACAATGTCCAAATTCCTGTAGTGAGGCATAAGCACAGCCTTCAGTGCTGACAATGTAATTTATTTTAATTTTGCTTCATTCATTAGGATGCCCTCAAAATGTGTTGAGCGCAATTCTAGCCTTACAAGTCCACTGTATAGTTTTTATTTGTAGATACACATGGAGGATATCTTGTGTTAAAATCCTTTTATCTTTTTTTAAAAATTCTTTTCCCTGCAGTTTTGCATACAGTCATACCTTGTGTTGCCTTCTGCTCTTCTTCGGACTTTCAGCTTACGAACGCGGCAAACCCGGAAGTCTTTACTTCCAGGTTCACTGCCTGCGCATGCACAGAAGCACTCGATCGCACATGCGCAGAAGAGGCGCTCTAGTTGTGGACTTTTCGGATGCAAAATGGAACCCCAAAACAGATTAAGTCCACAACTAGAGCTAACACTTTATAGGTTTTCAGTTGTTTGTGAGCAATGTGTATATGTGATAGACCTTGAGAAATATTGTGCTACTTGGTACAGGTTTTGAATTTACTTTTACAAGCCCTTTGTTGCCTCCCCTTAGGAAAGAAGCTAATTTTCTGTGCCAAAATGGAAGCTTCCAAGTGTGTATGTAGTGGTTAGAGAAAAGTTCCACCTATGTTCCCAAGCATCCTTTGGCAACTGGTTAAAACTCTGCACTCTGGCAGTGATACCCATGCTGATCAATAGTCACAGGAACAAGGTGGTAAAAGATTCTAATTTACAAAAATGCACTCTCCTACTCTTGCAGTGGAACACAATTGGATAAGTATTTTTTTTAAAAAAACACTTTGTCACTTCTCGCCATTTAAACCATTTGGTGTAGCCTTTGTGCTGATAACACAGAACATGGACCTGTCTGGAGAACAAACAATGAGAAGGATTCTTCAGGAACTTCAGGCTCAAAGCTCTAATTTGACAGCCCCTTGGCAGATAGTAGAAGCTTTAGTTGGCCTTCTCTCCACACACTGTGGGGATGACCTAAATGTAGAAGGATCATGCCACTAGTTTCACTTATCTACAGTCTCATGGAGCTGACAAAGAGCTTTTCCATTACACACACACCTCATTTTGGGGTATATTAATAATGAAGCTGCAGAACTTAACAAATTTGCAATGGCAGACTCCAAATTCTGCACAGACCCGTGTGTCTTGTGGCATCGGCACTCATGAAAAAGGTGGGAAGTCTGTCAAGGACTGAAGCCCTGAATAACCTTAGGCTCCATCTAGGTTAGAGGCATGGGAAGCACACACTAATCTGAAGGTGGACCCATGTAGGACCCAAGCCACTTACTTGAAAGTAGCTCCCTTTGTGGTCATTATAGTACTACCAGGTACTTGATTACATAATTGCAATGTACCGCAGAAGGCTCCCACTTGCCAGCTACGGACGCAGTTCATTGTGACAGGGTGTTTATGGAAGCGCTGAATGCTCAACAGTCACAAGTAGGTATAATCTGGTGTTTTTTTGGAAAGTAGTTGTCCCGTGATTGTAGTAACTTAATGTGCTTCCCATCTTGTAGCTACTGCTTGCTGTTTTACATCCTGTTACAGCCACTGTGGAAATCCAGCCATAGTGATTTGCTTCTCATTTGAATGTTGTTTTGGTACAGTTCCTTTATGGACACACAGAATGTGAAGGGTGCGTGGATGGGCTCGTGTACATGAGCTTTTTTAAAAAAGAGGAGGTTTTCTTAGATATCAAAGAGATTAAAACTCAGTCTAGATGTTTTGGTGTCTATGATGCCCTAAAATATGCTGTCGTAAATGCCAATCCTAGGCATGCTCACTTGACAAACCCATTCCAGATTTAGGGGGACCTTGCTCAGTCTGTCCATGGTCCCATTCCACTTTGACCCCCTGATAACAGCAGGACTGCAGAATCACCTTTGTGCATTAGGCAAGTGGGCTACTCAGCTCCCCAGCCCATTGTAACACCACTGCTGTGTAAGCCCAGGAGGGTAGAGAAACTGCCAGCTTCTCCTTCATGCATGGGGCTACATTACTGCTGCCCCATTATCACTGGGTAAGCCACAAGCATAGCACCAGAGCAGTGCCACAGCTGTAGCTCAGTGGTAGAGCAGTGGGTACGGCAATAGCTCAGTGGTGAACTTTGTATGCAGAGACCCCTGTCTGAAATCCTGGAGAGCTGCTACCAGTCATTGTAGACAGACTTCAGCTAGATGTCCCAGTGATCTGACTCCGTATAAGGCAGCTTCCTGTGTACAAAGAGGGAGGTCAAATAATAATGGGTACTGGAGTGAGCAAGTAAGGTGTCTGCCCAGTATGGTGGGTGTTGACTGCAGGCCTGTTACTCATAAGGTAAATCTCCCTGAACTTAATGGGATTTACTTCCTGGGAAATATGCATCCACGAAAATCTACAAGATTTATAGGAATTTATTATGAGGTTAGGAATGAGGCCTGGTATAAAGTGAATAATATGCTCTGAATGATGGTACATGCATCCTATTCTAGAAGTTTAGTATGGAGAATATCCAGACTATGTATTTATCCACTTGGGGTCTTTAAAAGGGGAACAATATATGTTACAGAAATTTTCCGATAGGACCTCAGAGCCAAAGGATATTGTAAAATTTTAACATAAGATGTTTGCATTGATCTCTGCCTTTTCAACATGATTGTACCTGGACAATATTCAATAATCTAATAGAGTATGAATTTGAATGGCTGAAATAAAATGAAATGCAACAGTATTTTATATTCAGTATGCTTATTGCATTTGTTTGTTTATTTCCATTTGTGAGTTGCTTCCTGTGAAACATATTGAAACAATTTAACAGTAAAACTTCAACAATAAAAACTTATGTAGAATCATATTTAAAATCAAAGCTATTTCATATATAAAAACAATTTCAAATCCTGTGCAAATACAAACTGTGATAAAAAACACCCTCCACCTGAAAGGCTTGTTAAAGGAGAAAGGTGTTCAATAAGATGCTAAAAGGCCAAAGAGGCAGCCTGTGTCTGATGGGTAACAGAAGTTAGTCCCAAAAAGTAAATGCTGGCACACTAAAGGCTAGATTTCTACATGGAATGAAATAACGCCCCTCCTGATGAGGTGCTTTCTGGAGGCTCTCTCCTGCAGAACACAGTGGTAGGTGAGGCAATATTTATTGTCGAAAATCAGAGACAGACATACTTCTATAACAAGTAGTCTGATCCTAACAGTGATTATTCAAAAGTAAGTTCTAGTGTTTTCAGTCAGGCTTCTTTCAGCATCCAAACTGATTGACAGTTTGCTCTCTTTCATGGTGCCCCAAAATTTATTGCCAGTGCAAAGCTACTAATGGTGGGGCCAACCCATCGCTTGTTACATCTAGGCTGCCTCATTCCTCAGCTCCTTGTCGCTTAAGAGCAGGGGTCAGCAAACTGTCCCTCAGACCTTGTCTGAGCCGGACTATATTTTGAAGGGAAAAAATGAACGAATTAATATGCCCCACAAATAACCCAGAGATGCATTCTAAATAAGAGGGCACATTCTACTCATGTAAAAACATGCTGATTCCCAGACCGTCCACGGGCCAGATTTAGAAGGCAATTGAGCCACATCCGGCCCCGGGGCTTAGTTTGCCTACCCATACTTAAGAGTTTCTTTCACTTACAAAGGTACTAAGGCTCCAACTCTGGACCTGGGAGTACTAAGTACCATTAAATTCAGCAAATGTGTCTAGGATTCCATTGTAAGCCACTTCCCCCCTCGCACAGGGGTAGCAGAGTGCCCACCAGAAAATGTTGGACTCAAACTCCCATCAGCCCCAGCCACTATAGCCAATGATCAAGGATGATGGGAACTGTAGTCCAACATTTTCTGGAGGGCACCACAGGTAACTAATTTGAAAGGGCTAAATTGTACTAAAAGACACCAGTCAGGCCAATTAGGCTGGTGCTAATGTTGCCACCTCCTTTGGGGACAATTCTTATAACTTTTGAATACAAGTGAGACACTCAGAGGATGCAGCACTCTCTCCATCTCACTCCCCTGCCTTATGTGGATCAACATTATAAGAGCCCTGCTGGCACTGCAGATTCTCATAGAGGCCAAGAGCAGGTCAAGATATAGGTTTGACCCAGCACAATGCATGTAACCTTTGTTTAAAAAGCTAAAAACGAAAATACCCACAAATTAACTGTGTGGTGGAGCAGGATTTCAGGTTTTAAACTCCCAGATCAAGTACCTGCTACCTCAGAGGGAGCGCAACCCCATCCAGAGACACACAAATTCACTTCCTGCCCACATCTGTGGTTAGCTGTGGTTCCTGCATTGCAGAGGGTTGGACTGGATGACACTTAAGGTTCCTTCCAACTCTACAACTCTATGGTCTTCCCCATTTGAGGATTATTAGGCCGATAATTCGGATTATTAAACAGAGAAAGGGACTCCTGCATAGCTTTTGCTCGTCCCATTTCACCACGTGGCCTTTGAGGTGAGGAAATAAATATGAAACTAAAAGGATCTGGAATCAGCAAGACGGATGTTTATCCTTATGTACTACAGAGAAGCGTCCTGTGAAAGGAAACTACGCCTCTTCGGATTGATTGGGCAGGAAGCAAAAAAAGAGGAATGGTTTCGCAAAGGCATTAATTTTGTTTTGCCTTAGGAGTCCATCTTTCTGCTTCTACCCATCCATGCACTCCTGACGAAATACGGGGCGGGCAGTTTGCTCCCTGGAAACACTCATTTTCTGTCTGACAGCGCAGATTTTTGTATATTTTATTTTTACTCAAGGCAAGGGAAAGCGCATTTAATCAAAACCGGCGACTAGCTCTTTTAAATCCTACCAGAACAACGTGGTTCCCCCCACCCCATCTCAAAACAAACTGCACCTTTCAGCCACTCCAAATATTATTTTTTCAATAGAGAAGCAAAAAGGGGGGAAATAAGGGGAGGGAGGGGAAGATTTTAAAAATATATAAAAAGGCTAATCGTCTCTAAAATGTCACCTGAGACACACACACAGGTTCTACCGAGATTTGAACTCGGATCGCTGGATTCAAAGTCCAGAGTGCTAACCATTACACCATAGAACCACACGGCAGCCCTGCTGGCTGAAAAGTTCTCTACTAGCACGTTCCCAAGGTTCTCTTAGGTTCACATTAATGCGTATAGATTTCCGCTTCATAATTATTATATATATTATTGTATGGGGGACGACGACTGTGAACCTGTCATCCGATAGCTCTTAAATGCCCTTTTGTAAGACCGACAAGCTTCCGATTAGCCAACACCACCTTTTCATACGTTGCACAACAAAAAACTATCTATCTATCTAAAATGGATAATCATACATTCTGAAATTATAGACGTTTTAAGCCCCTCACCCCCAGCAAAACGTTACCATTATGTAAAAGCATAAGCCTCAACATAAAGAGAAAATAATGGCGCATTCCCCTTTCTTCCTCGTTCCCCCTCCCCCCAAAAAAATGTTTTCCATATTTTTTATTTATTTAAGAAACCTTTGAATCTCTGCCACCCACCGCAGCAAAAAAAATATATCTAACAGATCCGCAGGTTCCACCGAGATTTGAACTCGGATCGCTGGATTCAGAGTCCAGAGTGCTAACCATTACACCATGGAACCAGTCGTCCCAAATTGGCGCTCGTTCAATACTTATTCACACTAGCCTACCAAGACCCTCTCTTAACCAACTGAGTCGTTTTGCTCTTTCGAAAAGATTTGAAGGATTAAGTCTGTCTTACTGTAAGGAGAGAGAGGGCGGGGGGACAAAGCTCCAGTACCAGAATAACTTGGATCGTTTTAAACCCGCGGCGGCGGCGAATAGTCTTGATTTATGCCCCGCACCCCCCCGAAAAAAACACGTTAGCAGATTAGCGTCCATTTATCTCTTTTCCACTTAATCCACCCCAGAAGTCAGCCTCCTCACGGTGTTTCCACGGGGCTTCCTGCCCAGATAAGGGGATACACAGAAGGTGTAGCCCCTTATCGTAATATATATATTATATTACGATATTTCCTTCGTATTTATATATATATATATATATATATATATAAAAAATACGAAGGTTGGGCGCTGGAGGGAGCGCTCGGCTGACAGATCCTTCGCGCTTACGAAGAAAGCCCAGCAGTTGGTCAGAAAAAGGCGCCGTTATTTGGATAAGGGGAGGCGGGGTGTAAAACAAGAGGAGCGCCTCGTTTCGCTAGGAGAGAGGAAAAACTTTGAAATTTACGTTTTGCCCGAAAGGGGCGACCTTTCAGGCAACCTTCTAAGCCCTGAGCTCCGTCAGGGAGCAGGAGCAGATGCCGCCGTCTTTGAAACAGGCTTATTAGAGCGGCGGCCATTTTGAGGCGAAGGAGACCTCGCGCTGAGGGAGGAGCCGGCGGAATCTTCCCGCCCAAACGGGACTGGCAGGCTTCAATTCCTAAATGGGCCACAGATTATAAAGGAAAAGACTATATAGAAAAGAGGGGGAACACATCTTGAGAGAGACGCTTTCTCTCCCTCCCCTTTGTTTGCTTCAGAAAAAAATGAGCAGCCTCCTTGCATGAGAAAGACTCTGACATTACATATTTAGTACTGCAAAAGCTCTTCGTGCACTGAGGCCTTCTTAATTATATGCCAGCCTCCATTAACGCCCATCAGGAGCGAAGGTGGTAGCCCATTGTTACTCTGAGAAGCACTGGACTCCAGCCTGTTTTCTGGGCTTGCTGGTCAGAAGGTTTGTGGTTCGAATCCCTGCTATGGGGTGAGCGCCTGTTGCTCTGTCGCAGCTCCTGCCAACCTAGCAGTTCGAAAGCACACAAGTGCAAGTAGATACTGTATTTTTTTCATGTATAAGACGCCCCCCCTTTTTTAACCCAAAATTAAGAAAATGCACTATGCACTATCTGTGTATAAGATGACCCCTTATTTTAAACTTCAAAAAATTTAGGGAAAAATATAGTCTTATGCACGGAAAAATACAGTAAATAGGTACTGCTGTGGTGGGAAGGTAAACGGCGTTTCTGTGCACTCTGGCTTCTGTCACGTTGCTCCAGAAGCTGTATCGTCATGCTGGCCACTTGACCCAGAAAGCTGTCTGTGGACAAATGCTGACTCCCTTGGCCTGCAAAGCGAGAGGAGCGCCGCAACACCATACTCACCTTTGACTGGATGTAACCGTCCAGGGGTCCTTTACCTTGTTTTTACCTTACTTACAAGGAAGACTACTCCATGTCGCAAAAGAGGGGAGTTTCAAAGAATTCCAGAAGACAAATTCCACCCTCCTTTGCAACTGGTGTCCCCAAAACAGGAAAACCGAACAGGGGAGGGGAGGGCAGGCTTCAGGGTCGCAGGACCTGAGTTGCATTTTCCTGGAACCCCCAAGAGCCACCATCTGGCTCTAGGTGCAAACACTTAAAACTAAAGAACAGGGTGTCCTCTGAGCAGGTGCTAAGTACAGGAATTTGCTTTGAGTATCCCTGAGGTCACAGTCCTTCCACACAGCAACCCTTCCTGTGATTTATTTCAACCATGTAATTTATAAGGGGAGGGGAATTGTGTTCCTCCCCACCCCCTGCCCCCGAATTTGCATGCTCCTGTTTCTGCATACACAGACACAAAATGAAGCTCTCTCGGGAAGGTTTATATGGGTGGGTGACCAAAGATATTTCCATTATGGTAAGGAGAAAGGCAAATAGCAACCGTGGATAGGGCACCAGTTGCCCCTTGCCTTCATCTTTGCTTCATGTGGGCCTCATGATTACATGGCATCAGAATACAAATCCATAGCAAAGGTACAGAAAAGATGGCCACTCTGATGAGAAGAAGCCTCTGTGCTGTGCAGGCCAAGTTCCTCCCCACAACTCTCGTATGAAGCCAAAAAGGCAACAGGTAGGATTCAAACCCACACATGCAGAGCACAACGGATTTCAGTTCCATCACATTCTCCTCTTGGCCACACCAAGAGCAGCTTTTCATGCTTCCCAAACAGTCCATGCTGGACAGGAGTTCCAGACATGTGGAGCAGCAGATGACTCGTAGTCCCTTCTCAGTAGTAAAAACACAAACAAGGGTGAAACTGGAACCCACTGTGAGGAGTCCAGTGTTCCAATCCCTTGCTTTCATTGCTCGTCTACATCATAACCACAGCCAGCCACGATATGAGGATCGAATTGAGCCCATTACCTGTGGTGGTATTTGTGTTTCCTAAAGGATTTTGGAGCACATAACAAAGCAGGACAGTGTGTGGTCTATCTGTATAGATCGATTTGTGAAACACTTTCCCAGAATGGGACAGATTTTAAGGAACAACATCCTGCTCTCTGACAGCCAGGAGCCCTAGAGGACTCTATTCCAGACCTGAGACACACCAGAGAGGTTCCAGGCACAAATAAGCTCTCTGAATAAGCTCTTTATCTATCAGCTGATGTTTCCCACTTAGCAGCAAAGCAGCAAAATAAGTTTTTTAAATATATGAAACACTTCACAAATTTGTGTGCCATCTAATATAAATATAAATATAAATATAAATAAGTCATACTGGCCACATGACCCAGAAGTTGTACGCCGGCTCCCTCGGCCAGTAAAGCAAGATGAGCGCCGCAACCCCAGAGTTATCCGCGACTGGACCTAATGGTCAGGGGTCCCTTTACCTTTAATATAAGAAACAAGGCTCCTTGGAAGAGTTTAAATAAGCAATTACCCAAATATTTTCCCCTTTCAGTGAGAAGGAATGGGAAATAGGAACTGTGGAAGGGGACTGCCCCAGTCTCACACCAGGCTCTCGACTGCATCTTTATTTCATCTGGGCCCTGCACTTGTAACTCCTTCCTCTGGTGGATGATGGAGAGGGGCATGCACAGCACAGAGGAGTACAGTGCAGGACCACGGACAACGCCTCCATGATGTGCCAGTCAAGTTCTCACCCGGGAATCTCTTATGTGAAACCAAAAGGTCGACAAGGATGGGATTCGAACCCATGCGTGCACAGCACAATGGATTTCGAGTCCATCGCCTTCACCTCTCGGCCACCTTGTCCACACTGGTGGCTTTTCACAACTCCCCAATAGGCCATGTTGGGCAGGGGCTTCCAGAAAGAAGGGGCAACAGACGATTAGTCCTTCCTCCTTGCCAGTAAAAACACGAGGTTGGGATTTGAACCAATTTGCTCAGAGCATAATGGATTTCTAGTCCTTGGCATTCACCTCACAGCCACCTCTGCCTGCCCAATGGCAGGACCTCTTTGCAGCAGTGAAGGGGTTCAGGAGCTGTCCCTTAGGAATCTGTTATATAAGACCAAAAGTCCGAAGAGGGAGGGATTCGAACAATGGATTTCTAGTCCATCACCTTTACCTCTCGGCCATCTCATCCACACCAGCAGCTTTTCTTGAGTTTCAGATAGGACGTTTTTGGCTAGGACTTGCAGAAATGGGGAGCAGCAGATGATGGAGTGGTGCACAATTTTCTCTGTACTTGTGCAGGGACCATGCTCATTTTCTGTGTGTTCTTTCAGTTTTAGTGTCACTGAAGTCCACCCAAGAACAAGCCTTCTTGGGTAGGGCAATCACCAAAAGAAATTTCACCTTTTTATGAGGAAAGGGAACAACAACCACAGACAACCTACACCCTGACCTCTCCCAAATCTCTCCCTCCCCTTTCCCACACATAACCAACAAAAATCTACTATGTGATGCCAAAAGACCGACAAGGGTGGGATTCGAACCCACACGTGCACAGCACAATGAATTTCAAGTCCATCGCCTTCACCTTTCGGCCACCTCGTCCATGCTTTTCATGACTTCCAAACACGCCATGCTGGACCAGGAGTCTCAGACATGCGGACTATCAGCCCTCCCTCGTCAGCAGCAAAACACCATGAGGGTAGAATTTGAACCTATGCAATCAGAGAGAGCGCAAAGGATTTTTAGTTGATTGCCTTCACCACTTGGCCACCTTAGACAACAGGTGACCATACTAGCAAGTCCTCTTACTCCTTTCTGGTCTTTCCGGGATGCTCTGCAGTTTGTACATTTCATAAACAATGTTGGAACATTTGCTTCCTCTGTCACAAGACAGAAGGGGGTGGAGAATCTTGGGGAAGTTTTTTTTTAAAAAAAAATTCAAATTGAGGAATATTCTAAAGATACGTTGACCTACTCTCCTCTGGCAGTGAGGAGCCCCAGGGGACTCAATTCCAATACAGCAGACCAACACTTCATGACAGCAGCCATGAAAAAGGGCTTACAAGCTCCTATTTGCTCAGCAGGTTTGCCCAGCCCTGCAGTGAGATTTCAAAGAATGGTTATACATGCACATGCGCATACATATATATGGTACGTTTCATGGATTTCCTTGTGCAAGGCCATGTTAATCTCTGTATCATTCCAACTCCCGTATATTACCAAAGTGAGCACAAAAACCGGCTCTCTAGGAAGGGCATAAATGAGAGGTTACTCAAGGGTTTTTCATCTAAAAAAAAAAAAAGAAAGTAGAAAGCAACTATGGATAGGGCCCATCTCTAGGCTCCTATTAGACCCCTTCTTCCATTGCCTTTGTTTCATTTGGACCACATGCCAGTAATTCCTTCGATAGTATAACATTGGAATACAAGTTACAGCAAAGGATGATGGGGGAGAGGTGCACTGCACAGAGCAAAAGTGGAGGTGTCAGTGCTCCGATGGCTAAGTCCCCCTCCCCTTCTATTCTATAGAGCCAAAAGACCGATGAGGGTGGGATTCGAACCCACGCGTGCAGAGCACAATGGATTTCAAGTCCATCGCCTTCACCTCTCGGCCACCTCATCGTGCGTTGTAATGAGACTTCAAAGAAATACGGATATTCTTTGTCGTCCTTGCACAGGAACCACCCTAATATTGTATGCCCTGTACACCACAATAATCAGGGAGAGCACTGTTAGTGGTTTCCCTTGGGCCAGAAGCACAACTAATGTCAACAGGGAGTTGTGCCTTCAGTGTTGTGGGCCCAGGGGAGGAACAGACTTAGGGAACTGGGGAATTTCAGTCCCCATAACTGCCTCACTGCCTCTTGCCCCCCCTCCTCTCCAGCCTCTGATTCTGGACTGCTCTCTGCCACAGACTCTTCCTGCTCACTAAACCTTGTTACCTCTTCAGCTTCCGACATCTCCTCCTCTCATTCTGCTCCCTCTGACCATTCATTATCATCTCACCACCAATCCCCAGGCTCTGAGCCTCTTCTTCCCCTGGGGATTCTCCAGCTGGTGCCTCCCAGCACTCTTCTGTGTCCAGCCAGTCCACGGCCCCTTGTTTCTTCTAAGAAAGAGTTAACATCACTTATTCTATGTGATTTATTGTTGACCAGCTCCTGTCATGGGGTGGTGGATTTGCATGGCACAAAATTGTAGTGCATGAGGCTGGGGACTAGGCCTTCCTAATGGGCCAGCCATGTTCTTCCCCAGGACTCTGCTGTGTGAGGCCAAAAGGCCGATAAGGATGGGATTTGAACCCACACATACGGAACACAATGTATTTCTAGTCCATAGCCATCACCACTTGGCCACCTCACCTGTAATAGTGGCAGGGCTTGTCACTCTTATAGGGCTTTCATATTCCAGTCAGCACCTGCTTGTTCATTACCTGAAGGATGATAGAGTGGTTGTGTTCTGCATCACAATACTTGTGATAGGATAGGCCAAGTTGTGGAACATTTTCTCCCCCCAAAGTTTATGGAATTTCTAAAGGGTCACCTTTCCCTAGCAGCATGGAGCCCCAGGAGATACAAACTCCAGACCCCATGAGCACCTAATAGGCAGCTTAGACAGAAACCATGAAGCAGCTTTCTCAGCTCCCTTTCACCCAACAGCTTTGTCTCATGTGGCAAAACAGCTTCATGGAAAGATAAAATGTGTGGAAATGGATGCCGAAATGGCCCCTGCTGAAGGATGATACTTCACAAAGTTCAATATCATGCTTCGGCAGGGGCCATGCTGATCTTCTCTATTCCATTCCATTTTCATCCTTTTTGTCACTGAACTCCACACAACAACCAGCCCTCTTGGGAGAGTTTAAATGGGAAGCTACCCAAGGACATTTCACCTCACAATGAGGAGGAAAATGGGCAGCAACTATAGCCAAGACCCATTTCCCCAGGTTTCTTCCAGGCCCCTGCTGTCTTCATCTATTTCATCTGGACCCCATGCCAGTAATTCCCCACCCCCACCCCGATAGATAGCAAGTTGAAACAAAGGATGATGGATGGAATTTGCATGGCGCAGAACTGTAGTGCAGAGCATGGGGTAGGATCTGACTCCTCTGTACTGCACCAGCTATGTTCTCCAGGAATCTGCTATGGGAGGCCAAAAGGCCGACGAGGGTGGGATTTGAACCCACGCGTGCAGAGCACAATGGATTTCTAGTCCATCGCCTTCACCACTCGGCCACCTCGTCTGCTGAAGCCATAGGGCCTCTTACTGCTCCACGGCCTTACTTATCCACTCTGAGGTTTCTTGTTCATTTCCTAAAGGATGTCAGAGTGCTAGGTCACAAAAAAGGAGGAAGGATTCAAATGACATATTGGAAAGGTCCAAACAAGTGGTTACCCAAACATATTTCACCCTGCAGTTAGGAGGAAAGCAGTAACAGCGATTGAGCGATGGACCCACACTGGGCAGCAACCCCCTCTTTCTTTGTCTTTGTTTCATCTGGGTCTCATGCTGGCAACTTCTCCCTCTGATTGTGTAGCACTGGAATGCAAATCTCATGAAAGGATGGTTCCATTTTGGAATTTAATCCTAATATTTTGTCACTGCTATAGCTTTGTTGTTTTTTAAAGTAATCATTATTTCCAACCTTTAGCGAAAGGTAGACAAGAAATCAGTGAACAAAGTTGAAACAAGGACTTTATTTATATCACTTCTGGGTAGGGTTGCTTGATCTGAAACCTAGAAATCTGGGAAATGCAAATACACATCCTTTTCAAATATTCCTAATTGTATTGGTCATATGTTTTTCCTGTTGTGTACACCTACGAAGGTGTTTTGAGGAAGTGGATTCTCTTTTTGAAGGGAGCACATGTGCTATAAATTTAAGCTGGTGGGCCAAGAAGAAATAAAGGAAGAGGCAGTGGAGTCAGGGAAGGCCTTGTAGGGCTTGTCTCCCATCCCTACACTGGAACAGGGAGGAGGAGACAAGCACACCTCCATTATGTGCACTGTTTGGGCCCCAGCAGCTGAAAGTTCTACAGCAAATGCAAGCCTAACAGCAGCCATTTTTCAGTTCGGCCCCCTCCCCTCGTTCACATGCACACACTATGTTTTCAGAATGGATGCATTCACCTCAGTTTCTTGCAAGCAGTACGTGAGGCATGCCTATTGCTCAAACAATCTAAAAACCTCCACACACTCCGGCTACAACCAATACAAATGCAATGATATTATCCCCCTGTGCAGGCATTGCTCTTGCAACTATACAGATAGTGTTTGCTCTGCTGGCATTGCAAACATGCTTTCCTGCAGTGCAGGCAGGGCTTGGGCCAGGATGTAGCACAGTGTGTACTGCAGGTGATATTATATATACAGACCTAAGCCCAAAATCAGTGCAAGTGCAACCATGCTTGTAACTGACCGCCTCTCGTTTTTCCTTCCAACATTGTCCTCTAATAATTACCCCAGCTCTGCTACAGCTGAACATTATGAAAAGTCTCATCTTCTTAAATGCATCACCGGCTAACACAAAAGAATGAGCTAACATGTTTTTGACCTTGCTATTCTCATTTTTAAATATTTACTATCCATTTAAGTTATTATTACATTAGTATCCCACCTTTCCTCCAAGGAGCTCAAGGTTGTGTAAATGGTTCTCCCCCTGCCCATTTTATCCTTACAAATCAGGTAAAGGTAAAGGGACCCCTGACCATTAGGTCCAGTCGTGACGGACTCTGGGGTTGCGGCGCTCATCTTGCTTTATTGGCCGAGGGAGCCGGCGTACAGCTTCCGGGTCATGTGGCCAGCATGACAAAGCCACTTCTGGTGAACCAGAGCAGTGCACGGAAACGCCGTTTACCTTCCCGCCAGAGCGGTACCTATTTATCTACTTGCACTTTGAAGTGCTTTTGAACTGCTAGGTTGGCAGGAGCAGGGACCGAGCAACAGAAGCTCACCCCGTCGTGGGGATTCGAACCGCCGACCTTCTGATCAGCAAGCCCTAGGCTCTGTGGTTTAACCCACATCGCCACCCGCGTCCCTACAAATTAGGTAGTTTCTCATTAAATTGCAAACAAAATTGAATTCTCCCTCATCCCTATTTGGGGCTTCAAAAATCATCCGGTTGCCCTAAAACCTGGAGATGTACAGATTTCTCGATTTCGAAACACAGAATGCTTCCCTGTTAACCCAGTGTTTCCATGATTCTTTACAGTTACAAGTTATCAGAATCAACCCTACTTGAAGCTATTGAAATAATCTTGGGGTTTTGAAGTTGGAAGAGGGATAATTCTTGTGCAAATATTGGCAAGGCACTTCACTTTTGCTTCCCGAGGATTTCCTCTTCACTAAATCAAGTTTGCTTCCTACCAGCTCAACACTTTGTTAACAAACACATAAACTAACCCCAACTATTTCTCCAGTTATCCCTGGTGCCTGAACCTCCTCATTTTCTCTGTTTGTGTCTATTTAGGTCTCCCTACTTCCACGACTCCTCTCTGACTACAAGAGCCAACATGCAGAGCATAGCCTCTTCCTCCATTTTATTAACTTTCTTGTGTAACTGCAATTCCCAGGTGTTTCCGGTGTTTCCGAAGGCTCACAGAGCACCCTGGGGATTGTAGTTCCAGAGCCCGGGAGTGCACCTTTAATAGTAGTTGAAAAGACTACCATTCCCAACTCCACTGCCTCCAAATCCTCAAACCAGAAACATTTCATTGTTTCATTTTTGAGTTGTATGATCTTCTGCTAACATCCCTGCTTTTAGCTTCCCAATGGATCAGCCCATATAATAGAGAGCTTCTGGCAACCCTACGGCCAACTTAGATGAGCAGGATACAAATCATTTTTCATCTTCTATTTTCTGTTTGTCTTTCACTCCAGCGGCCACAACAGCAAAAAACAACTCTGGGAAGAACGTGCGAATGTAAACAGCTGCCTTTGCAATGGGATTTGCCATGAACACTTCTTGCTTCTTCCTGCTCACTGTCCGGAGAATTTCATCCGCTACCTCCACAGGGTGGACACCATTGGCCAGTTTTCTGAAAAAGACTGAAAGAGGGAAACAATGTTTCTCTGCAAGTGGCAAGATGAGACACACTGACCCTGCTCTGAAATTATTTACCTATTATTTCAGATCAGGGCCAGCACATCCCGTAAGCATCTGGTAGGTGGGCTCAGAAATGATTTCCTAGATGCAGACCACAAACCATCTCATACCACTGTCACATCAGAGTTAGAGGATACAGAATGCTTAAACCAGTTCAAGACTCCTACTGGAATAATACTCCTCCTCAATCTCTTGCTGTTCCTAGAAAGCGAGCGTTTAAAAAATGTTGACAGCAAGAAGATGCATGCCTCAGTCCCCTTTGTTGAAATGTTGATATATATGTATTCCCCTAAATTTGTCTAAACTCCCTCCATGCCCCATTTCACCCACTACTAGTATGCAATTCATATTGCGTCTCATTTCAGGTTCCCACCACACTGGCCTGCTCCACTCTTCTCTTCTTCCACCTTTTATTCCGGCTCCCCCATCCCCACCCCAGCTTTGGTTAATCTTACATTTCCACACAGAGGCTTCCCAGTTGCTAGCCTGTGGTTGAACATGGGATGCACGTATGAAACTTGGAGTCACGGTACTGACGCAAACACCAAATTCCTGCAGTTCTGCCCTCAGACAATCAAAGAAGCCCAGAGCAGCATGCTTGGAAGCAGCATCTAGGAGGAAAAAAAGAGATGACCTCATATACTAAAAAAATAAACTCTTCTCCCCACAGTATATTATCCTCTCAGTTATAATATACAGAAATTTGGGTTCCTAGAAACCCAATTCCTGATCATTTTAGCACCAAACAATAGCACAGATCCAGTTTCACAGTGAGCCTTTTATTTTAAATGTTGGCTTTTCAACTCTTCCAGAAACCCAAAGAAGAAGCAAATTGTGTTGACTGAAAGGACAGGTTTTGCTGAAATACTCAGAGTTGTCATTGGGCTTATGGGTGGGATCCCCACGTCAGTTTCTTACTTCTGAAAAATATGGAGAAATGGAATGGCACCTGACAGATTTGACACCTGCTTTTTCTCAATGGGTTAAAAACTCTTGGGGTTAGTGGTCAGCTGGAAGCCCGATAGTAACATATTTAACAGTCCATGCAATAAGAATTGAAATCCCTGTTCATCAGTTAATTGAACTGATGTGTGGTCAGTGAGCAATTTGCACAGTGCTGGGCTGAGTGGAGAGCTTGAAACTTCTCTTAAAATTGCCCCTTTCTGTTCATCAGATCAATTATCTGATGAGCAGAGAGTGGGTAATTTGATTCTTCATCATGGTACTGGGCTGGACAGAGAGCTTGAAATATCTCTGTCTAGATGAGGATTAAAACTGTTCAGTCTCTGATGGTGTTCTGAACTTATTCCTCCCCCACAAACAGTGCTGCTGCCGCCACCAGAAAACTAGGTTGGGAACTGATGGGCCACTTGGAAGGGCTCAGCTTGCTGCATTCAGCACCGTTGCAACAAATGGTTATTTTCTCAATCTGTAAACTTACAGGCTCCACGAAAAGGCACTCCTACTTTCCCCTGGATGTTATTGACTAGCACAACTTGCCCAGTTCTTCTGGAGATCATGTTGGGAATAAGGGCTGCAAGGGTGAAAAGATGGCAGAAAATGAATGATTTTAGAGACATGCAGTTGCCGGGGCAGTGATCCTTATCTAAACACATCTCCAACATTTCTTTTCCTTGCCTGTGTAATAGTTAAGGCTATATGAATCAGTGAAAAATAAGTTCAAAGAACGGTATCCCAACACCATGAACAGTTCCTACTATTGGCAGCCAATATTGAAAGAGAAAATTCCTATTCCCAATCTCCTAAAAAAATAAACTCTTAAACTGCACAACTAAGGCGTAGCCACCTAGTTCCCATGCCCTACTGTGCGGGTAGCCAACATGGTGCCTGCCCAGTATTGTTGGACTCCAGATCCCATTAGCATTGGCTGAGTACAATGGGAACTGTAGTCAACATCATCATTCCACAAGTGAGCCCATATATGAAGAACTAGTAGTCACCAACATCAAACTCAGATGTCATTGTGCTCTGCATCAGTTTCTGCTAGTTGAAGGTTGCCATGCAACCTTATTCATCTATTGGGATGATCATGTTAGCTGCAATTGTGTCTATACAGTGGGTAGCGGACTGTTGTAACTGTTAAGACAGCTTAGTATGAATGGGTACAGGAAATATTAAGCATTTCAGCGGGAGATAAATACATGTGCATGAATGGGATAATATGTGCTTACATTTGGTCAGATCATGTCCAAGAGTACTAGTGGGAGTCATTAGACATTAAGGTTATATTGCACTACAGATATCATTAGCTTCCCCCAGGGAATCTTGGAAATGGTAGTGTTGCAAAGAGGCTACAGCTCTTGAACAGATAATATTCCACAGTATCACCAAGTTCCTAGATTCTTTGAAGGCAGCACAAAACTGATGCAAGTTTGTAATGTGGAGATGCCATGAGTGTGATCAGCCTCTCCAAGAAGAGAAATGCTTCCAAAGTGTGCCCCACCTGCCCCACCTCTAAAGGGAGATACAAAGGTCGTAAGGGGGCACAGTTCCAAATACCTTTGGTGAGCGTTATAGGCCCAAAATAGTTGGCATCCATAACCTTTTTGTCAATTTCCAGTGATATGTTCTGCACTGTTCCCTTCACCTTTGTGCTAGCATTGTTGATAAGTATATCCACACATCCATAGCAATCCAGGATTTCTTTAGCTACATCTTGGATGCAGTTTACATCAGACAGATCGAGTAGGACAAGCTTTGGTGTAAATGTCTGAAAAGAAGCAAAGGATTGTTACTTCCCTTTCTTGAAGGGCATTTTTAAAATACAGAAATATGGGACAACTTCCATAACTTCTATAAACTTCACAGATCGTTTAGGGAAACAGATAGCAGCATCCAGTTGGATATCCTTATACACAACAGAAGAACTATGAATATAATTAGTAGCAATTTATTCAAAGTGAAGCTTTATCCAGTTCAGAGGTTGTTGGTATTGCTACAGACTGATTGTCCAGTAGCCACTTTGTATATCCACCTGAGCTGATACCCAGAGATGATTGGGATTGCTTGTATGGTCAAAATGGGCCCATTTCAGAAGACAGTGGGGGAGAACATATGTACACTGTTGTCATAGAAAACTTGTTTTCAGTTGCAATTTGATAGTCATACCAAACATTGCTTAACCCTCTGCTCCATAATGTATAGTACATCAACATGCTTCAACCACCAAGCATTCAACTGAAGCTAACCGTTTTCTAGTCACACCTTTGATCTCATGCATGCTTTCTGCTTATGGCACACTGTATGTCCTGGAAGGTAATAAGCTCTATTTAAATCTATTTGTTTACATATGGGTTTTATTTGGGGGACGGGGTAGGCTCGCTGCTACCTTCAGTGTGGTGGGTTTGCCTTGTTGACCTTAATACCTCTTCTTCTCATCTACAAGTCTTCAATAATTAGATTCTTAATGGGAATTACATGTGCCATCTCAAAGTGAGCTAGATCCCTCAACTTCCTGTTAGGTGTAGGCAGAGAACTTCCTGCTAGGTGTAGCCAATTTTGCTGCACAATTGCTTTTACAGAAGCTAATCCACCGCCTGAGATCATTGCTTCACCCTGGCCCTGCATAGTAGACAGCAAAGCCTAATTCAAAAGTAGTGAGAAAAAGGTACAAGCTTATATCTTCTGTTTCTCTTGTTTCATAGGGAAAAATACTGCTGTCGTTACACAGTCCCTTACAGGATACTTACTGCTCTAGGATCAGCCACACTGTTTAAAGCATCATAGAGAGCTTCTAACTTGTCCAGGTGTTTACCACACAGAACTAGCCTTGCTCCACCTGTGTGAAATACTCGTGAGCATTCTGAAAGATAAACCAGTGAATAATGCAGGTTAGATGATGACAATGATGATGATGATGATAATTTTATTATTTATACCCTGGCCACCTGGCTGGGTTTCCCCAGCCACTCTGGGTGGCTTAATGCAGGCATAGGCAAACTCAGCCCTCCAGATGTTTTGGGACTACAACTTCCATCATTCCTGACCACTGGTCCTATTAGCTAGGGATGATGGGAGTTGTAGTCCCAAAACATCTGTCGGGCCAAGTTTGCCTATGCCTGGCTTAAAGCATATATAAAGCATGTACCTGTATTCTTGTTAGTTTGAAATAAACAAGGGGGAGATGTTCTCTTAACACTGCAGCACATACATACACAAGGCATTGGTTATATTTTAAATAGTGGGTCTTCAGAGAGTTGAGAAATTGCACCATGTATATTGTCTGAAACCCATAAACTGTGCAAACAAATAAATGCACCCAAGTTTTCTTATAGAAACGAACTGGTCAGCCAGTGCAGTCTCACCAGTTGTGAAGTTGTTCTGAAGATGTAAGAACATCATGATGTTTCAGTTAGCAAACCCTCCACCTCCCACTGCAGTGGAAGCTGTTAATGTCAGACAGAAATGGGCATGCTGGGTGCATGCTATGGAACAAACTGTCAGGTGAGAGAACTCACCTATGCACCGTCTTAAACAGGGATCGAGAAGCTGTGGCCTTCCAGATAGAGCTGAGCCTCCCCCGCTAACATGGCTAATGGTCAGAGATGATGGGAGTTAAGAGTCCAGACTCCAGCAACATCTTTGTGAACTTCCCCAAGTGCATCTGCCAAATGGTGCATATGAGCCCCTGATGATTTCTCAACTGACATATCCTGTTTCCACAGCCTGGCAGGCAGCAGAGCAACAAGCTGATCAGAGAACCCCATGCAGCTGAAATGGATCACTTTCCAGCCCTCTGATACCTTCTTTTGCTATGAGCCCATCCGTTAATTGGACGGCTGCTGTGATGGCTGCCTGCTCAAGGCTCGAGCGCCCCAAAGCCTGTAAGCAATTTCACTTCAAGAGAGCCTTCTGCATGCCTTCTTACTGGTCTCAAACCTTAAAGCTCAGCACTGGTGCATAACTTATGGATTATAGAAATAATCTATTTATACCGCCCTGCTGCCACCTGATAGTTACTGTATGTGCAATTAGATCTCACTGCAACAGCACAGCCACCCGGCTATAAATAGACCCATTTATTTCATCTAAGACTTAGTGTTTGTAGGAAAGCAGCTTTTCAACTAATTCTGGATCCACCTGACTGTCATTCTTCCTAGCCCACATTTCTCTAGCATTATGATGAGAATGCTATGTGGACATTGATTCTCTAAATAAATACAGTGCAGCTGCTTTTATTGCTAATTCATTTTGGTGTATATAAAGCCATCAACTGGGATTCCAGAAGTCGGCACCAAAAGCAAACCTAAGTTTTGCAAGGAAGAAAGACCCAGTTTCTGTTGCAGAACCAATTAGGCAAAAGGGGTGGTGGTGGTTAATTTACCTATCAATACCTATAATTTGTTTATGCACTTTTTTGCCCTGCTCCACACCACAAGGGTTAGTAGAATGCAAACAATAACAATATTAGCTATCTTACTTAGCTTTACTAAATTGGTTCAATTGGAACATATTGATTTCTGAAGAATTTTGAATTTGTTTCAGGTCAGGGTACAGTTGAGGGGAAAGAATGCAAAAGCCACAGGGTACTCCATTACTAAGACAACAGAAAATTTATCAGGCAGTTTAGGAAAGAATGGGAAAGAATGTGGACACAGGTGGATCATAGAATAATAGACTCGTAGAATTGTAGAGTTGGAAGGTACCCTAAGAGTCATCTAGTCCAACAATGCAGGAATCTCAGCTAAAGCATCCATGATGGGAATGAACTGGGCCATTTGAAGGATTCCCTCCATTAATATCACCACTGAGAGGTTCCGTTCTGTTCAAATACACATAGATTTTATGTCTCTTGCAGTGCTGAAGCCCTGACTCTTGTCCAATTGGTTTCTGAGCCAATTGCTCGCCATATTTTCAAGTTTTCATGGACAACCACAAGGTCTAGAAATTATGTTTCTTTTTAATGGCAGCTGGATTCTTTAAGATTCTGAATGTTCCTCAAGGTGCACGTGCCAGAGAACTGGATGGCACAATGGAATCACAGCAACCCAGATTTCTATTAGAGAGAGAGAGTGTGTGTGTGTCACACAACAGGCTATTAGTCATTTGCTGCACCTGCTTACCCTTGCCCACACCAGAGAGAGCATCAGTGATCACTACAACTTTGCTCCGCACGGCAGATTTTGACATCAGATGAGTAACTGTCCGATAAATATATACAATCCCGCTGATTCCAACCACCAGCAGTGGGAGAATTAGCACAGCTAGGACACCCATCTTTACCTGGCAGAAAGGAGAACAAATTTAGGCAGCAGAGGAGATTGTCAATATCTTTTACAGTAAACATGACCAAAAGTCCCCCTCCATTAACAAAATGCAATCAAGCAGAACCTGTAGCGTGTAAGGTGTTCCCAGCCATTATTTGAATTATATTATTATTTATTCAGCATCTATCAATGCACAGAGAGATTTATCAAAGTATACACAAAGCAATTTTCTGCTTTTAAATAATGCCACACAAAGCAATTTTGAATTGCAAAATCAAACATAATATGACAAAACCAATTAAGAATTGTTAGGGGGGTTCATTTCTTTACTGACTGTTAGATATTATGGACAGATTTGTGGGCAGTGTTGTTCCACACCAATGTTTGCAACAGTCAATTCTATTTCCCTGATGCAAGAAGAAAGGGGGGGGGGAATGAATTGTGACATATTTCTTATTGAAAGGAAAGAGACTAAAGCAAAGCTTCTGAAGAAATAGTGCCGATTTAACATCCAACAGAAGTTCTGTAATAAAGACAATAACTTACTTGGAATTGCAAGCCGTCAACAAGTTGATAAGGTGGTATCTCCCGCCAGCTGGTTTATACTTGAAGTTTAATTAAACTCATAGGCATTTTTGGAAAGGAAAAAGCACTCCATCCGCCGAAGCCTTTTGCCTTGAGCAAAGGCAGCTATGTATAGAGCTCAGCTGCATGACAGAGTTTTAAAAAGTAAATATAGTATCCATGGCCCCAGCCACATACCTGACCTATTTAGTTTCACAGGGCTTCAAAGTCCTTCTACAGCCTGCAAGAGTGGACAAACTCAGTGATAAAGAGACATTGCTCATTTCTTTATTTTTATGGGGAAATGTAGGTAACAGCTCACTTTGCTCCAAAAAGGCTCTAGATCTTACAAAACTGAAATAATCTGTTTCTTTTTTTCAGTGTGCAACGACTCTTGCAATCACTAAGAGAGCAACCCTTGCAGCTCTGTTCAGAAGTCTCAATAAATTGAACATGATTCTCAGATAAGTGTGGATACAGGATTGCAGCCTTAGAGATGGAAATCCAGTCTAAATGGTTAATAGCATTTCTATATGTAATAAGATTGTTTATTTTAAAAATACTGGTATGGTTTCAGTTACAATTTACCAGCTACTGTGCATGTGCTTTATTCTTATATGCAGGGCTTTTTTCTAGAATTTTTGGTGTGTGTGTGTGCTTTGAATGCACTTTAAAGTATGGTTACCAGATGTCCCCATTTCCCAGGGACAGTCCCCAGATTTCCACATCTGTCCCCGGACAAAATCCATCCCTGGAATGTCCCTGGATTTCATTTAATGTCCCCGGATTTATATTTTAAGTGTTGTAGATTTATTAGTAGGGAATGAATGTTGCATGATTGGTTCAACGGCACAAGACACATCATATGGGGACTTCCGGCAAGGCAAAAAGGCGGGCGCCATGGCAGCGAGCAGCTCTTGAAGCCAGACAGAGCCAAGTGCACTACCAGGCTGGCTCTGGGCTGCTGAGACTGCCACTGCCACTGCCGAGGGGGAACCAGGGATGCCCGGCATGTCAAATGGGGGAATTGCTGACCCCCCCAACCCAAATCGAGCCAGGAGCGAGAGCACCTGGCAACCCGGCCGACTACCCAGCGGTGTTCCGGGGCCAGGAAAACCCTGGAACTGATGCAGGGATAAGGAGGAGAGGAGAAGGAGAAGGAAGAGAGAGAAAAAGGAAGGAGAAAAAAGAGGGGAGCCCCGACCTTGCCGCACTGCCGCTGAGGAGGAGAGATAGGAGAGCACTGGGAGAGCAAGGACACGTGGCCGAGCCTAGGCCTGACCTGAACCCACTCCATGGCGGCTAGTGCTCCAAGAGAGCAGGCCGGGGCCCAGAGGAAGGCCGCACGACAGAGGAGGCCACAGAAGAGAAGATATTACTTCTTACCTCTCTCTCTCTATATATATACACACATATATATATAACCTTTTTTAAATAACCTTTCTCTCTCTCTCTCTCTCTCTCTCTCTCTCTCTCTCTCTCTTTTTAAAAAGTGTCCCCGGATTCTTTGAAAAAAAATCTGGTAACCTTACTTTAAAGGTCTGGTGTGCGTGCACCCTTAGAAGAATCTTTAAAATCAATGACACTTGAGCATCTGCCTTTTGTATTGATAAGGATGAGCCAGATAAAGGGTGGGGGAGAGAGAGATTACTTGTCATTTCTGTTACTTCCATGCTTTGCTTCCAGGGACTGCGTAACACATTATATGTGAGACTGTCATTGAAGATCATTCAAAACCTTCAACTAATTCAGCAGCCAGGTTGCTAAAAGGGAACCATCACAACAAATGCACATCACCAGTCCTGAAACATCTTTCAGAGTAGTTACCTATGGTTGATGCCTGGAGGGAAGATCACCCAGAAAACCCATATGCACTGCCCAGAGTTCCATTACGGAAGAAAGACAGGATAGAAATTTACTACAATAAATTCTAAGAACTTCTTAGAACCTGCCCAAGGAACCTCACCTTCAGAGACTAGGATGGTAACAACTGAGGAAAGGGCTTTTTTCTGGGGTGGACACCATCCTTGTAACACCCTCCCCAGATATGCCTCTTTGGCACCTGCACTATTATCATCTAGGTTCCAGGTGAAAACTATTTTTATGTGCATTAGTGACAGCATGGTGCTGCGGCTTGTCTTGCTGTTTTGAGTGGCAGGGTTGGCAACTGATTATATGTGTTGGGCTCATTAAACTTTTCCCCATTTGTTGGTTACTTAATTGATTTGCTTTAAATTGCTTATTTCCGTGGTCGCAAGTGGTCTGCAAGCAAACAGTCCCACCATTTGTGTGCATCAACATGAAAGGAGGTTAAGACAAAACAGTGGAGTGGAACCCTTCTCCAGAAGTCATGCGGAATGATTTCATCAGGGAAACTGTCAGACGCCAGCAGCAGTCTCTCTTTCCCACTATATACATCTCCAGGAAATGGGAATAGCCCACAACAGTTCTGCACATGTTTCCATAAGCACCTGCACCACAGTCCCAAAGTCTATATACACCAATCAGACTTTCCTGTTAAAAAACAGGAAAGTTCAAAACAGAAAGTTCAAAACAGATGCAAATCCCTCTTTAGCTTTTATTGCCTCCAGCAGGACAAAAATCAGAAGTTGTTTGTGTCTATGGCTCCCAAGAGATGTGTCAGCCCTTCCATTCACTGGGCTTTGGGACCTCCTGCCTAGCACCTTAGCTTTTAACAGGCTCCGCCTGACATTGGGAGACTCCCTGCTCCATAGAAGCCTTTGCCACTCCATTCGCTTTTAACGCACGGCAGATTAAACTTCTTTGACAGGTAAATCATTTGGTTTCAGCAAGGCAGTGCACCCAGAAGGTGACAAAACGGCAGGTAAACAACAGTTATTTTTGTTTATGGAGGACACACTTTGCTCTGTTAATGTTCCACCTTTCATTCTGTATATACCGGGTATGCTGGTAATATTCGAAAAATAAGGGATGCCAGGGAGTTGTGAGGGCTGTTCACATGTTATGCTGCACACAGGTACAAGGGGTTTGTGTACATGTACAGATGTTTGTGTGAACGATTATACACATGGTGAATTTAAAAGTAAATGCATGGATTAAACTCCTGAGAAATGCAGAGCACAGACTGGGTGTACAGTTGCCCATATGTTGAGTTTACCAATTATCAATCGTGTGCAGTGCTCCATTGCATCTACTAAATGGAAGGGAGATACTTGGGGGGGGGGAATGGAACCCTATTATTGAAATAGAAAGGATTATCATTTTCTGGCCTAAGCAGCACACATACTGCCACAGACAAAGCTTATCAGCGGAGTGGGGGAGGGGATTAATTCAGACCAATCTATAAAGACCAATCTATCAAACTCTCATTTTCCAAAGCAACAAGAGAACCAAAAGACAGACTTCCTTCAAAGTTCACCCTTATCTGGATTATGCAATGCAGTTTTCCAAGCAAGCAAGAATGCATATATTACGGGAAAGTGTGCATAGAATGCATATATTAGTGAAAATGCTTGCAAAAAATGGGTACATTAGTAAAAACTGCATACAAAAAGGTTCTAATTAGGAAAAATTAGCAAAAAAGATTCTGAAGAATTTTCATGAGGATTACAAATGAATAAATCCAAAAATTGATGCAGAAATGTGCAGCACAACAAAATGAAAAACGAAGAACTAAAATGGTCAGATCCTTCTGTCCCTGCTAGTCAGACTGGACTGAACTGGACTGCCTGAGAGTTCCTTGCTGGAAATCAGGCATTCTCTGCTGTGATTAACATCATCTCTGTTCATAGTTGGCTCAGCTCCATATGTGAATCTTCATCCCATATCTCTATATGTAATCTCCATCTCAGCTGCTCTGACTCTGAGATGAATGTGGGGCATCTGCTTGTATAGCAATGTCCATATTGGAGCACCCACAGAACTTTGGATCACATATATTCGCTTACCAAGGCTACTCAATAGATCCACAAATGAGATGGATTGGGACCTCAACAATCCTCATTTCAATGCATCTAAAAAGAAATTATTCTGGCCACAACTATACCACTGTTTCACATACACACAGACAGGGGCTAAAGTAGTGCAGGTTATGGGCCAAAAATTCCTTTTTTCATGGGAATTCAGTCAACTGTCGTCCCCCCTTTTAAAAATGAGGGGTAGGCAATTTGGATCAGGGCTACATGACGGGGGATGGGGAGTCTAAGCTTCTCCTCCTCCACCATTAAATCCCTGTCTCAAATCACCCCCTGAAGTAGCTTTTATAAACCACAGAAGGAAGAAATGTACAGTGGTACCTCGGGTTACATACACTTCGGGTTACAGACTCTGCTAACCCAGAAATAGTACCTCGGGCTAAGAACTTTGCTTCAGGATCAGAACAGAAATCGTGCTCCGGCAGCGCGGCAACAGCAGGAGGCCCCATTAGCTAAAGTGGTGCTTCAGGTTAAGAACAGTTTCAGGTTAAGAACGGACCTCCGGAACGAGGTACCACTGCCGAGGTACCACTGTACAGGCATAATTTTAGTTCCCCCACCCCCCAGGCAGTTGATAAGGAGCATGGAAATAATGACAAGGAGAAGACACTCAGCTAGTTTACCATTCTAGGAATTACTAGGAATGGGGTTGCAAATATCATGGAAAATATCACCATATGAAGCTATAAATGGTGCATCTGCTTTTGAAATATACTTCTCACTATTTGGGGCACCCCATCTCAAAAAATCTGTGGTAGACCTGAAGAAGCTGTAGAAAGGGGCAAGCAAAATGACTGGTCCATGTGCCCTGGGAAGCTGGAACAATATGACCTAGTACAACCTAAGCTAACAGCACTGATGAACTATGGGGACTAATGCAACAAACCCCAATGTGGTCATAGCATTGCAGTCATCTAGACCTCTCTCACGTATATATCTCTATGCACATACTACATTTAATTAAGGTCATGCAGAAATCAGAATATACTGTGCACCCCCCCCCCCATTGACCATTAGTGCAACAAACTGTCCCACAGTGCAGCTGCAGGTACTTGCATGCCCTTGGATGAAAATTTTAAATCACCGATATTTGGTTTTGCAATACATTGCAGTACATTGACACACCTTTAGATGTCTCTCCATGTACATTCTTCTGTGCCAAACTGTCAGCTAAGCTTCGGTTCTGGAAGGGG